TGTGTAGTGTAGGTTGTCAGTTGCTGTTGCAATCCGAGTTCAGTTGGGGTAGTTGTGGGCTGGGCAGGGCGGTGGTGGCTCTGTGTGATTCTCTTCTATCTCTGCCTCTGTTGAAGCTGTCGGGTCCACAGTGTCCACGCTCAGGCGGATTCTGTGCGAGTTATCTGCGTGCAGCTCCCTGTGTCTCTGGGACCCCGGCAGCCCCCGCCGGGTCGTCACAATCAGCGGGTCTCACACCGGTACCTAAGGCGGCTTCTGCATGGGTGATCTGCAGGCAGCCCCCTGTGTCTCTGGGACTCCGGTGGCCCCCCGCCGGGTCATCGCAATCGGTGGGTCTGACACCGGTACCTCAGGCGGCAGATATCTGCAGAGAGCTCCCTTTGTTGCGCTGCCGGTGCCACGGTGCCAGGCGGCTTTGGCGGGATCTTGATTTGTTTCTTAAGTCAGTTTGTTTGAGCAGGCAGAAAGAAGCTCTGCCTTACCCAGGACTTTGTCATCTCCTCCCAGGCTAGTTCAGTGGGAGGGAGATCTGGTTTGAGTATTACTAAAGAAGGAAATGCTTGTTTCCTCTAGCTTGGAGTTGCTGTGATGATGCTAGGCTCTGGGTAGGGTTGAGGCCTATCAGCAATCAGTAGCTTTTCCCTGAGTGGCTAGCTCCTGAGACACTCACAGAACCCAGCCTGGAGCCATTCTCAGGGTTTATGTTTACTGAGTTTCAATTGTTTGTCTTTTACCTCTCCTGCTGTCTAGGCTGCAGTGGGGAGGAGCAGCCTCTGGTTTTGTTTACCCAGTGAAGAAAGTCACTCCTTGGGGGTGGAGCTTCCTCTGCATGGGACTTTCCCGTGGGTGGAGCTGAGCCTGGCAGGTCAGGCCAGGTTCCTGTGACCTGCTGAATGGCTCCTATTGTTTTCTTTCAAGGCCTGAGTTGGAGCTAGCTGCTCCGGTCTGGCCTGTGTCAGTATTAAAGATGGAGCTCTTCTTTGGTAGTGGGGGAGGGGCTACCTTCCCACCACTGCTCCACGAGAAGGATTGAGGATGTCTTGGTTCTACTTATGCCAGACTCTTGGTTCCTGGGCCATCCCTGGTCTGTAATCAGCAGGATGAAGATTTCTGCACCTTGTCAGTTCTTGCTGTTGGTGAGTAGAATCTGCTTGCACACCGCATGTGGCACCTATGTCCTGGACTCTCTCTGTTGATATGGTGGCCCCACTGCAACTGCCACCATGGCTACTGGCAAGTGCTCAGATCTGTCTCCTTGGCCAAGCTGCCTGGATTTTCCCTCTCTGGTCAAACTCTCAAGTGATGGCTCACTTGGTGTGATTCTCTAGCATGGGACTGTTCACTGGAACACTAAAACTGCTTTCTATGTGAGAGCTTGTTTAGCCTCCAGCTTTTCCTCCACCATCTTCCTTTAGACTCCCTCCTTATTTTATTTATCCATTTGTTGGAGTTCTCTTTGTATGAAGTCAGTTTATTTGTATCTTGGTTTCTTTCATTTCATTAATCATTCCTGTCATAGATCTTCTGAGTTCATTGGTAGAGATCTATGTGCTTCACTTTCATTCAGTTCCTTTGTTGTAGAATTGTTGACCTTGGGGAGAAACATATTTTCATATATCCTCATTTTACTAAAATTTCTGCACATCTAAATGTGTGTTTTTGATTGAAGAGCTAAGTCTCTTTCAGTTGGGAATTTACTAATGTTTAGGTATGACTGGGTAGTGGCAGGATTGAGTGATTTTTTAGTCACTATTCTATAAGGAGACATGGCACAGTAGTAGTCAAAGATAGTATTCAAGAGGCTGGTCCCATTCCATGTATGATTCAGGGAGAACAATTTTAGCTGCAGAGATAATCACAGATGACACATACCCACTCTGAGACAGCAACAGTTGCTATTAGCATTAAAGCTTTACCACACCTTCAGTATCTTGGAAGGATTACAGGGGCAAAGATGATACTTTGTGGAAAAGGAGTACTTTGGTTAGTAATGCTAACAATTATCACCAGGAATGTACTGTTAGAAGGGCAGAAGGGGTGGCAATTATGGCTAGTTGAAGGGGGGTAATAAAAGAGTAGAGTTTGAGAGGTAGAAAAGTCTATTTAGTGGTGTATTGAGAAAAATGGCAAAAGAGATTGAATGATCACATCCAAATAAATAGGTAAAAATATCTGGCAATCTGGTTAACCTGCTAAAGGTAACAAGGACAGATTGTGGAGGCGTGAATAAAGAGGGAATAAAGCATGACTGCTATAATAGTTCCATAGTTCCATTGGTAAACCAAGGGGCATATTTATATACTTAAGCAGAATTTTGTTGAAGGGAAGGGTGTGTTGTAATCGCAGGTAAAGTAACTATAAAGGAAAACAGAAGGAAGAATTAAGTCAACAAGAATGGAGGAAAAGAAATACCCAAACCAAATATACGTTTTTTAAATTCTAAATAGAAAAAAAACAATAAAAACAGAGAGAGAGAGAGGGGGGGGGGAGAGAGAGAAATTCAGAGTTCTCAACTGTTGTATCCTTCAGTATAGCAGGTGTCAACATAACCACTTGCTATAATGGTGAGGCCCCAGAAGAGATTGGGAACTGAAAGTCTAATTAGAGTCTCTAGTAAGGGGTTGCTATGCTTTAGTAGAAGCATAGAAGCCTAGGTAGCCATAGTCATAGACAATGAAAGCAGAATTGTGTTTCTGAGGCTTATAGAAGGAATTCTGATTGCCTTGTAGTATCAAAAGGGGCAATTCTACCCACAGTATTACATTTAGGAAATATATTTAATTTCTATACTTAAAAGACAGAGAGGGAAGAGGAGAGGGAAGGAGAGGAGAAAAACAGAGAGGGGGAGAAAGAGAAAGAGAGAGAGAGAAATGATGAACAAAATATGGGAGGTGTCATTGGAGATGTGCCATGTCAGGTCATATTAGAGTCTGAAGCAAAATGAAAAATCCATTATACCAGTGCTATTGCACTAGTTTTGATTTTAAAACCATCACATAGACAAAATATTTATCTTGCTTACTGAATTTTGAACCCCTTAATTTAAAAGTTTGAGTGGATTACTGTTGTTGTCTTGCTTTTTTTTTTTTTTTGCTTAAAATGCTTATTTTTGTTGTTTGTGTTGTTGTGGGGCTTGAACTCTGGGCCTGGGTGCTGTCCCTCAGCTCTTCAGCTCAAGGCTAGCGCTCTACCACTTGAGCCACAGTGCCACTTCCGGTTTTCTGGTGATTAGTTGGAGATAAGAGTCTCACCGTCTTTCCGGCTCGGGTTGGCATTGAACCACGATCCTCAGGTCTCAGCCTCCTGTGTAGCCACCAGCACTCAGCTAAAATACTTTTTAAAAGATTAAAAATAAGCATTTAATATTTGCTGGTAAATTCATAATTTCTGGCCATCTTCATTATTTTGTCAATACAGGTTCACAATTGTATCATTTCTCTTTTTGCTTAATTACATCTTTTAATTTTCATAGTAAAATTGTGCTGGAAATGAATTATCCTTCTATTTGTTTGTATAAAAACATTTTCATTTCCCCCTCATTCCTGAGCAGTATTTTTTTACTGTGTGTAAAATTTTGACATTTTCTTTCAACCTATAAAATACGTTGTTCCATAAATTTCTCATATTAAATGGGAACATCTACTGTATGCATTTTAGACTGTATTTCTTGCTTCATATGCCCCCTGTTGGCTACTTTTAAATTTGTTTTTATTGTTGTTTTTCTATTTCGGTTATAATGATCCTTAATACAATGGGTTGGGCGGAGGTGTATATTCTTTTATTTATCCTTCTTGATATTTATTTAGATTCTTGGATTTGCTGATGTAAAACCTTCACATCAAATATTAAAGTCTTAGTTTTTATTTCTTCAGCTATTATTTGTCTTACCAATTTTTGGGACTCTACACATATATAATACTGCTTGGTATTGACTTGAAAGTCATTTCTACCCTATCATTCTTATTTCTGTACTCCATATGAATAGATTCTGTTGCTTCATCTTCAGCATCTTCAAGTTCACTGGTCTTTGCATGACCTGCAGTATCTGATCTGTTATAAGTTTTATGCACCGGAATTTTCATTTATATCTTCCATTTCTGAAATTATATCCTACATTCATGTCTTTTGTTCATGTTTTCCTATTTATGTAATTTATATTTTTGTTTTATATTATTTAACATCATCTAATTCCATCTTTCATTCACTTTCAGGAAGTCTGTACTGGTATAGCTAATTTCATTTATTTCCCTTTTCTCAGAGATCATAATAGCATGTTTCCAATTGCTTATTGACAATTGCTTTCTAGGTGTTTATGGTAAGTAAATATCACCTCTTTCTCCCTTGTGACCATTATTACAGATGTTCTCTTCATACATATTTAATGAGAAAGGAAGAGTTTTTTTTTTTTTTATTGTAAAGCTACTATACAGAGGGTTACAGTTACATGAGTGAGGTTATGAGTACACTTCCTCTTGAACATTGTTACCCCCTCCATTGTGAGAAAGGAAGAGTTTTATAAAATGAGATTCTCCAAAGGAAATGGTAGGAACTTTTCTAATGATACTGTCTGATGTGGAGGGTCTAGGACCTGAAACACTCATGGCAGGAGCCTACCTGGAAAAAGGATGGAAAAACACAGGAATATTATGTGGAAACCTGCTTACAATGATCTTGGGCACCTTAGCATATTGCCTTGTCCCCACCTTTCCTTACCATCTCCCCAAGTTAGCAATGTCCCTGCTGCTTGGTTGATGCTAGAAAGCCTCTGAATAAGGAAGCTACTCTTCCATCATCACTAATATAACTATATTATGAGAGATCAACCCTGAGGTAGGAAAATATTGGCATCAGTGTAAATCTTGCCCTTTGCTAGGATTCATGAGAGAGTAAAGAGCCCTAGTAAAACCTGTGACCTTGTAGGGCTTTGGAAGGATCCTGTCTGCCAGGTAGCTAAGTTAAGCCTATCTAATTCTTCCCTTCTTTCCCCCCTCTGCCTGCAGTTATGATCATGTGCCTTTCCTCATGCATGACCATGACCTGAGTAGAACAACCAATATCAAGGAAGTCATGCCAAATGCCACCTATAACCACTCTGCCTTCTTCAGTTGGCCTTTGCTGAGAACTCTGAATGCTGGCAAATGGTTTGTAGAGGTAAGACAGTCCCTGCACAGTGTCTGTACAGACTCAGGTGCTGCTCCTGGAGATGATGGCCAGGTTGAAGCCAGCCAGACAGGTATGTATACATTTCCATTCTAGTACTATAGCATTGGCAGGAGGGATTTTCTGGTAATTCAGTGAGTCTGATTGCTGCTTTCAGTGTTCTCTAGGAAGTCTCAAGATAGGCTTTTTTGCCAGTCCTGGGGCTTGAACTCAGGGCCTGGGCACTGTTCCTAAGCTTCAGTTTTGCTTGAGGCTAGCACTGTACCACTTGAGCCACAGCACCATTTCTGGCTTTTTCTGTTTCTATAGTACTGAGGAATGGAACCCAGGGTTTCATGCATGCTAGGAAAACACTCTTTCACTAAGCCACATTCCCAGCCTCTGAAGATAGGCTTTTAAACTTAACCTTATGCAATTCTTTTACACCCAAGTATATACTTTATATATACTTATATATTTATATATACTTATGTAATTACACATTTTATACTTATATATTTGTATGTATTTATATATACTTTCATAGCTTTCCTACCATTGCTTCAGCCTTGATGGAGTTCACCAGCCAGTATTATAAACTATCAGAATTCATTGTGATAAATGACAAACTACAGTTAATTTCAGGTTGCATTAGGAGCATACAACAACAACTTCTAAGTCAATCTTAATGATAAAGATGGAAGGAGATAGATTAATTAAGACTATACTAAAATATTGTGTATTGTGTACACTGCAACTTCGAGCCAAGAGTCCCCTTGAAGTTGGAGAAATACGTACTTCGTGTCTAGAGGTACTATTTTGCTGAAGGGCAATCATTAATAAGAGAATATGTGGACCCTGCTGGTAATGTATTTCAGAGAGGCATTATATGGTAAGGATAAAAAAAGATGAAGATGAGAACAAAAAGAGGAAGGGAGGGAAGGAAAAGAAGAGAAGGAAAGGGAAGAAGAGAGCAATGTTTATTCTTCATTGTATTACACTTGCCTAATACCTAGCAGCTACTCGCTATATGTATTTATTGACTAGTAAGAAGGAACCAAGAGTGTTTCTTAGTCTGCCTTATCTAAGCTAGTGAGCTACTCAAAATAACTCAGGATAATTCTATTACATGGTAGGAAAGCTATGAAAGTATATAAAATATATAACTATATAAGTATATATAAGTACATACAAATATATAAGTATAAAACATATAACTATATAAGTATATATAAGTGTGAGTGTGTATATGCATACACATATGTACATCCATACTGAAGAAAGAAAAAAGAGAAAGAAGGAAGGGGGTAGGGAATAGATTGGGAAAGTATCTGGAAAATGTGTTGCGGATAGATTACGGCATTGCTTAAAAAACAAGTTAGCAAATTTAGAATTACCTTTTGAGTAATTCCAAAGTGGGTAAAAAGTTTGATTAAAGGTCATGTTTGCCTTCTCAGGATAAATAAAACAACTTGCATTTCCCAACTTACAGCTTAGGAATCCATGAGAACTAGATTTGCCCAATGATATCATCAATTGAGAATTACATTTTGAAAATAATAGACAGCATGATGTTAATGTTGAGGGTTTTTGGATTATGTTTTGTGTAAAAATTGTGAGAAGTGAAGATGAACTTATCTTTAGAGACTCATTTCAGATTCATTCTGTTAATTAGTGTTACTAAAAGAAAACCTGAAAGCAGACTTATAATAACCATAACTCCTCTGAATATTTGTCCTAATAGGAGTACATAGCCTAAAAATGCCTTGTGTGGAAACAATGAATGAGATTATTCTGATAACAGGTTCTATATATATGTAGAGGATGTAACGTGTCTCATCATACATGAACACATAAAAGTATAAATACCCCAATAGCATGCCTATTTGGGTTTGGTCGCCATAGTTATTGTTTTAGCAAATGTGTACTCTATATGAAAAGGCGGTTACGTGTCCAGTATATAATAGGGTTTTTGCTCCTAACAGTCTTACTGGGATTTGTAAAAATTAAATTTACTTCTGAGGTTGAAACAGTTTCATCAGATCCAAGATGTTTGATAAATGAGTAGCTGATAATTTTAATTAATGGGTGATTTGTTTATTGTTGGCTCCTGTTGTAACTCAGAGTTCCTTTTTGTTGAAAAGATAGCAATAATCATCTTTCATATCAGTGGTCATGGGATTAATGGCATTTACTACTTACTATTCTTATTAACTATTATCCTTAGTTTGTTTTCTGAACCTTTTCTTCAGAACTGCTTCCTCAGACTGGGGATGTAGCTCAGTGGTAGAGCACTTGCCTGGCATGTGTGAGCCTGGATTCAATCCCCAGCACTACAAAAAACAACAACAAAAATTCCTGTTGGGAGGAAACATTTTCTGTTTTGAATGCCTTTTTAAAGTCAATTTTATTTAAAAGTTCATATAAGTCGGGGGGGGGGGGGGCATAAGCTGGTCCTGGGGCTTGAATACAAGGCCTGGGTGCTGTCTCTGAGTTTTGTGCTCAAGGTTAGTCTTCTACCACTTGAGCCACAGCTCTACTTCCAACTTCTTGCTGGTTAGTTGAAGATAAGAGTCTCATGAACTTTCTTGCCCAGGCTGGCTTAGATCCCTGATTCTCAGATCTCAGCATCCCGAATAGCTAGGATTACAGGTGTGAGCCACTGGCACCAGAAACCTTTTTGTTTGTTTGTTTGTTTTTAAGCCACGAGAGACCAAAGTAACTAATACTTATTGCTGATTCTGTCTATGATATTGCCCCTTTCTAAAGCAGCAGTGCTGTCTCTAGAAAAAGGAATTTCTTGGGGCTGGGAAGGTGACTCAGTGGTAAAGTGCTTGCCTCCCATGCGTGAGGCCCTGGGTTTGATTCCTCAGCACCACATAAGCAGAAAAGGTGCTGTGGCTCAAGTGGTAGAGTGCTAGCCTTGAGCTGAAGAGCTCAGGGACAGTGCCCAAGCCCAGAGTTCAGCCCCCATGACCGACCAAAAATAAATTGTGAGATTGAATGTTACTGTGAAAAATTTTGGTGAATTTTTTTTGGTTGGTTGTGGGTGCTGGCTTTGAACCATGATCCTCAGATCTCAGCCTCCTGCATAGCTAGGATTACAGGCATGAGCCATTGACACCTGGCTTTTGGTGGATTTTTTTTTTTTAGGCTTAATAGTGGGGCTTTCTTTGTTCACATGCTGTGTCATCAGAATAGGTTGAAATAATGTTAGAGTGTGACTTAAAAGATTTGAAGATCTGGATACCTTTCTTTCTTTTCTTTTTCTTTTTCCCTTCCTTCCTTCCTTCCTTCCTTCCTTCCTTCCTTCCTTCCTTTCTTTCTTTCTTTCTTTCTTTCCTTCTTTCTTCCTTTCTTTCTTTCTTTCTTTCTTTCTTTTTCCAGTCCTAAGGCTTGAACTCAGTGCATAGGTACTATCCCTGAGCCTCTTTGTGCTCAAGGCTACCTCTCTACCACTTGAACCACAGCTCTACTTCTGGCTTTTTCTGAGTAGTTTATTAGAGAAAAGAGTCTCATAGACTTTCCTGCCTGGACTGCTGTCTTCCAACTGTGATCCTCAGATCTCAGCCTTCTGAGTAGCTAGGCTCATGCCTGTAAGCCAGCATCTGGCTTCTGTATACTTTTTAGGCAGTAAAGAATTTGTGAAGATGATTCTGGTGATTCTTCAGTGTCTAGGTATGATTGTTTATTGACTAATTATGAATTGGTTATTACTTGTTAATCCATTTATTGGTCTTGAGATTACTTAGGAAAACTGGGCTATGTAGTAGTGGCTTCTGCCTGTAATCTTACTTACTTGGGAGGTGAGATTGGGTTGATCTAGGCATATATGCAAGACCCCTTCTCAACCAATAGTGGGTGTAATGGCTGGCCTGTGTGTCATCTTAGCCATGTGGGAGGCTGAGATCAGGAGTAATGTGCTTCCAGGCCACCTCAGACAGGACAGTCTTAACTGAAGCAGCTGGATGTGTAGTGTGTGCTACAGTGGGAAGCAGAAATAGGATTGTAGTCCAGACAGGTACCCAAGCATGAAGCAAAACCCTATCTCAAAAATACTACTATTAAAGAAAAAGGGGGCTGGGAATGTGGCTTAGTAGCATGCATAAAGCCCTGGGTTGGATTCCTCAGTATCACATAAACAGAAAAAGCCAGAAGTGATGCTGTGGCTCAAGTGGTAGAGTGCTAGACTTGAGCACAGAGAGGCTCAGGGACAGAGCCCAGGCCCTGAGTTCAAGCCCCAAGACCAGCAAATAAATAAATAAATACATTAAATTAATTATTTTTTAAAATGGAGGGTTGGGCACTAATGGCTCATACCTATAATCCTAGCTATTCAGAAGTCTGAGATTTGAGTCCAATTCTTGCTCCTCAATTAACTGCAGAAAGAAGAGGAGGAATAGCTCAAGCAGTAGCTTGCCAGCATTGAATGAATTAATTATAGTTTGTTTCCCAATCCAGTTTTTCCTCAATGTTTTCTATTTCAGAGTCTTAATCTAGTGAGCTGTACCTTCCTCTCAGGTCCTCGGTCTTGTGGGCAGTGGTTTGCCCTGTAGCCTTGCCTTTTTACAGACCCAAGGAGAGTTGTTGATTTTTTTAGTCTGTTCATCAATTTACTTAGTGTTTAGGAAGCAGTGGCGTCTTCCAAGCTCATTACATATGAAACATGAAAGCAGAAGTCAGTTTGATTATGTTTTGAATCAATATACTAATGTCTATGGTTGCTATAATTTAATAATGTGAAGTAGAATTTACCGAGGCTTCTTAACATGATTTGTCCATGATCCATTTCTTCCAGCTGTTTGTTTTTCAAAAATAGATTCCTAACATTTAAATTTGCAAGGAAAATGCCATAAAGAATGATTCGGACAATGATTTCAAAGTAATGGTTTTATGTTAAGACATGAAAAGGGATTTAGGGTTGCTTAACAATCTCTACTACCTACATGGCTTTGGTACTGTTAGTAATCAGATTGTTTTTATGGTAATGGGATTCATGGTAGATCCGTGGGACCCAAGTTAACAAGAAAACTTATTAATCTTTACTAGTTTTTCTTAAAATGTTTCCTTGATGCAATATCATTGGACACATCTGAACGTTGTCCTATTTTGTAACTATTATGATACATTGGCTCTTTTATTGTAGTCTTTATACTTGTAACAATTCATAGACATAAATAACAGGGCCTTTTAATATTATTTTTATTGAGGTACTGAGTATTTTTATCAGGAGAATCAGAAGTTTGTTTCCTTTTTATTTCCTAAGAGTTTTTGCAAATATCTGCCATGTGAAGACAGATATCTCGTTCTGGTTAAGTTCCTTATTTTGTACACAAAAAAAGAGGCTCAGACTCCTTCAACTATTAGATCTATACCATAATATCATTTATCTTTATTGTTTTTGCTATTGTAAACATTTTTTACCTGTCTTGGTATTCTTTCCTGTCCTGGTTTTATTGTTTCTATGGAGTTTTTTAGTAGTGATGTTTGTTTTTTGTTTTGTGCCGGTACTGGGGCTTGAACTCAAGGTGTGGGCATTAGCTCTTAGCTTTTTTGCTCAGGGCTGGCACTCTACTACTTAAACTACAGCTCTTTTGCTGGTTAACTGAAGACAAAAGTCTCACATACTTTTCTGCCTGGACTGGCTTCAACCCATGATCCTCAGATCTCAGACTCTTAAGTAGCTAGGATTTCAAGCCTAAGCCTATCCTATTGTTTTCACAGTTTTTCTTCACCATTAAATAAAACAGGCTGGATCTGATTGTATTTAAAAAAATATTGAAATCTGAATTAAGTATCTGTACTCTTGTGAATTGAGAATAATATCTTAAACTATTCTCAACACAGAGGTCTACACCATGGTTTAAGTCAGCTTGTATGTTCTGCCTTCTGGTCTGGTGATTTGATAAGTATATGGTGCAATATGATGGCACAGGATTGTACACAATCGTACTGTGTGAGAAAGGGCAGCTTGGGTAGGAAGCTAAGGAATGCAAGAGGGATCTGAGAATGAAAATGAAGTTGAATCCAGAAATAAAAGGCTACTTGAGTCACAAGAAAATGTGAAGTACTGCTTCCTTTTCCTGAGAGGTCATGTTTAAATCACCGCCTTCAACCATACATTATCTGAAATTGGCAATTGAAAATGAGAATAGTTTGATGAATCTAATAGAGCAAACATACATATGGCCTGCTATGTATAAGGTAAACGGTCATGCATTGACAAGAATCTAGGACAGTGAAGGAATTAATATAAACTGTGTAATTTTCTGTGGATCATACATGCTACTAGACCCTGTAAATATATATCCCTATTTTGCAGTTTGGGCAGTAGGTAATTAAATGATTTTTACCAAAGATGCCCAGCAAGAAGCATATTGAGCCAGGATTTGAACTTTGGTCTATTTAAGACATATGCATATAGCTATAGAATGAGACATACACTTATCAAAGCATAAAAATGGGCCATCTGGGCTTAAGTCATCATGCTCTTTTTAGTTCAAGAATATTTTAGGAAAGCTTCATGAAGGGGATAGCATTTGAGCAGGTTGAGGGTAGGATTTCAGTAGGCGGTTATGGAAAGGAAGGAAAATGAGGGAGAGGAAGAGCTGGGAATGAATCCAATTTGGAAGCCAAAGTACTTGTTCTTTCTATTACATAAAACATAGAATAAAGGAGCAGGAAGACAGTACAACTGAAAAGGGATGTACTACTTAAAGGCTTAGAACACAAGACTGGGAAGGAAGGTTAAGATAAGAATGTGGAAAATCTCAGAACAATGTTAGGAAATAGAATAAATCATTCCAAACATTATAATTACTAATGGAGAATACGTTTTATTTCTCTCCCAAGGAACTTATTTTAAAACTAATATTTCAGAGGGCCTAGTTGATGGAAGGTCTATATAGACAGAGAGAGAGAGCTGGATTTGGAGCTAATACCCAACAGTGGAACTAGACACTACTTTTGATGAGAACCAATGTTTTCTTTGATGTGTTTATTTTTAGAATCTGCCCTATTACAATATGAAACCTCTGTCTGAGGAAGACAAAAGGAGAGCAAGAAATGAGACAATTCCAAAACTAGTTGATTTATTGGAACTTGCGAAGAAGGAAAGGAAGTTTTTGATATTTGATCTTTTTGGCCCTCCACCAACACATCCTCTCAGAAACGGATATATCCGCCATGTAGTAGATCTGATCCTCAAGTCTAAGATTGAGCAGCATCTGGTATGTCTACCTTTGTACTTATGGTAGATTGGGAGGTGGTTGCATGTCCCAGTACCATAATCGTTGACTTTGTGTGTGCCAGTGTTGTACAGGAAAGAACTCAACTGGCAAGAAACACAGTAGCCACATTTTGAGAGGTTGAATTGGGAGTTTTTATTAGAAAGCCCAGGAATGCAGGTGGACTCCTTTCTCAAAGACCTGCAGCCAAGAACTGAGGTTGCACAAAGCTTTTAAAGACAAAAACCACATGTTTTGGGTGCAGACCCAAAACCCAGCAAAGGCAGACCATATAGGGTAATATTCAGGTACAAGCAAAACTTTCAATCTAGGGAAGTAGCTTGAGGCTAGCTAAACTTCCCATACAGGGAAACAGAGTTGAGCAGGTAATCAAAGACAATCATTATCTGCAGCTAAAGCTTTCCTAGGGCTAAACAGCATGATATCTGCATATTCTCTGTAGCAGAGCTCTTGTAGCTCTCCTGACGCTAAACAAGTGCAATTCAACAAAAGGCTCATTTCACCTTTATGCTTTTGTTGGAGCAGGGTGAAAAGTCCCTCCACCCAGCAAAGCACCTGAATGGCTATGAAGACAAGTCATATTACTTAGACCCTGTCTCCTTATTTCACTAGTCCTGGGGCTTGAACTCAAGAGCTTGAGTTATGTCCCTGAACACAAAAACTCAATGCTAGGGCTCTGCCATTTGAGCCATAGCTCTACTCCCAGAGTTTTGGGATTTGTGTTTTTTGTGTTGTTGTTGTTTTTTTTGGGGGGGGAGGGGGCAGTGAGGGGTTGGTGGTTAATTGGAGATAAGAATCTTACAGACTGGGGCTGGGAAGGTGGCTCAGTGGTAGAGCGCTTGCCTTGCATGCATGAGGCCCTGGGTTCAATTCCTCAGCACCACATAAGCAGGGGAAAAAAGCCGGAAGCGGCACTGTGGCTCAAGTGGTAGAGCTGCAGTCCTCAGATCTCAGTGTTCTGAGCAGCTAGGATTACAAGCATGAGCCACTGGTAGGTACATGGCTTAGTAGCTGAAATTTTATCTACATTGCACATCTTCCCTGCAACCCTTAAGGAATATTGCTTCCTATGAAGCTGGAGGTTATTGCATATATGGCTACATTTGGTAGTCATATTTCTCTCAGAGAAAAACATGGAGATGGGTTTTCTATTCCAAGCCAAGTAAAATATTAACACCTCATTAAAAAAAATGAATAAAATATCTATGTGACTCATACCATTATCCCCAGAGATCCTTTAGACTGAGTCTTTGTAATGCTAACTCTTTAAGGACTTTAGAAACTGATTTAGAAAAACAACTGATTGTTACTTGAATAGAGATTTGCTCATGATTATTTCTAGAGCATTATTATTTCTAGGCAGTCAGTTGTTCCCAAGCACTTAAGTTCTCAGAATGTTATTGGAGTGCTGAGAGAAACAAACACATATCTTCTTGCAAATGGAACTATTTCCATAGAAGAATCCCATTGGAATTCCCATCTAAGATGATTTTTAGCACCATTAACCAGAGAGGTAATTTTTGGTCCTTACCTTTCATATGTGTCTACCAATTCCTTTTTCACTTTTTTTTTTTTTTTTTTTTTGGTCAGTGTTAATGATTGAACCCAGAATCTTATGCACACTAGGCAAGTATTCTACCACTAGCTATCTCCCTAGCTCTCACATTTTCCTGAGCCACTTTCTGTACCCAGTGGGCCCAGAATGTTAATGTTAACTGAAGAATTGAGAAGGTTTAGAAAACTTAATCCCAGAACACCCTTAATGAAGGCCCCCTTTTAAAAGTTTGCACTGGTGGCTCACGCCTGTAATCCTAGCTACTCAGGAGACTGAGATCTGAGGATCACAGTTCAAAGGCAGCCCAAGTAGGAAAGTCCATGAGACTCTTATCTCCAATAAGAAATAGTGCTGTGGCTCAAGTGGTGGTAGAGTGCTAGCCTTGAGCTGAAGAGCTGAGGGACAGCGCCTAGGTCCAGAGTTCAAGCCCCACAACTGACAAAAAAAAAAAAAGTTCACTAGACAATATTGGGTCCGGTGGCTTCCTATAATCTGCAGTGGAGCTTCATCCATTCCTAGACAGATAATATTTCACTAAAAGCTTTTTCTTTCTCCTTATAGATACTTTGGCTGCCAGTTTATGATAGAGAATATGTAAAACAGGTGGCTCCTGGTTTTCAGCAAGTGGGCCGTTTTCTGTCCGTTGAAAAACTTGCAGAAGAAAATATCAAGATGATTAATGTTGACTACAAGAAGTTATTCTACAATGGGTTGAGGTAGGAGTTTGAACGTGTATCACTTCACCTTTACAAAGGATACCCTCCACCTAGGCAGCTTCACTTCTCCTCTGTTTAGGCTTTCATTGTGTTTTATCTTCTTTGAAACCTCCACTTTCTCCTCCCTGCCCCTCTGACATGTTTTTCTGCCCATAAACTTTTTATAAAGTATAGAATACACCCCTGGGAGGCCAACTTTAACTCCTTTGTGTACCAATCACATTTTGTGTGTGTTTATGTGTGTCTGTGCATCTGTGCGTGCATGCATATGCACACACTAGAAACGGGGCTAGAACTCACAACCTGGATACTTTTTCACTCAAGCCTGGTATTCTACCATTTAAGCCACAGCTCATCTTCCATGTTTTTGCTGGTTAAATTGAAATAAGAATCTCACAGACTTTATTGTCTAGAATCATCTGATCTCAGCCTGCTGAATAACTAGGAAAACAGGCATGAACCATCAGCACCTGCAGGGCTTAACATACTTTTTCATATGCTTGGCATTTCTGTTTGTATATAAGATGGGCATAGAAGTAGCACTGTGGCTCAAAGGGATAAAGAGCTAGCCTTGAGAGAAAAAGTTAATGGATAGCACCCAGGCCCTGAGTTCAAGCCCCATGACGACAAAAAAAAAATGGACATTAAAAAAATCAAAACTTTTGATGAAGGAAATTCTCTTAAAAAAGAAAATACTTTATTTCCTCTTGCCATTCCCACATGGATTGCAGTGTATCACAAATATTTGTGCTCCTGATAGGCATATTTCTTATAGAAAGAATTAAGACCATGTGTTAGGAAACTGAGTCATGAGTTTTAGGAAAGATCAAGCAGCTGAAAGGAGAGAAAGACGGCAGAGACCTCAGCAGACCCGAACAGGCTTTAGTCATGGCTGCAGATGGGCTCCGTGTAATACCAAGCAGGGTCAGAGAGCAAAGAGCAGGAGTGTGGGGAGTGTTAGGTTTTGATACATCCTAGGGTGAGACTCTTCTTTGGAATTTCTTTGTCCTGTCCTGTTGGGGATTTATTGTCCAACCTGTCCTGCTTGGCAAGTTTTATGGTGGGAGTATCCTTCTGATGACAGCAGTCCTGCACCTTCAGATAGTGTCAGGGGTGAAGTTTTCCTGAGAACCAGGAGGGGTCCCCAGGGGAAAGTGGGCCATGGGCCATGGGAGCAGCGTGGAGTTAGAAGAACAAAGCAGACTCCCATCACCATGAACAATTATTTTTTGAAACTTAATAGCCAAGCAATGAGAAGCAACTAAATTATTAACCTCTACATTTATAAATATAGAATTTGAGATAGATTTTCAGAATTAAGAGCACGTTCTCAGTCATGGGGCTTGAATTCTGAGCCTGGGTGCTGTCCCTCAGATCTTCAGTTCAAGGCTAGCTAGCGCTCTACCACTTGAGCCACAATACCACTTCCAAAACAGATATTTTATCTATTTCCCAATGAGAACACTTCAGTTCTTTTTTTTTTTTTTAGCATGTTTCTATTTCCTTTTACTTAAAATTAAAACACCTCTTAAGATTATTTCTCTCTCTTAATGCTAACTTAGGTTGATCTAATAGGCTAAGTTAAAAAAAATAGGTATAATAAATGAGTTCCATTTATTAAATACTATGCTTGTTAGACTGCAAGTTGTGTTTTAAACCCTGGTTTATACTATGACTTTGGGCATATCTATTCTTGATTGTTGTTTTTGTTGTTTTGTTTTGTATTGTATTGTATTTTGGACAGTCTCACTGAGTCTGTATATATATAAAATTTATAATTCTCCTGCTTCAGTCTCTTGAATACTAGGATTACAGGCATATACCACCACACTTTGTTTTAACATTAGTAAAATTTTTGATGTTCAGTTTCCTTCCTCCTCTATAAGTGGATATATCAATGGTACCCACTGGAATACTCAAAGAGGATCAGTCATCATGATGTAGACAGCAAAATGCTGGGCAAATATATGACAGAAAGTGTTAGCTGCCCCTTCCGTCATCATCCTATGTTGTGGAGTGGATTTATTGCTTCTCTTTTCAGAGTGGATGTCATTTACCAAAGTTAGTAACAACTGGTGAGTGGTGGACCTGGAATTTAAGTACAGGTCAAACTGACTAAAGTCCAGATTTTTTTCGCCACTAAACTTTATTTTTTTTCACCACAACCACCACCAACAACAAAAAAAACCAATAATACCACAATAAAGGATTTAAGAGAAAGTGAAAATGAAGAAATCCCAATGAGCTCAATAAAACAATAGTAAAAAAACATAAATATAATAGAGAAACAGGTATTTTTATTTTTTTGGGGGGGGTCCAGTTGTGGGGCCTGAACTCTGAGCCTGGGAACTGTCCCTCAGCTCTTCAGCTCAAGGCTAGTGCTCTACCACTTGAGCCACAGCGCCACTTCTGGCTTTTTCTTTTTTCTTATATGGTGCTGAGGAATCGAACCCAGGGCCTCAGGCATGCAAGGCAAGCGCTCTACCACTGAGCCACATTCCCAGCCCATCACCAATATACTTTTATTCCTTGGCCATTCAGTTTCAACTGCCATAAGATTTTCTGAGACCTGTTATAAAAGCAAGCAGGCTGGTTTAGCTCAGCAAATATTTACTTAGTCAAAAGGTGTACAGTGTTCCATGCTAGTTTCATGTGAAAGATCCACAGAAGTAAGACACCCTTCTTCTCCCCAAGGAAGGTATTATATATCAGTTTTTTTAATGGGCTTTTTCCATATACTGTACTGTAAAATCAAGTATGATAAGTACATGAGCAGGATTTTGTTCAAAATGATTTTCTTTGAGGAGCTCTAAATTTTAAGAAGGTAATCAGTTATACCTTTAAACATTTGTGAAATGTTTATGACCAGAATATTTGTGGTCCAGGATCACAGACACAAGATATTGTGAACATTTCATTTTCACCAAGAACTCTTTACATGCCTTATTTTAGTTAAGACTATTTGAACATAGAGATATACTCCCTTTTAGATTTTGATGTTAGAAATGCTTTCATGTTTTGTTAGACAGGGTTTCATTATATAGCCCAAACTGACCTCAAACTTGCCATTCTCCTGTCTCTGCTTCTTGATGCTGGGATTGTAGCTATTTTAGTGTTAGGGAAAAAAATTTGAGCACAATTGTGTACATTTATGGGATACAATATGATGTTTTGATATGTGTATAGAATATGGAATACTTAAATTAGTAACTGTTACTTTTTTGTGAGATTTGCAATTTACTCCCTTATCTCTTTTGAATTTGCAGTATATTATTATGGATATAGTTGTCCTGTTGTTCAGCAAATCTCGAAAACATATTCCTCCTATCTAATTGAAACTAGGTGACCTTAATATCTTTCCCTTTTCTTACCCCAGCCTCTAAAAATCAGCATTCTATAAACTGCTATGAATTTTTTTTGTACCTGTCCTGAGCCTTGAACTCTAAGCTTTTTTGCTCAAGTGTAAAGTGCTCTACCACTTGGGCCACAGATCTACTTCTGGCTTTTTGGTGATTAAATTTAGGTAAGTCTCATGGATTTTCCTGAGTAGCTAGGCATGAGCCTGTGACTTTTAAAGATTCCAAAATTAAGAGTACACAGTATTTGTCTTTTTTGGCTTATTTTATATAGGCTTGTCCATACTGTTGCAAATGACTGACCTTCCTTCTTTTTAAAGACAGAACAGTATTTGCTCCATATACATATGGTATATACATACAATATACATATACATGGTATATACATACATTTTACACCTATGCATTTATCTTTTCTTAATCAACTCATTATTGGTGGACACTTGAATTGATTCCATAGCTTGGCTATGCTGCAGTAAATGTGGAAATGCAGATAGCCCTTGGACATAGCAATTTCATTTCCTTCAGATATATAGCCAGAAGTGAAATTGACACATCATATGGCAATCCTGTTTTTTAAGTTTGGAGTGTTTTGGGGGGGAACCTCCATCCTGTTTTCTATAATGGTTATACTAATCCACATTCCTATCAACAGTGTACAGAGACAGGAAGATCACAAGTCACAGCCCAAGCAAAGATAGTGAGATCCTATCTTAAAAAACAGAATACAAACTGAAGGTTTGGGGCATGGGTCAAGAGGTAGTCTAGCATGTCTGAGGTTCAAGGGGCCTGAACTCTGAGCCTGGGCGCTGGCCCTCAGCTCTTCAGCTCAAAGCTAGCTCTCTACCACTTGAGCCACAGCGCCACTTCTGGGTCTTTCTGCTTATGTGGTGCTGAGGAATGAAACCCGGGGCCTCATGCATGCAAGGCACGTACTGTACCACTGAGCCACCTTCCCAGACCCAAGGTTCAATTTTTTTAATTGAGAATAACTCCCTTCAAATTCTTCCAAGTTGTTTCATTTATCAATAGTTGTCCCTTTTTGTTGCTAAGTATATCATATCTCTGATGTGGATATATACTAATCGTTGTTTAATCATTCACCAACTTAAGGGAATCTAATTGTTTCCATTTATGAGATATAATAGATAAAGCCATTATGAGCATTTGTTTTAATGAGAAAATAAGGTTTTCTTCCTCTAGGATAAATGTCCAAGAGAACATTTGCTATAATACTTTCATTACATGTATTTAGTTTTATAAAAGGCTGACATGTTTTCAGAGAAGCTATAGCATTTTACATTTCTGTCAGCAATATACAAGGATCCAGAGTTTCTTCATCTTTGCCAATATCTAGCATTGCTCTGTGTTTTATTTTATTTTTTCTGAAAGGCATATAATAACATAATTATCAGTAGTTTTTTAAATTCTCTAATGGTTAATGATGTTAAACATCTTATGTACTGGTTTGCTCATGGTATATACCTTTCATTGAAATGTGTTGTTGAATTTTGTGAATTTTTTTTTTTTTTTTTTTTTTTGTCGGATGTGGGACTTGAACTCTGGGCTTGGGCGCTGTCCCTCAGCTCTTCAGCTCAAGGTGAGCGCTCTACCGTTTGAGCCACAGCACCACTTCCAGTTTTCTAGTGGTTTATTGGAGATAAGAGTCTCACAGAGTTTCCTGCCCAGGCTGGCTTTGAACTGTGATCCTCAGATCTCAGCCTCCTGAGTAGCTAGGATTACAGGCGTGAGCCACCGGCACCCAGCAGTGAATTCTTTATATATTCTCTATACTAGTCAATTTCTCCTTGTCTGCAACTCATCTATAGCATCTTCTTACTTAATAGTTTTCTCCTTGATCATGCTTTTAAAAAGTTTAAGTCTAAAAATTTGTTTAGTCCTAGATCTCAATTTTTTTCCTAAAATTTTTGTTTTTAAACTATGCATTCAAGTCTGTGATCAATTTTGAGTTCATTTTCATACATAGTGTGAGTTTAGGTTGAGATTTCGATCAAGATTCTTAATTTTGGGGCAAGGTACTATGGCTCTCCAGTTTTCAGTACCATATACTGAAAAAAAGAACCCATTCTCTCATTAGATTCATTTTACGCCTCTGTCAAGCATTACTTGGGCATATGTGTGTAGGGTATTTCTGGGGTCCTCTTCTGTTCCATTGGTTTATGTTTCTATCCCTCTGATGTTACACTGTCTTGATTTCCATATTTCTACAGTAAACTACAATATCAAGTAGAGTAAATGACTTCTTTTTACTTGATTCTTTGACAAGATTTAATTTTTCAGTGACTGTACTTTCCATATATAGTTTATAGATTTTGCTGGCCTAACTATATAGAAAACTTTGCTGGTGCTTTCATAGATCTTTCACTAAGCTCCCAGATCAACGTGGGGACAATTGGCAGCTTTGCTGCATTGAGTTTTCAGTCTATGAACACGTATTCTCCATTTATTTAAGTCTTCTTTGGTTACTTCTGTCAGTATTTTGTCATTTTAAGTTTATAATCCTATACTTGGCTTCCTGAAATTCGTATTAGCAACATCTTAGGGAGATTGCATTGTGATACTTCCACACACCTACTTTCTCCTCTCAATACCCTCCATTGTTCTCATAAATTTATGCCTAAGCACTTAGTTTCTTTGAAGTAATTGTTAGCTGTATTTTTCATTTCAGTTTCTATATATTCCTTCTTAATATGTAGAAAGACGGTTGGTTAGTTGAGTTTGGGATTTAAAGTAGGTAGCCGATGTAGGCTTGCCCTTTCAGCAAGTCTCAGCTGCTCTGGCATCTGGTTGTGTCACTGTCCCCTTCACCAGCTGGTCTGTGCCAGGGTGAACAAATATCTTGGTCTCCCTGGGCCTTCAGGAAAAGAGGGGATGTTCTTTCCATCCCCCAGGGTTCCCAGGAAGAGAAGAGGATGTCATTCCCATTGGGTCACTTTTTCCCTGTCTGCCTAATCTTCGCCCTTTGCTTCTCCCTTAATAAGATCTGCAGCCTCCAGTAATTGAGGCAAGCCATTCATAGACATGGCTGCTCCCCTTGTAGGTATTTAGAGTCATACTGGTTCTAAATGCTCTGTGGATTCTGTTTCTGTTCCAGAGAATATAAAGCAGCTAATATTAACATCAACTTATACATCATCAATGAGCCATGGCTTTTCTCACTGGCATGGTGCTCCAAGATCAACTCAGTGACCACAGACAACATTCCACTCCTGAGTCAGATGAGTTACCCCTACTTCTTCATGGTAAGCTGCTTGTCTAGATCCTTCTTCCCCACCGGGTACAATGATGGTCAGTGCCCTACACTGTTATATTTCCTTCTGTGCAGTCTCCTGGGGAGCTCCTTATAAGAAGGGTCACCTGCGAGTACTGGAGATGTGATATTTCTATGGTTCTATCTAGATCCTCTCATGGTTTTCATTCTTTGAGTCCTTACAATGTGCTTCACATACAGTAGTTATGTATGTGTGTAAGTATGAACTGGCCATAATTATTGCAATCCCCAGGAGGAAACCAAAGTTCAAACATGGCCCTGGCAACCTGGTCTCATGCTTGTGAGATTCAAAATGGAGTCTGATCCCAGAGTTTTGTTATTTCAGCCACAACTCCGTAGAGCTAATGGCAGCAGTAGACAGCGAGCATCATGGGCTCTGTGTAGAAGATCAGGCATATATGACTCTTCGGTAAAAACTATCTCCTGAACAAACTGCTCTTGGAGAGGTGAACAAGTGTCTGTCTGCCTAGCCTGGTTTCCTTTTCTAACCCTTCTGTTCTTCACTACCAAAGACCTGGAGGCCTGAACCCCTAGTACCTGGCACCTGGCTTATAGTCCTACCCTAATTCTACTACCTATTGCCTGTGGAGAGAGCTTGGGCCACCCAGGTACTGCAACAGAGTCTGGGTTTATCTGGCTAGACAGCAGATTGACTGGGACAAACTTGCATATAACAGAAAGAGTTTTTTAAATTGGTTTTCAAGATAGAATCTCACCTGTGTTTCCCGAGTTGGCTTCAAATTCCTTGGCTCAAATGATCCTCCTGTCTTAGCCTCCCAAGAAGCTATGACTAAAGGCATATGCTACTGCATTCAGCTAAAAAACAGTTTAACTTTGTTCCTTTGAAAGCTTTAGGCAGAAAAGACTTCTTGGGGCAGGGTCTTACATGACCATTTCTATACCTCCACCTTCATTGATTTTTGTTTCTTTTCTTTCCTCCCTTGTTTTTTTTTTTCTGTGCTGGTCTGGTGGGATTAAATTCAGAGTCCTATACTCTCCCTTAGCTTTTTCACTCACCCCTCTACTTCCAACATTTTGCTAGTTAATTGGAGACAAGAGTCTTAGAGATTTTCTGTGTGGGCTGGCTTTGAACCTGGATTCTTAGGTCTCCGCCTCCTGAATAGCTAGAATTACAGGCATGAGCTACTAGTTCCCAGCTGGTATGTTTCTGACCTGTTCAGGGTCTAGACTAGGAGACAGGACAGCATCAAGGGCATGGTATCATAGGCCAGTACTGTATTAGGACTCTAATGAAGGTGAGGACTTGCCGGCCATTCTTTCCCTGGTGACTTTCTAGAAGTACAGTGAAGGGAACCTTGGGTGGCAGGTCCTTCAGCACAGCTGAACAGTGTTAGCCCCCCCTCCCTCATCTTCTCCCATTTCCCCCTCCCTGACACCCCAACCCCCAAATTGTAAAGATCATTTCCAACAATGTGTCTAGTGAGTATCACTGTTATAGTGGTTCACTGTCTGTCCCACCACTTCAATGGTTCCTCTTCCCTTCCCCAAATCAGATAAGTGTATATACAAGACAGAAATAAAAAACAGTGACATCAGAGAATAAACCAACGGAACAAAAAATATAAAGAAATAACTAGTATATGTCTGAGACAAGCAGAAAAGGTCAGATAAGTTGATGTTAGGCGAAATGAACCCCAAGATAAGTATTCAAATGTCTTTTCTTTCATGTGATTGTTTCTAACATATTTATAAGATGATTTCTTTGTTGCTTTGTATGTCCCTCCCCCACGGTATAACCCTTGCTCTCACTGTATTTGATGTTGCTATAATTTGTGGAGGGGAAGGGAAAAAAACAGATCATTTAAATAGTGATACAGGTGGACCCATTGCAAGTTGTTATGTTGAAAAACGAACTTTACAACTTTGGCGGTGGCGGGGAGGGGAAGGAGATGGGGGGGGACACATGAGGGTGGGGGGGAGGATGGGAAGGGAAAACAGAGGGTGAGGCAACAATGCTTGATAAGAAATGTACTCATTATCTTGCCCATGTAATTGTAACTCCTCTGTACAGTATTTTCACAAGAAAAATAAAAAATTTTAAAAAAAATTTAAAAAGAAGTAACTGCAAACAGTACACACAAAAGCAAACCAAAAAATCCCTCGTTTCCATTTCTTGGAGATCATTTTGATAAGTATCTTTTTATGTAGTTATATATATATTGCTATTGAGCTATTGTGAACTCCTGCTAAGAATATCCTAGACATTCTAGTTATTATGAATGAGGGAAACAATGCATCCTGTTTCTTTGGGTCTGGCTTGCCTCACTTAATATAATTTTTTCCAAGTCTTTCCATTTCCTTACAAATGGGGCAATGCCATTCTTTCTGATGGAAGCATAGAATTCCATCAGGTATATATACCACATTGAAAATGTATAATTTAGAAAGCAGTACACCCTCTGAATTCGTATCTCCCTGAATTAGTAATGGCTCAAAGTTGTCCATTTGGGAAGTGTGTTTTTACTTAAATGATGCTGAAGCATTTTTCCCCTGAACTGATAATAAATTAATGTGACTCAAATCTCAAAAAAGTAGAAAAAAGGCTGGGAATATAGCTTAGTGGTAGAGTGATTGCCTACCATGCATGAAGCCCTGGGTTTGATTCCTCAGTATCACATAAACAGAAAAAGTCAGAAGTGGCACTATGGCTCTAGTGGTAGAGCACTAATCTTAAGCAAAAGAAGCTCAAGGACAGGACATAGGCTCTGAATTCAAGCCCTAGAACTGGCATTAAAAAGAGAGAAAAAAAGAGGTATTTTTTCATCCTTTCTCCTCAAGCTTGTGTTTATCTCTTTCAGTGAGATGTTTCTTATAGCAAGAAATTTAAATAATAGGATCTTATTTTTCTGAAGTTGCCATTCTATGTCTTTTGACTGGAGAATTAATAAGCCTGTTTACCGTATTTCCTATTATTTTGTTGTTTTTTGTTATTCTTCTTTTCTCTTCTTGCTTTGCTAATCTACTCTTACAGCAAATGCATTATTTCCTTTATTTTTCCATTTTGGTTTTTCTTCCATGAAGATTCCCTTAAGTATCATCTACAGTACTAGTTTAGAAGTAGTGAATCCCTTTAGCTTTGTTTATCCTGGAAGGTTTTATTTCTCCGTTAGTTATGGAGGATGGCTTCTCTGAGTATAGTATCCAAATTAGCAATTGTCTTCAGACTTGAATTATGGCTTTCCATACCCACCTTGCATTTAAGTGTATCAATAAATTTGCTGTTATTCTAATGAGCTTACTATTTTAACTTGACTCCTCTCTTTTTTAATTCTATATAGCATTTTTTTTGGGGGGGGGGGGATCCGGTCATGGGGCCTGTACTCTGGGCCTGGGCGCTGTCCCTCAGCTCTTCAGCTAGCGCTCTACCACTTGAGTCACAGCGCCACTTCTGGCTTTTTTTTTCTGCTTATGTGGTGCTGAGGAATTGAACCCAGGGCTTCATGCATGCAAGGCAAGCGCTCTACCACTGAGCCACCTTCCCAGCCCCACCTATATAGTATTTTTATGATAATGTGTCTAGAGTTGTTTCTTCTCTGACTATGCCTATTTGGAGGTCTATGTCTCCATCATACAGATTACTGTCTCTTTCTTAATGCCTGAGTACCTTGTTTTTCAATATATTTGTTTTAATTTCTCTGCTTTGTCTTCAACCTCTGATACCCTGTTTTCAACTTCATCCTTTCTATTAGGCTTTTGGTTGAGTCTTTTATTTGGGCAGTTGAACTCTTAATTTTAAGGAGTTTAGTTTTATTTTTTTTTTTACAAGGTTTCCATCTTTTTATTGAATTTCTCATATCCTACACCTTCACTTGTTTGTTCAATCATTCAGCTGTTTGTGTTTTCTTGTTATTATCAGTTCAATTTCTCTTATTTTTGTTTGAATCCTCTTAGAATTTCTCATTTTAAAAATACCTGTTTCTCGGGGCTGGGAAGGTGGTTCAGTGGTAGAGCGCTTGCCTTGCATGCATGAGGCCCTGGGTTCGATTCCTCAGCACCATATAAGAAAAAAGAAAAAGCCAGAAGTGGCGCTGTGGCTCAAGTGGTAGAGCGCTAGACTTGAGCTGAAGAGCTGAGGGACAGTTCCCAGGCTCAGAGTTCAGGCCCCACAACTGGACGCCCCCCCCAAAAAATAAAAATACCTGTTTCTCTATTATATTTATGTTTTTTTACTATTGTTTTATTGAGCTCATTGGGATTTCTTCATTTTCACTTTCTCTTAAATCCTTTACTGTGGTATTATTGGTTTTTTTGTTGTTGGTGGTGGTTGTGGTGATGAGGACTGAATTCAGGGCCTGAATACTGTCCCTGAGTTCTTTTGCTTAAGGCTAAGGCTCTATCACTTTGAGCCACAGTGTCACTTTCAGTTTTTGAGTGGTTAATTGGAGATGAGTCCCCTTGGTTTTTTGGCCTGGGCTGGCATTGAACCATGATTATCAGATCTCAGCCTCATGAGTAGCTAGGATTATAGGTGAGAGCCACCTATATACCAGCGCCTGGCTGGTGTATTTATGTATTTGGTTACATAGGTAAAAAAAGGAGTGGCAGGTAAGTTTTATGGAGAGGAAAATGGATAGTAGAGTGAGATAAGTAAAAAAGAAATTAATGACTTTTTGTTTTTGTTTAGGGAATGGGAAGTTGAAGTGAGAGGAATTTAGTTCACTCATATGCATAGATTTTTTTTTTTTTAAAGACAACACCAATGACCAAAAAGGAGAAAAGAACTTGAGTGCCAGTGGACTATACCTATAATCCTAGTTACTCAGGAGGTTGAAATCCAAGGATCACAGTTCAAAACTGCACTGAGCAGGAAAGTCTGTGAGGCTTTTATCTCCAATTAACCATCAAAAGGCCAGAATGGAACTCTGGATCAAGTGGTAGAGCACTAGCTGTGAACAAAAAAAGCTAACGGACAGTACCCAGTCCCTGAATTCAAGCTCCAGTGCCAACATATGTGTGCATACATACATGCACACATACATACAAAGAAAACCAAACAAAAGCTGAAAATAGAAATTAAAATACAAAAAAAGTTTTTTTTAAAGTAATCTAGTTAGCAGGTGTGAGTCTAGGTAAAGAGGAAGAATTAAGCATGGAGAAACAAGGGGAAGTGTTCCACTTGTAGATATACAGAGAAGGTATACACGGGAAGAATATTGACAGACAGGTAATGGTTTCAAGAATAATCATTTCAGATAAAATGAAGGGAGAGAAGCAAAATACAAGACAAAATGAGAGGTGGTAATAGGTACAGGTAGTAAAGTGGCCTTTATCTGATTTATAGAAAAAAAGCATGCAGTTTAACAATACTCAGTTGAACCAAAAGAGAAACAAAGACAGACTTATATACAACAAATATGAATTCTTGATTGTTCTTGAATATCTTATATGTATATTTACGTATAGACTTTTCTGCAGATTCTAAGAGGCCAAGTATGAGGGCTTTGCATCCCTCAGAAGACCTTTCATGAAGGAAAGGCCTTTAGAGTTCAAGCTGATGGCTAATGCCTCTATTATTTGGCACAGCAGGTAATCCAAAGATTGCTTACCTGCTAGGCCTGGCACAGCTACCTCCATCCAGTGGAAGGCTGTGATGAGTTTTTTCTTTTGTTTTTTGAGATGCAATAGTTTGGGGGTAGATTCCATGCATGCACTGTGTTTTTGGAGGTCCAGAGCTCTTTCCACATCAGTTCGTACAGCTACTGCCTGGACGCCTCTGTTCTCTGATGTGGTGGGAATTCCCAATCCTCCATCTCCACACACTGTTGCCACGATTCTGCAGCCTCTGACCTCCTCCTGCAGCCTGGCTTCCTACAGCTTAAAATGTGTTGCTGCTTCCTGCCTGTCATTTTCCCCTCCTTTCACGCACCTCTTATACCTGATTTTTACCCAAGTTCTATGGCCGAGATGTCTGTTGGGTTAAGTTGTGATTACTTCTTGACCTTGGGCTCCCAGAGAAACTTTCTCAAGAGGGTGACTCTGTTGCTCTATGGGATAGGGGGACACAGAATATCTTTTATTTCCTAAAGTGCAGTCTCTCACAGCAGATTAGTCCCTGCCTCCCAAGTCCCTTCACTGGTGGTAAGGCTGGCAGTTTCCCACAGCTGTGTTTGACAAGCCCTCGGTGAGGCTGATTTTACCTGTTGTGGTCTTCAGTTCCTCTGTCCCCAGCTGGGGAAGCCAGGTGCTAACTGCAAACTCCTTCACATTTCCCCCGCTGCTTTTCTTGTGCCATGATTGCTTTCTGTGCAATTTCCTGGGTCCTTGAGAACTCTTTATAGGTTCTCCTTTCTTCTCCTCTTTCCTTGAATCTGGTTACGTCTGTGTAGCCAGCTTCTCATTCACAGAGTGAAAATGGTAGATGCTTTCAAGCAGCCATCCTGCTTGACCTCTCACTTTGTGTTTTGTAGACACCAGGATACTACATGGGCATATGGCTTCTCGTGGATTTTACTTCTGCAGTTATCATTACCGCCATATTTTGTTTCCACTGGTAAGTAGATATAATTTTAAAGGAATGTTCCCAAATAAATAGGTTCCTACAGAGTTCTGAGGGGGGAAAATGCATTTTTCCTGTAATTCCATGTGGCAAGACTGGCTTAAGGGAAAACTCTTTGTTTCTTCTTACGCTGCCTGCATTGCCTCATATCCCTTCCCAAGAGAGGACAATGCTTTCAGGACAAGGACTCTCACTAAAGCATAATCAAGTGTGTTATTTTCAATTCAAGATGGAGCCAATAGAAGAAGACAAGGTTGACGAGTTTCCAGAATAAACACCTCCCCTGGGGCTGGGAAGTTGGCTCAGTGGTAGAGCGCTTGCCTTGCATGCCAGAGGCCCTGGGTTCGATTCCTCAGCACCACATAAGCAAAAATAAAAAATAAAAAACACCTCCCCTCCCCTGCCAACCATGAATGGACAGAGCAGGGTTTTGTGCAAAGAAGCAAAGTCAAAGACCAGGAAGACCACTTTTTTTTTTTTTTCTGGTCTTGGGGCTTGAACTCAGGGCCTGAGTGCTGTCCCTGAGCTTTTTTACTCCAGCTCTACTTCAGGGTTTCTGGTTGGTTAATTGGAGATGAGTCTCGCAGACTTTCCTGCCCATGCTAACGATCCTCAGATCTCAGCCTCCTGAGTAGTGAGCCACCAGCACCCGGCCACCCCTAGAATTTTATTAGTTGAAATGGGGTCTTGCTAAGTCTTTGCCCAGGCTGGCCTTCAACATCACTTCTCCCAATCTCAACCTTCTGAGTAGTTACAATTACAGGATGCGCCACCACACCTGACTTCTTGACTTCATATTCTTTTTATCTGTCCAAGAAAATGTTTGAGAATCCTTGCAGAGCAAATGCTACAGGATTGTTTAGATTTAAGGTGGAAGAGGGATGGAACATCCTGGAAAAAGCATGGTTAGAAAACACCATGCTTCCTTAGACCCCATCATTTCTTGATTTACAACTGATCCTCTAAAGGGGATCAAGGCCAAACTCAGCTTCAAGTGAGAATCTGACTGAATAATGTTTTGCTTCTGTCCTCTGCCTGGGATTATTACCTTTTTTCAAAGAGGCTCATGGTCTGCTTCCTTTCAGGTGGAGAGAAGCTGAAAAGGAAAAAATGCGGGAAGTCTGCGAAGCCTCAGGTAAAGTCCAAGGCCTTGCTTGCTCCTCACTCTTGTCCCCCTACCCATTGCTTCCCAGAGCCCTGGTCTGTTTTTCTCCTGAAGGTGTACGGGGAAGACAGGGGACATGGGAGCCAGGGAGAAGTCAGGAAGTCTAGTCAGTCCACTCTTTATCCATGGGCTTCCAGCTAAGAAGTCAACCAAGTGCTGGTGGAAAATACTGAAATAGAAGTTAGGTGATTGCTGATACGTACTGTATAGCTCAGCATGTGGCCTGATACTGTGAAGAGTATGGACTTTTCCTAGTCAGTGGGGCTGCTCTATTTAATACTTAAGTGCTTTCTCTCAGAAAACAATACTATTGGAGAAATGCCTTCTTTCTTGATTTTATTGTGTGAACATCAAATATACTTAGCACAAACCTAGATGATATATAGTCTGTGAATGTGTGGTATATATGTACACCATATAGAATAGGAGAGAGAAGAGAGAATGAGAGAGAGAGAGAGAGCTTCTTAGGTCATAATGAACAGAAAACATGATAGCAAACTAAGCACAAGAAAACAATGCAATCAGACTTAGCCCAAGATGTATAGACTGTTGCTTGCATGGCACAGCATTGTTTTATAATAAAGTTTTATAATTAGGAATACATTGTAAAATAATGATAAAAAGTATATAGTATAATCAACATATAAGCCAATAACATTGATGTGTAATTATCAGCATTATGTCCTGTTCATGGTTGTACTACCAGCCATACAGTAGAGGTTTTTTCTTTTTTTTTTTATACTAGATCACTCCAGATCTGGAATGTGTTGTGACATCATGGTAGCTACAATGTCACTGATAGGAATTTTTCAGCTCTATTATGATCCTATGGGTGATAGACTCAAACACTGTTTTGTGGCATGTGACTGTTTCCTAAACAATGTGGCATAACTATTACTTAGCTTGTATATAGTATTTGATATTATAAGTAATTACTTAGCTTGTATATAATATTTGACATAAGTAATCTAGAGATGATTTAAAGTATAAAAGAGGATATGTGTAGGTTATATTTTATTTAAGCAGTACTGGGATTTGAACTCAATGCTTGCTAGGCAATTGTTCTACCAGTGGAACTACATCCCTAGCTATGTCTTTGAGCCTCTGAGTCCTAGAACCAGTCCCCTGCTAATAACAAGGAATGATTAAATGGACAAGTTTATATCCTAGATGACCTTTAACATCAGACTTCAGATTTTGTCAAAACCATGAGATCACTGGGAAGATTTTAAGCGCAGACATTTATTTGTTTACTTCTTTGTATACTATTCATACATCACACATTGAGTACCTACTTTTTACCAGACATTCCAAAAGGTTGCAGAGAATTGAAATCTGTCTGTGGAGAGTGTGTCCCAGGAGAGAGGAGGGCTTGGCCAACAAAGACCAGTGAGGAAAGCAGGCAGTAGTGGTAGTTGGCCACTAAGCCGGCACCCACGTCCAGGACAGAGTAGCTCTATCGTGTGCCAACAGGGCTGCAAATGGTCCATAGGGTTCAGCTATGTTTGATATGTGTTAGAAGATGGAGAAAGAAAACTGCTGAGGGCCTGGAATTCTAGGATAGAGTCTAGTCTCTGTCTATAGGCAATAAAGAGGTGAAAATTTTCAAACAAGGGAAATGGCAAGGGCCGGAAATGTCTATTCAGCGAAACATCTCAAGGGCTGAGGAAATGCAATAGGCCCAGCAAGGGGAGGAGAAACTAGAGCTTCTCAGAGGACTGTGGTATTATGGCTTAGCAAATTATGGAGATGGTCATAGAGAATTACTAGTTAGGGAAACTAGTACAGTCCCACAAAGAAAACCAGTTAAGCAGAAGCCTGTGGAGTATGGGTTATCATTTCTTTCATAGTTCCTAGAGCTTTTTTACTAAAATTACTGCACAAAAGCATTAGGTGATTCCAGTTCTTGTGGACAGTGAAAATTCCAAGATTCCATGAACCAGCTCTTGATACACATTTAAGGCTGTAGGAATGGATCCACAGGACCATGAAAAAAAAAAAGACCACTGAAATTATTCATTTTCTTTTTAAATGTGTTGTGAAGTTGAAGTTTTTAAGTCAAATTCCTTTAAGTAGCAAAGAAATCTCAACTCTTGGTTTGATAGATTTTAAGGTCATCCCATTTATTGTCTGTGTTCAAGTATTTCAGCTACTTAATGATTATTCCTATACTGGTAAGTATAAATGAGTGCCAGAGATTGGACGAGTGAACCACAGAAATTTATGTTCTTATCATTTTGGCATCTGGAAGTCTAAAATCAAAGTACTGGCAAATTTGGTTCCTGGTGAGAACTTTCTAATCTCTATCTAGACAACTACCTTCCCACTACAACCTTATAACCTTTCTTCAGAGTTTACATAGCAAGAGAGTTCTGATTGCTTCAGCTTCTGGTAGGATACCAGACCTACCAGATTAAGGACTGGTCCATTGACCTTGTTTAACCTTAACAGTCCCATTTCCCAAACATAATCAGACTGAGTGTGTAGGGCTTCAATATATGAATATGGAGGTGGGGAAGAGAATTCTGTCTGTAACAGTAACCCAAATATGAAATGATTAGAGCATGGAAATGATGAGAGCAATATGGAAAAGAGGGTACTTTAACCCTCGGTGGAAAAAAAGTCCAGGGTGGTGTACATGCCCGGTAAGTGCTCTACAACTGGGCTATATCCCACGTGTCTAGGAAAGACATTTTGAAAGACTAAGAAGTGCAACGGAGGTAGCAATAATGCCTTAGAAACAGTACTAAGTTAATTTGCCCCTACTGTGTTGAAATGGTGACAAGAAAGGTAAGTAGAAAATTCAAGTGTTCTCTATTTTTAATAGTTCGCACTTTTTTTTAATAGTTCGCACTTTTATGTTATAGAATATACTTTTTCCTGATGTAAGCAGAAGGAAATATATTGAAAAGCTATTTGAGTACCTCTGATAGACACAGAGAGGGTACAAGACCAAAGTTAGGGTCAGAGAAAGCATTGGGAAGACTGGACACAGGCAGCCTCATCTTACACCACGTCTACCAGCTAAGTGGGTATGTTTTGCTACACCTGCTGTCTGGACACCCACTGCCTTCTGTTCTGTGTAGTTTCCTATGAAAAGGTCTTCAGATTTCATTTCTCTAGCTGCTATTTAAGATTGTTCTTTTTATTAGACTTTTGGTTAAAATTTTTTTCTTTTGGTATATGCTTGATTTTGAATAAATACTATTTCTGTATTGTTTTTAATTTCTGTGCAAAAAATTGTTCCAAACCTTACACCAACATAAATTTAGTATCAGTCATAGTTATCTTTTGCTTAGAATTTACTAGGCTGTCAAAAAATAAAACACCTCTTTGGTTAATTGAGTTCCTAGGTAAAGAACCTCTCTTATGAAATTTTTAAAAATCAGAAAAAAATTGAAGCAGATTTAAGGAAATGGAAAAAAGCCTTCCATGGAAGGTTTAACATTGTGAAAATGGCAATATTGCCCAAAGAAATTTACAAATTCAATGCAATACCAATCAAAATCCCAACAATATTCTTCATTCCAAAAATTCATATGGAATAATAAGACCCCAAAGAGAAAAAAAAATCCTTAGCGGGAAGAACAGTGTTGGAGGAATATCAATACCAAGATCCAAACCCTATTACAAAGCCATAGTAATAAAAAAAACAGCTTGGTAGTGACACAGAATAGGCCTGAGGACCAACAGAACAGAACAGAAGACCCAGAAATGAACCCACAGACCTACAGCTGGGCAGAATTGACTATGCACATGCAGAAAACTGAAGCTAGAGCCTTATATATCGCCCTGCACCAGGATCACTTCTAAATGGATCAAAGACTTCAATGTAAGGCCAGATACCATGAAACTATTACAGGAAGAGTTATGGGAAAAACTAGGGCTCCTAGGCATGGTTGAAACTTCCTAAATAAAGATCCAGAATCAGAACAAATCAAAGACTAGATAAATGGGATCACATCAAACTGAAGAGTTTCTGCATGGCAAAGGACATAGCTAGCTAAAAAGTCCACAGAATGGGGGAGGATTTTTACAAGCTATGTATCAGACAAGGGCCTCATATCTAAAATACATTGAGTTCAAACAACACCTCCCCCAAATAAACCCTCAGAGAAACAACTCAATAAATGGGCTAAAGACTTAGAGACTTCTCAAAAGAAGTAAGAATGGCCAATAGACACATGAAGAGAGATGTTCAACATCTCTGGCCATAAAAGAAATACAAATCAAAACAGCATTGAGATTTCACTTCACCCCAGTTAGAATGGCCATGATCAAGAAAACTAAATAACAGATGCTGGCAGGAAGGTGACCAAAAGAGGGAGCACTACTACATTGTTGGTAGAAATGTAAACTTGTTCAATCAGTCTGGAAAATAGTGTGAAGGTTGCTCAGAAGACTAAACATATTGCTCCCCTTTGACCCAGCAATTCCACTCTTGGGCATGTATCCAATAGACCACAAACAAGATCATACTAAAGCTATCAGCACAAAAATTTAACATTAGCAAAATGGTATATATAGATAGTATCATCTAAGGACATTTGTTACAGATATGTCCTTTGATAATTTAGTGTCTTCAGTGTAGCTTATTGATGAACCTCACTAGGAAAAAAAATATTGTTTCTGTCTTTTTTGTCTCTGTCCTTAACAGGCTATTCCTTTGAAGAGAAAAGGTATTGCTAAATTGCTTCCTAGCTTCAGTTTTTTAAATTCATGGTACATTATAATGATGTTACATAAAGTTTTCAGAGCATAGTAAGGGGGAAAGATGTCTACCAAACATTTCAAGATTTCAGATTCCCACTGCTTTGTTAACAATTAGGAATTTAGAACAGTATCCATTTGTCATCATCTTGCAGTGCCTGTAAGTCAGAAGTCTGTGCACAGCTCAGCTGAATCTCAAAAGGCTGCCATCAGAGTCAGTCAACTAAGGTCACTGTTTTGCTTAAAAAATGTGGTTGTTGGCAGAATCCACTTACAGCCATAAGACTGATCGCAGCTTGGCTTCACTACCAGAAGCCTCTTTGTCCAAGAATTTTGTTAACGCTGGATGAAAGATATGAATATAAATACCCCCAGAAACTCAAGGAACTCTTAGTAGGAACCCAAACTTAGTAGCTAAAGGCACTAATGGGAAAAGATGTAAGGAAATGAGGGATAAAAAATCCTATAAGGCATGTAAAAAACAACAAAATTACAGAAGTTTTTCCCTATTAGTATTTAAATAGTATCCTTATTCGTATTTAAATCAGAAAGTGTCCTAAAGATAGAGATTGGTACCAGGTATGGTGGTGCATGCCTAACAGGAAGATCAAGGCCAACTGAAATTACAGAAAAGGGAGGGCAAGATTTGCAGAATGGATTTTAAAACAAAATCAGAAAATACACTATTTTTGTAAGACACTAGGATTGATAACCCTTTTAAGTCCTCACAAAGAAAGATGTATGATGGGTTACTTGAAACTACAGAACTTCACTGAAAGATGACTCATATATATATATATATATATATATATATGTGTGTGTGTGTGTTCATAAATCAGAAAACCTAATATAAGATATTGCCATGGAAGTGACCTACAAATTCAGTTCAAGTCTAATAAAAATCCTCTTTCACTCATGAAAATGACAAAGAAAATACATTTCACTCTGGATAGGAATTTCCTCTGGATAGAAATATCCTCAGGGGGAAAAAAATTTTCTGAGGATCACTTCTTTGGATTCTTATTTTCTTCTAGATTTTGGCCCCTTGGTTCCTCACTATATTGTAATTTTGAGATTTTTTTTCTTTAGAGAGATTTGTTTTTGCAGATCTAGTTTTCTCTCTCAAATAAGATGATTGCTCTTTTTGCTGTTTCCTATTTACTTTCCTGTCAGACAAACAAAAATTTATTCAGTGCTTACTATATGACAGCCAATTCTAAACATGTCTTTAAAACATCCCATTGTAGCCCATGTTTGTAAACATCTGCACATTAACCAAAAGTCAATGCTTGTCTCAGGCATTGCATGGTAAGTAAGCTAGAACCTCACGCTGGATCATTAACCCTTCACAAAGTCTGACGGAGAGGCAGAAGGAACTTAGAGGTAAGAACCTGAGTGTTAAGTGAAGAGCTGACATTTGTATTTCACACACTGGCCTGAGTGAGAGCAATCTGTATTTGTATCTTTTCTATCCCACAGAGACCGCCAGCCTGCAGGAGAAACCCACACAGCCTCCTGATCGAATTGGGGAAAGTCCTTGGATTATAAACCCCCCAAACAAGGGCTCAAAGAAACCACCATCTGTGAAGGACAATGTTAAAACAGATGCCGCAAATGCTCCAAAGCCTCCCGTGACAGAGTCCTCCAAAGATACCAATACGTACTATTCCACCTTCTCCGAGACCTCTCAAGAGCCACGTACAAAGTAGTAGCAGCCATACCTTGCCACCCTTCTTTCTTTCCAAGCCTAAGGGTATTAGGGTAAGAAGTAGTCAAGAAGGCAAAATGGAAGAGCCTTGGGGAGAATCATTCTGGTCCAGCCACTCTATAAAGAATTCATCTCAGTAGGATGGGGAAACAGTGATGTGTGATCTTGGAGTATTAAGGGGTTGTCTCATCTTAATACCTCTGTTGTAGTTCCTGCTAAGTGACTGTGGTGGGCATCTAATCCTAACTACTCAGGAGGCTAAGAGCTCTCTGGGTGACCTTCACCCATGGACAATCCCTCTCTGGGCTTTGGCCTTTCTCCTTGGTATGACGGCATAAGGCAGACTACCCACAGCACCTTCCTCCTGGTCCAGATTTATCCACACTGTGGACTCGCAGGCATGTTTCCTCAGAGAGCCACATCATCATTCCAGAAAGCAAAGCTGCTACTCACACACACCAGGAGGTCAGGGAAGAGCACTCCCTTTGTAGGAGCGGGGGTCTGCTCAGGTGCACAGAGGTGGATGGCCCTCCTGAAGTATCAAGGAAATCTCGAGAGTGGCTGGTAAACACTCACACCCCTCTATGCTAGACACATAAGGATTTAACCTAACTGGTGCTAAGATTCTTGGACATGTACCGTCTTATAAGCCAAGAAGTTTCTAACAAGGTACAAGGGCCATCTGGCTCTGCTGGCCCTAGTTACAGGAGCCAGAAGCTGATTCCAGCCCATGCCCACTCAAACTGATCTCCCACACCGATCATCTGGCCCCTTGAGATACTTGCAAAGCATATCCAGGGCTCAAACACTCCTAACCACAAACCTAGATCAGGCAGGCTCAGACACAGAAAATAGGCAGGCTCAGACACAGAAAATAGTCATTCAGGTGACTCTCCTACAGGTTCCTGTCCTGACCCCATACTCCCTTTCCAGCAAAAACACTGCAGGGCCAAAGGATAAACATATACTTTATACCCTGAGGCAGTCAGGGAGACATGCAGGAGCCCTGCACTCACACTGTGGTACACATAGGTAGTCTGGTTCCCTCCCTCCAGCTGAGGATGCTGAACTCAAGGGAAGTAACCCAGCCCCTTGGGTTCCAGAGTATCCTGTTCAATGCACAAGAGCTTTGGTTGTTCCCAGTGGGGAGGCCTGGGTTGTCCTCTCAATGGCTCTGTCCACTTGGTGCACAGAAGGTTAAGGAGAATCACGTGGTGGGATTGTCAGGAGAGGCATCCAAGGAGCACAGGCTCGTACATTGGAAGGCCACATGAAGTTAGGACAAGAACTAACCCGGGTGCTAGAAGAGGATGCAGGGAAGCTCTGACCTCACTGAAAACTGCTTGGAGGTCCAGTTGATAGTCAACCCAGCTTCCATGCCAGAATGGCACAGGTCCTCCCCAGCTGCTGCCTGGAGAGCAGGCCCAGAGCCAGCAGCTCCTCCGGTGGATTCACTTGCCACTCCTGGCACTCCGCTGTTTGCTCATGGCAGTGAGCATCTGGCTAATGTAGGAAGTCAAGAGGTCATCCATCTTGTAGCCCTGGAAGCAGGGTTGGGGAGATAAGCAAAGCATAAATGGGGCAAGGTCAGAGACTCAGACCCCGGACCAGGGCAGTTGCCACACTCAGAACTTGGCCTCCCCATCCACACAGGTAAAGGACCGGATTCATCCATCCATACAGACCGCTTGTGCCCAAACTTCATGGTCCCACACTAAGCCCTCAGCATCCTGGATGCCTCCCTCTAGCAGTGACAATGAGGCAACCAATTGAAATACACCTTAGAGCTCAGTCTAGATGCTGCTGCTAACAGTTCCAGCTGGTGAATGGGGCAAAAGTCTGATCATCACACTCACTCCTCAGATGCTGAAACTGGAGTCTGTTCCTCAGCCTCTGATGAAGGCTCTTCCTCAGACCTAAGTGAACCTGAACTTGGACCCTGACCATATCCAGACACACTGAACACTCTTCCCCCCTAACCCCGTGTTGGCTCTAGAGGCCAGCAGGGACTCATGCCAGGCTTGCCAGGAGGATCTCTCACCAGCGACGTCTCACACAGCAATTTGCTCCCTCGGACCAGGTTCCCAATGGTAATGTGAAAGTAGGTGTTGCCACTGCTCCAGTTGGAGATCTTGGTGAAGGGATGCGTAGTCAGGATGTCCTGGGGGAGTGGCAAGACAGGATGCTGACAGGATGCTGACACACAGACAGACAGACACACAGACACACACACACCTCTGAGCTCCAGCCATAGACACCACCTCTTCCCAGAAGGCCAAGGCCAGCTCTGTGTGGAGCTGCTGGGGGAAGCAGGCACTAGCCCCCCCCCCCCATGCCATTCATAGGACCTAAAAGTCCAGTAGCTGTTGGGTATTTGGGGCCAGTATTATGCAAAAACAAGACAGTCTGGGTATAAAAAACACAAAATATGCACAAAAGAAAGACAAAAGACAGGAAACCCAAGAACATGTAGCCTTGAAGCCCAGGAGAAGAATGACTATTCATGCTCTTTGCCAGCCATCTGGTTGTCCCCCTTCTGGGGCCATAAACATGATTACCTCCAGCAGAGGCTGCCATCGGGTAGTGGGCAGAGAACATGCTAGGAGGAGGACAACTTGTCACATCCAAGTTGGTGGGATTTATCAGCAGGGGGGTTGTGAGTAAATCTAGGAAGCCAGTTTCCATGGAGCAAATGAGGGGCAAAGAAAATCCATAGGAAATCACAGCCCAGCCTCTCAAAGTTGACAGTAAAGAGCCTGAAGAATGAGGTCAGGCTGGAGGGGCTTGAGTAAGGCTGGGACTTGGGGCAGCAGTGCAGAGATGCCCACCCTGCTTGCTCACCTTAGTCCTGGGATCGATGAGGCTCACTCCATACTTGTTGATGGCAATTAAGAGGATCTCGGGGAAGTTTGGCTCCGTGGTTTGCTAGCAAAGGTGGGCAACTATAAGATGGGGAAGCTAGGGCAGGACAAGCACTAGGAGGCAGGCGGGCCTCCACCCTGGGCGGATGACGTCATCCTGGCCTGCTGCCTATTTGGAGCCAGGGATGCAGAGCCACTGGTGGCCCTGCCATGACCTCTAAGGGTTTCAACCTCTGCCACAGTCTTCCCTACCTCTTCATGGGTCCATTCCTGCTCTTTGCTTCCCTTGGAGGCTTGGCTAGGTCCATAGTCTCCGCCCAACCATCTCCCATTTTTTGATACTATTTTGAGGGGATGTCAGGGACTATACTGGGGCCGGAACTCAGGGCCTGTGCTCAAGACTATTACTCTACCACTTGAGCCACAGCTCCACTTCCAGCGTTTGGTTGATAGGAGATTAAGAGTCTCCCAGACTTTCCTACCTGGGCTAGCATTGAACCTCGATCCTCAGAACTCAGCCTCCTGAGTAGTTAGGATTGCAGGCGTGAGCCACTACCACAGCCTGGCTCCAAGTCCTTTAAAATCCCTCCTTGACTGGACACTGGTGGCTCACGCCTGTAATCCTAGCTACTCAGGAGGCTGAGATCTGAGGATCGCGGTTCAAAGCCAGCCTGGGCAGAAAAGTCTGTGAGACTCTTATCTCCAATAAACCATTAGAAAACTGGACGTGGCACTGTGGCTCAGGCGGTAGAGCACTCGCCTTGAGCTGAAGAGCTGAGGGACAGCACCCAAGCCCAAAGTTCAAGCCCTATGACTGACAAAATAAATAAAATCCCTCCTTGAACCCTACACCTGCCCAGCTATTCACCTAGCCCTTTGCTCCTCACACAGGTAGGCTGCTCAGGAGCCCTGCATCCTCATACCAGTGTCACCATTCCCTTGCCATGGCTATCCTGGGGTCTGAGCCGCTGTCTGGAGTTGCCATTCCTATTCAAACCCTCCAGAGCTCAGGGCCACCTGGAGGAGGAGGCCCCACCCCCCACCTGCTTGCCAGCCTCCCTCTCACAGTCACTGCCCACCTACACCCAGCCACACTTAGACCTTTGCCCATGCAGGGCTTCTGCCAAGAGCATTCTCTCAGGGATCTCCCTAGAAAGCTCAGGTGCCACTTCTTCCCTGGCTCATCTCAGTCTGAGCAGGATCTCATGGGCTCTGCCACCTTGGTTAGCACTTGCACTGTCAGCACAGGCCACCCTCCATTCCAGATTAAGCTGCTGCTCCTTCCATCCTCGGGGCTGAGCCCAGACACAGCTGTATGGAGGCTCAGTGTGCTTCCCGACATCCCTTGCTGGGGCAGCTGTCCATGGCCATTATGGCTTCCCTCCGTCCCCAGGAAGGAGTCTCTGTGCCTGTGCTGTCCCTCTAGCCCTCCTCCTCCTCCTCTGTGGACTCCCATGACATACCTTCACCTCAAAGAAGGCTGAGCCAAAAGTGGGCCACTTGAAGATGAGCTTCAGGAAGGCCAGCTTGGCCTCCTCCTTGGACTTCCCCGCATGCTTGTTGAAGTAGGCAACAATGGACTACAAGGAAAATGGCTCAGGTTGACAGGCCTACCCAGCTTGTCTGTACCTCCAGGGTCAGACCTACATAGGCCTGAGGTCATCAGGACTGCCTACCTCACCTCTCCTCCCCTTGGCAGGGGTAACTAGAACCAGCTAAATGACCACCTCAGAGCCACTGAATCCTTGGCAGAACGAGAGACTAATTAAGTGGAAGCAGAATGTGGTGGGGAGGCCTTATCACATACAGGAGCCAGGACAGGCACGTGCTGAGCTGTGGCCTTGACCCCACTCACCGGGTCCTGGTCCCCACTCTCCACCACCCCTCATGCGTACCCGCTTCCAGTCGTCAGGTGAGATCTGCCGGATGAGGTCCTGGGGCACCAGCTCCCTTAGCAGCTTGGGGATGCTGGGGAAGTAGGACTTGTCCTCCTCAAACTTCACCCTGTAGATTAGCGCCCCCAGCTGGAGCACCTCCTCCCGTGTGCACTTGTGGTAGCCCCGGAGATACTTGGGCAGCTCCTGCCAATAAGAGCAGGTCAAGGGTATGGAGGGAGAGACCTGAGGGGAAAGGGGCTCCTTCCCCATTACCCCATCTAGAGGCTCCTGCCCTGCCCCCACTCTTGGGCCACCCGTTCTCCAGTCCCAACTGACCGCTCCCCTGCTTCCCCAGAGGATGGAAAAACAGCAAGAGTGCCCATACAGATTCACACTTTACAGATGGAAAGTTCAGGCGAGCTGGCTGCACTCTGCACATTACCAGGCAAGGGAGCAGCCCCCTTTCAAAGATGGAGAGACTCGGTGATCAGTTAGTGGGCCTGAGAGAGTTCCACACCCCTCCTCTCCTAGATGCCTCCCCCCTACCCCAGAAGAGCCTCCTCCCATTTTGGAACCAGTTTCAGCAGCGCCAGCCTCATATTCCCTTGAGCTTCCAGACCCAAGTGCAGAGCATCTGAAAAGAGGGGTGGACCAGGCAGAGATAAAGCCTCTGAAGAGCCAATGGAGCCCATAGAATCCTGGGCCATCTATTGGAGGGGTAGGGAAAGTGAGGCTGGCCTGAGAAGACATTGCTGATCAGAGACCTTAGTTAATCACTCTCCGTCCATTTTCCCCCTATTTTCTCATGTCTATCCATGTACCCACATTGACACCCATGTCCACCCATAAACTCATTTGGCATTCATCCTAGCCATCTGCTCACTAAGTCACCAGTTCACCTACTCATATCCATTTAGTTCAACAAATACTTGTTGAGCATCTACTTATTACAAGCCTTTCAAACAATCACACGCATCCTCAAGGCAAAACCAGACATCAATAATCACACCAAACTACTGCACAATGGCACTTGTGGGAGGAGCCATTTGCAGTGGCATGCTCCAGTCTAGCAGACAAGAGTTCCCTCTAAAATCAGATGTCTGAGCTGGGCACCAGTGGCTCACGCTTATAATCCTAGTTACTCAGGAGGCTGAGATCTGAGGATCTTGGTTCAAAGCCAGCCCGGGCAGGAAAGTCTGTGAGACACTTATCTCCAATTAACAACCAGAAAACCAGAAGTAGTGTTGTGGCTCAAGTGGTAGAGTGCTCATCTTGAGCTGAAGAGCTCAGGGACAGCACCCAGGCCCACAGTTCAAGCCTCATGACCGACCTAAATACAACAACAAAAAGATGAGATGTCTGAAAGCCAGCAAAGTAAGGGAGGGATTAAGGGAGAGCATTCTAGATAAGACCACTGATGGAAGACTTCAGACTCTGAAAACTGTAGTGACAGTGACCTGAACCAAGGGCATCAGGTACAAGAAGATAGGATCAGCTAGCCTGAGCAGACCTAAACCTCAAAACATTTTTATCTCCAATTAACCAACAAACAGCCAGAAGTAGAGGTGTGGCTTGAGTGTTAGAACACCAGTACTGAGTGGGAAAATAAAAAAACTAAGCAGGAGAGTTAGGCCCTGAGTTCAAGCTCTATACTGGCACACACAAAAACGTGGCCAGAAAGAGAGGTAGGCCACAATCTATGTTTAGAGTTAGGCCTCAAAAACCATGGAAAGCCACTGAATGGGTCTAGAAAGCAGGGGACTGCTCCAGACAGAGAAAACACCGGAAGCTCAAAGGAACAATGATCAAGCCTCTGGGCAGCAGGCTTGCCTTTCACAGACAAAGCACAGCAGGGCCAGTACTGAGCAGCTCACCTGGTAATAGTGGAAGATGGAGTCTGCCATGGGGTCCTTGCCTGGCACTGTGGTGGTCCACAGCTTCTTCATGAAGAACACCTGGTAGGTGAGCGAGGGCACAATTCCTATGGCACAGGGCAGCAGGTCAGGCAGAGTGCCAGCACAGATACCCATGGCCCTCCCAACCCAGCTTTAGCACCAGCCAAACCCTAGCCTGCCCCTACCCAGCAGGCCTTTTGGTGGCCTTACCTGCCCTCCCTGGGTCTCAGGGGATCCCATACCCAGGTCATTACCATCCTTGATGGGCCGTGCTTTCTTGATCCAGTCTGTGAGGTGCCGCACAAAGTCAAAGAAGAAGTCATTCTCAGGGACACTGATGACCTATGGACACAGTGATCATAGTCCATTCATAGTGTGTGTGTGTGTGTGTGTGTGTGTGTGTGTGTGTGTGTGTGTGTGTGTGTGTGTGTGTGTGTGTGTGTGTGTGTGTGTGTGTGTGTGTGTGTGTGTGTGTATAATTAGATATACAAGGGAGGAATTCACTGACAATTTTGCACGTTTACAATGTATTCTGATCAGTCTCCCCCATCACTCTTCCTCTGCCCCAAACCCTCCTTCCTAAACCAATTTCAACAGGTCCTACTGTTCTGTTCTCATACATTCCGACACTGCCCATCCCCTCACTCTCACTAGCCCAATCCTGGCTCCCACCACCACAGCGCTTGTTTCCTCTCCTCTTCCCCAACCTCTGTTGATCAACAGTTTTGAGTTTTGTTTTGTTTTTTTTTGCCAGTCATGGGGCCTGAACTCTGGGCCTGGGCGCTGTCCCTCAGCTCTTCAGCTCAAGGCTAGCACTCTACCACTTGAGCCACAGCACCACTTCCAGCTTTTTCTGCTTCTCTGGTGCTGAGGAATCGAACCCAGGGCCTCATGCATGCAAGGCAAGCACTCTACCACTGAGACACCTTCCCAGCCCCAGTTTTGAGATTTTTTAATACTGTTTTCACCTTGTCTTTTTCCCCCCTCTCTCCTCTTTTTGCTATTCATTCCACTTAATCCAAGCAACACTGGACTGATTTTCCCACCCAAAGTCTTACTGGCTGCCCCTTTGTTAGAAAAACCACGCATGGCTTGAAGGGGTTTCTGCATATCATCCCTACCCAGCCCTGACTGTGCCCACTAAACATCTCCAGAACACAGGCCTCTTCCTACCAGTGTGACCGTCATTCTACTCAGTGCCCAGAACACCGAAGCTGCCCCAGACCCAAGGGAACATGGCCAAGAACTTGCCAATCCTTGCTTCTGACACTCCTCGTGTCCAGTCCCCCTCCCCCCCCCCCCAGGCTCCGCACTCCCCTGGGATCACCTTGAGGTGCCTAGTGTCTGGCACAGGGACTGCCATGAAGGGAGGACACAGAACCAGCAGTGAGGAGGGAAGAGGAAGGGAAGGAAGGGGTGGGAGGGAAGGGCCCAGCTCTGCCCAGATGGCCAGATCTCTTTCCTTGGGAGAAGCTTTATAGCTATAGCTGTGAGACCTCCAGGGACAGAGGATAAAGAAGCAAAGTCTTGCTGGGTGATGATGGCGAGTTGTTATGTTCTGTTTTGTGCTAGTACTGGGGCTTGAACTCAGGGTCTTGAGCTCTTATTTGGCTTTTTGTCTCAAGGCTGGCACTTAATGACTTGAGCCACACTTCCACTTCCAGCCTTTTTGCTAGTTAACGGGAGGTAAGAGCCTTTCGTATTTGTGCCTAGGTTGGCTTCAAATTATGACCTTCAGATCTCCACCTCCTGAGTAGCTAAATTATCGCATGAGCCATGAGTGCCCAGCATCAGATGAGTTACTTAACCTCTCTTAGCCCTGGTTTTGTAATCTAGTACATGGAGATAACCACAAAGCCTTCAAGGGTTATTTCAAGGGCTAATTGGCAGGGTTACTCATCAAAGCAAATCTACAATGTACATTTGAGAGACCTGTGTTATACCTGGGCACATAGTCCTAGGAGGGCTGGACAATGTGCCCTGCCCAGAGGACAGGTTTTAGTGTGGTGGAAAGAGAGGGTGCAGGGTTCTGAGGTTCTGAGGAGGTGAGCACAGTCATGTGCTTGCCCTCACCCTGACTTGCTCCTATGGCCCTAGCAAGTCTCCAAGACAGACACAGACATAGAGCAGATGAGTAGACAGCCAATGTTTCACCTTGTCTGCGATTTTGACAAAGAGGCTGAATCCATCGGAGGACTTGAGCAACAGCCGGGTGGCAATGTTCTGGCAGAAGTCCTTGGCCTTGGTACTAGACTCTACCTCGAAGGCCTAGAGGTAAAAATGGGGAGTTCACTCAGTTCCTGCAGGGTTTTCCTGGGGCTTGGTCCTGCCAGGTCTCTTCCAGCTAAGACTCTCCTCCTCAGCCTCCCCGTCTCCCCCAAAATAGAGCTGGACACAGCATTAGGAGAAAGCAAAAATGAACTCTTATCTGGATATTCTCTGATCTCATCCTTCCTGACCCTCCAGGCAGGACTTGACCCCCACCTGGCTGTTAAGCAAGAGAGAAAGCAGAGACCAGGGGCCTCAGGAAGGGGGTGATGGGAAGGAGAGACTTGAGGTAGAAGAAAAACCCCAAAGTGGGAGGGAAAAGCAGCCTGGATGCAGGGATGGAAAGAATTTATGAATATGATGAAGTTCTGATAGCTGGGGAGGAAAGGAAGGATATGGCTTTATCAGAGAGGAAAGATTAAAAGGATTCTAGAAGGTTCTCTGTGCTTACGACCCAAATTCTGTGGTGGCAATATCTAGTGAGTATCTAGTGTCAGAAACTCTTAAAACTTAAAAGCTTAGATGTTTCCCTCTAGATCATCTAAATGAGGTGCTTTACTGAGATGGGAAGGCATAGGGACCCCAAGGCAGCCTGACTCCCACCTTTGGGAGGAAGGATGATAACCAGTTTGGGTGAGGAGTGAGGGAAGGCTTTTGGGTTCTCCCTGCAGGAAAAGTGGGGAGGCCTGGAGCCTGGAGTTGGGAGCCATGCAGGCCTGGTGTCCAGAAACAGAGCGGGGACTAGGGAGGGGACACCCACAGGGCCAGCCCTGATAAATCATCTTCAGTGGAAGTGGGAATGGGGGGGGACAACAACTCAGGGAAGGTGGCAGTTGAGCCAGGAATCAGGACCTCCCCCACAACCTGGAAATCATCAGGATCCCCTCAAATCAGGTGTCTGATCTTTCAACGGAGCCCTGACTCACCCAGGGACAGGAGGAAGAGATGGGAGGTGTGGGGCACCTACGTGCACATGTGCCAATCAGAGTCTCACTCTGTCAGGCACAAGGGATGTCAGATGCCAGACCCTCACCTCGTCTGTGTCGTCAGGAAAGTAGACCTTGTGGAAGATCTGGGTGGTTTTGTGCTGAATGGCCTCCACCTCCACTAGGTGTGGAGGGTACTTCCGGGACCCATTTCTGAAAATAGGGTGGATGAGAGGTAAAGTTCAGGGGACCAGGGAAACTTTGGGACAAGCCCCAGTCTGAGCCTCACATCCTACAATGAGACAGCCACATGGCCTCTTGATGTCCTGACTTCCTAGTCAGAAGGGTCACTGCCCAGCACCCAGGACAGTGGAGTGAACCAGGCTATGAAAAGGGAACACAGGGGCTCTGCAATCAGCCAGGCTGTCCAATTGTGCTGGCCTCCCAGGTGAGGGGAAGGAATGGATGAACACCTGGGAACAGCTGTGCCCCCGATGGGCTGTGGGTCCTGCTATTCTGTAACTAGCAGCCAAGGAACTCACAGTTGGTCTCCGTGGCTGTATAGCCATACCATCACCCCACAAGGCTTGTCCCACAGTGGGGTGTGGCCAGCAACCCCTCTGTGTGCCTGGCCCCCTAACCCTGTGGACAGAGTCCCATACCTTAAGACTTTCTGGAGCCGCTGCAGGCAGTCGATGGCCAGCGGAGAGTGCTTTCTGGATTGCAGGAAGCGTTGTACATGGGGCAGGAGGATGTTGCTGGGTGGGAAGAGGCCTGTGCACAGCCAGAGCAGCTCCCAGCCCCGCTCCTCACTGTACCTGCAGGAAGCAGACCAGGGGGAGTCACAGGGATCTATGGGCCCCAGGGGGTCCCACTCCCTGTCTGAGAGGCACTAGCTAGTAACACTAGTGCTACTTACAGTGTGGTCACTGCCCACCCCAGGGCACACAATCACCAGTCCACATGGAGCCAAGGCACCCAGGCCAGAATGAAAACCCATGATTACTGAACAATCATGCAACTCTAACTGAGATTTCGTTTTCATTGCGAGACTCCACATGAAGAAGGCATTGTGTGGTTTATATACTGCTGTGCTGTAAGCTACACTGAGTTAGGCCAACCTCTGGACTTCCTGTGGCTTCCCCACTGGCATGGGGGGGGGCATGGAGCACTTCTAGGAGGAGGAGACATTTGGAGGCTTTGAAAGATGAGGCACATTCTGATATGCAAAGGAAGGGATGGAAGGGCATGCCACATATAAAAGTTTGGCTGTGTGAAAAGATCCAACATGTGGATTCAAGATGGATTTGAGTGTGTGGAGAAGAAGATGGGGCCAGGATGGGGGCTTTCCTCAGACTCTGGCAAGCACTGGCTTGCCTTTTCACCCCGGCCTCAGGCTAGCCCAGCAAGGAAGAGGTGACACCCTCTGGGTCCAACAACCCACGCCTAGCCCATGTGCCATTTCTACCACTGATAACCAGCTCAGCCAAGCCTAGATAGGATGGTGATCATGAGCTGAACCTTCCAGGCCCCGTGCCCTGGAGATGCCAGGGGCTGGCAGGGCTGTTTAAGGCTGTGCCACAGGTGTCAGGAGCAGCAGCTGGAAGAGCTGGGAAAGCAGACCTGGAAGGGGGCTGGAGAGCTGTAGCCTGCCTGTTGGTGCTTGACAGACTGGTGAGCCATGGGCCCCAGGCCAAGCTAGGCCACAAAGGGCAAGGGCAGCTCCTGCTGTGGGGAGGACAGGGTGACCTCTGCCCTCTGCTCACCTGATGTGATTGTCAGTCAGCTGCTTCAGAATCTGCACATATGCCTCATCTTTGAGGGGCTCGGCCTTCAGGGCCCCCTCGAAGATCTGGTCCGTGAGCTCATTGACGGAGCGTGTCCTCTTGGATGGGTAGTCACCCATGTACTTGAGCACGGGTAGGATTGTCAAGGCAAGCCTGGCATCTCAGTGAGATCACAAGGTACACCGGCCTGGGAGGCCCATCGCCGCCACCCTCTAACCCTGGGACTTGGGATACTCATGACAAAGTGGGCATGGCCTGCTTCCCTCCTCGGCTTTAGACACAGACCCCCACATCCCAAATCCTCAGAGCAGCCAAAGGACTCCCCAAATTACCACTCCAACTGTGCCAGCCCTGCTAGGGGCTCCTGTTCTGAGGTAATGTCCTAGTTGCTGCTACTGGTGCTATTCTGTGTGTGTGTGCATATGTGCGCATGTGCACATGCACACACACATATACATATACACATACACACACACACACACACACACACACACACACACACACACACACACACATATTTACTTGGCCCTGAATGCTATCCCTTAGCTTTTTTACTCAAAGCTGGTACTCTAGCACCTGAGCCACACCTCCACTTCCAGCTTTCTGATGCTTAATAGGCTTCAAACCATGATCCGAGCTCTCAGTCTCCTGAATAATGAGGCTTACAAATGTGAGCCACCAGTGCCTGGGTTCGCCCTAGCTTCCTAACAGGGTTTGCATAGCTTTCCTCAGTCATCCTACATCTGTCCTCCAGATGTGCTGAATTACTTTAGGCCTGCTTCTCTGCCTCAAGGTCTTGGTACATGCTGAGCTAGACCCTTCCCCAGTGTCTCCCCTTTGTCTGGCTCAGCCTAGATACTACATCCTCTAGGCGGCCCTCCCTGGACCTCTCCAGGCTGGACCAGGCCCCTCACAGCACTGGCCCCTGGAAGGAAAGAAGGTGTCCAGGTGAGAACTGAACCCTGTGCCCCCAGACCCTGTTAGGATATCAATGAAGGCCATGCAGGCCTCCTGTGACAGCTCCTCGCTTCCCAGAATCTTCTTGAGTAGTGCCTGCTTGAGCGGCTCCCGCGTGTGGCTCCATAGCCGGTCTTTGCCTCGAGCCTTGGACACCATGACGCGGCTCAGCGTGTGCTTGGGTGGGGGTCTGCCACGGCACAGGAATCATCAACGCCCACCCCCCACAGGCAGCCCAGGCAGTGGTGCTGTAACCCAGGGCTAGAGACCCATGACAGCGATGAGCTGTCTCTTCTTGTCCTGCCTTTTGCATAGAAGCTTCCGATTATGTCTGCCCCATATACCCCCCCCCCCCCCCGCCCCCAGCACTGGGCACTGAGAACCGCAGCAACCCATCTTCCTGTCCAGATGCCCACCAGGAAATCAAGTACTGCAGACAGAGGTGGGGACCAGGCCTAGAACCTGGTTGCGCAGGGGGGAGGGGACACCCAGAGGCTCATCCTGGGGCTGCCCCTGGCCAGGCCCCTACTCATAGACATCACAAATCCACCCCAGCTCTGACCACAGAGTGACAGACTCCTGCCTCTCACCTCCCGTGCCCACTGCATGTCCCGACACGATCGTCACCTGAAGTAGTCGTAAGAAAATTCCTCCAGTGTGTAGGGCTTGGCTCGCACCTCGGGCTCGGCCGTCCGCAACTGCAGGAGCCGGATGACATCTTGCCTCTGATCAGGGGTCATGGTGACCAGGGCCTGGGGGCCGAGACACATAGGTCTCAGAAAAGCTGTCTATTGGAGTCACTGAGATCTCCCTGAGAAAGCCAAGACTCTCCCAGACCTGGAGGGAGAGATATCTCTGAAGGGGTGGTACTCCCAGCCTTTCTTGACCTTGGGGTTCTTTTCTTCCTGAGCCCCCAGCATGCTGAGATCCAAACTGCTGATTAGCCTAGCCTGGCTCAGGAGCCATGAGGATTGCTGTGCTTGAGAAAGGGATGTTCCTTCGAGAATCATTTCGGGCCAGGCAAGGTGACAATCCTCCCTAGGCCTCTGCCCCCATCTACCCCTTGCCAGCGCCTTGTCTGGTTACTTCTCTAAGCTCCTGGCCTTCTGATGGAAGTTCGGGGGCTGCCCGTATTTCAAGCCTGTGTTCCTCTAAGACCCCTGGACCATCTTCAAAGAAGCTGCAGAACATGAGTTGATTGCAATCAACCCCTTGTTGTATTTTGCAAGCAAGAGCAGAGGACAAAGAGCGGGGCCTTGGGGAGCTGCCCACCCATCTGCCTCCACCAGGCCACATACCACAATCTCCCGAGGTGGCATGGTGACCGTGGGCATGACGTACACGCAATCGGTGGGGAAGTCCCCACGCTGCTTGGTCCTCTCATTGATGCCATTGGCCCAGCCTGAGGTCATGACCTGCTCGCCCGTGTCGTGGTCCAGGATGATGAGGTCACCCTTGGCGAAGCTGAGGAAGCCTGACTCTTCGCCGGCTACAGAGAGAGGTGCATGGGGACACATGGGGCAGAGAGGAGGATTGAATCAGAACATCTTGATTTGGGATCCTGATCTACAATCCACTACTGCCCACTTTCTGCCCACCTGCCACCTTGTCTTCACCTTGCCATGACCCTCTACCCAGACAAATGTCATCATGCTCCTGCTCCAAAACCTTCTACAGAACACCTTCAGGAGAAAATGCATACTCCTGTGCCCATTGAGAGGTGGCTTCATGGACTCCTCTCTCTCCCCATCACAATCAAACCAAACTATTTCCAGTTCTCAGGCATGCCAGCTCTCTCCTGCTCCTCTGCTTGGTTCTTACCATCTTCTGCCTCACCCTCTGCTCACCCTTGCTTCCTCCCTGGACCCCAGGCTGCATGGAGGCCCCTTCTGTGGCTCCTGCAGCCTCTGGGATGCCCTGATCACAATGCTATCATATGGATGCCATACTGCTCAGGGGCAGTGCCCATACTGGCCCAGTGGGCAGCTGGGAGGTACTCCATCCAGGGAGCTGCTACCTACACAGCGATCATTTGAAGGCAATGATTATTTGGAAAACACTGAGCAGAGCGTGGATCTAACTGGTGAGAATGGAAGGGAGGGAGAAGATGGGTTTCCCAGGGGGCTGTCTGGCTCAGAGTCTGGGAAGAATGGATCACAAGGCACCAAAGGCCTTGAAGGCTGGGTCAAGGAGCATGCTCTGCCTAATGTCCCAGGGACCCTTGTGGCAGCCACTCACCAGGGTTGGGGTTGTCCTGTAGGGCCACCACATACTTAGATCTCTTCCGCAGCCCCTCCAGGAAGGTGACCACCAGGTCACGGATGTCCTCCGCGTTGCTGGACGTGAAGGTGTACTCATCCCCCTTGATGGTGGCCAGCGTGAAGCTGGAGGCCATCAGCTTTGCTCCCCTACAGGACCAACACGGAGAACAGAGCCCCAAGGAGGTCAGTCCTGCCTGGCCCGTGTGAGGTACAACACAGCCCGGATCAGAGCAGCCCAGCAAGAGCGAGACACGGCACTCCCTGAAGGAGACCAAGGCCAGCGAGTCAGAGCAGCCCAGCCAGAGCCAGACCTGGCCCAGTTCACACACCATCTTCCTCCCAGACAGACATAGCCCCACCAGGGCTGGGCGGGGTCTGGCCAAGGCCCACCTTGGCCCCCTCATTCCTATCTGCACCGCTGGAAGGACAGCACATAGCTCCCACTATGTGCTTCTCGGCTCCCACTACGTGCTTCTCCCCTAGCATGGGCTCCCTGGGGTCTGTGTGCCCCCTTGTCTCCCCATCAGTTATGTCCCAGCTGCCCTTTGTCACCTGCTGCTGGACACAGCCATGATCTCTGGGAAGGACAGCTCCAGAAGGACCTGCTCCTGCTCATCCACGAAGTAGACGCCCGTCCAGTTGACAGCCACAATGACGTCATTCTTGGGGAGGCTGGGGCCTGGGACAGTGGCAATGGCGCTGACAGAGGCCACCCTGTTCCTGCACCCAGCCCTCCCCACCCTCGTAACTGCAAGGCGGCAGCCAGCCTGGCATAGATGGTTCCGTTTTATAAGTAGGGAAAACGAGGCTTGGTAAGGCTACCCTACATGCCAAAATGTGGCAGGAAGAGCATAGTGGGTCTGGAAATGGCGTAGGTCCCATCTTCACCACTGGCTCTTGTACTGCTCTGGACAAATCATCGCCCTGCACCAAGGTGGGACAGGGGGAAAGTGGGACAGAGAGAAGGTGGGTCGGCTCAGCCCCAAGGTTCCCTGCTGCACTCATGTGGCCATTCTATAAAGCCCAGTGACAACACAAGGCACACGCAGGCACCCAGGAAAGACAGCCTAGGATAGTGGCCTATGCAGGCTGATAGCAGCCATACTAAGCCATACTTGTTCTCAATTGTAGATAGTCCAGAAGAGCCCGTCCCACCATTACCCTGAGCCATCCTCTTCTATACACACACACGCACACACGCACGCACGCACACACACACACAGCTTCAATGGTTCCAATCCTCATCGTGTTTGACCTGCAGGGAGGCTGTGTCCTCAGCCGCAAGGCTGAGAAGGCCTGGTCCCCACTGCACGCCTCCACCAATGGGGAGCCCAGTTTAGCCATGGGCTGGTACTGCAGAGCAATGAGGTGAGCGAGCCTGGGAACTGGAGTACCTGAGAATTTATAGGCCTCGTAAAACCTGGAGAAAAGCAAGGGCCACTTGAAGCGGGCATAATTGACCACATCCTCTTTGACCTTCTGGGCATCGGTTCTCCTCTGGGCATAAATCCCCTGAAGGAAACAAAGCGGGACAGAGGACAATGTGTAAGCATATGTGCCTGCTGCTAGCCCAGGGTGGCCTGGGTGGCCCTAAAACCCACCCACCACCTTATTTTCTCTTATCCAAGCAATATCAGGGAGCGCTTTAAGGAGCTGTCCAGCTGGGGGCCACTCTCAGGGCCTTCCCAATATAGCAGCAATAGGAAAGCTGGGGATCCCAGTGAGCGCAGGTGGAGTCCCGGGGGCCAGGTTCAGGGGAGGGGTGTGCTACCCAATGGAGGTGTGTGAGCTGCGGTGATAAGGAAGAGGGATGGACATGAGGCCTGGGATACTGGGCCCTGGGCTATGGACAGTGACAAAACCACTTCTGTACACCCTGGCCAGGCAGATCAGGAGTTAGAAGCATCATGAGTGGGGGAGGGGCAGTGAGGGGTAGGAGATGCAGGTAGCTGCCTGGGAGGCAGAATGGACAGACTTCAGCAGCTGACCAGATGCCAAGGGCATTCTTCTTCTGGAGGGGCTGGAGGGAAGGACCAGGCCTGGGGAAGAATCTGGTGAGAAGCTAACCAGCAAAGACAAGAGAGCAGATGAAGAGCTGCACAGGGAGGCATGTGGCATAGAGGATGAGAGACGGAGTCCACGGAGGCCCCTGGCAACTGCCATTCAAGGACACATCCACACAGCAGGGCCTTGGAGGTGGGAGGGCCCTGGGCAACTTTCACAGTGCCCCTTGCTCCTTCCCCAACTGTGCGGTCTTGTCTACATGGGGACCCCCTTAGTTTGGGCAGGAACTACTACTCTCATCTAGCCATGGCCTGGGACTCTGCATAAGACATATGATGGATGACTGTATCTAGAGACCTGGGCAGGAAGGAGGCTGGACTTCTTTTAAGAAAAAGGAGGAAGCCAGGTTCTGGTGGCTCACGTCTGTAATCCTAGCTACTCAGGAGGCTGAGATCTGAGGATCTCAGTTCAAAGCCAGCCTGGGCAGTTAAGTCTGTGAGACTCTTATCTCCAATTAACTACCAGAAAACTGGAAGTGGCTTTATGGTTCAAAATGACAGAGCACTAGTCTTGAGCACAAAAGCTTGGGGACAGTGCCCAGGCTCTGAGTTCAAGCCCCACATCAGAAAGAAAAGAAAAGAAGGAAGGAAGGAAGGAGAGAAGGAGGGGAGGAGGGGAGGAGGAAAGGAGGGAAGGAGAGAAGGAAGGAAGGAAAGGAGGGAAGGAAGGAAGAAAGGAAGGAAGGAAGGAGAGGGAGGGAGGGAAGGAAGGAAAGAAGGGAAAGGAAGGGAAGGGAAAGGAAGGGAAGGGAAGGGAAGGGAGGGAAGGAAGGGAAGGGAAGGGAAGGAGAGAGAGAGTGTGTGTAAGAAAAAAAGTCCCTCCAGCAACCACTTGTACCCCTGAGTGATTGGTGTCTGTAAGCAGCTAGTGCTATATTAGGAAAGGTCACCCCGATACTCGCAGCCTTAGGACTGAGTTTGATCCATGTCCGGGGTAACAAGCTCAGAACAGGCATCAAAGGACACACATGAGCTGAAGTCCATGGCAGAGAAATGACTGCTGGAGCCCTGTCCCTCCACCTCACAGACAGACAAACAGATGGCAAGTGGGAGCAGTCACCTCCTTGACTATGTGGGTCCTTGCCCCTCCTCAGGCCCCTCCTGACCTCCGTACCTTCTTGTGGGCTGCTATGGCCAGCTGGGCCCACTTCTCAAGTGTCTTCAGGGGTGTGATCTCACGGTCGGGGATGTAGGTGGGCACGAGGTTCAGGAGTCGCTCTAGGATCATCTCGGAGCCATAGTCCACGAAGTACTGCTGGGAAGCCAGCTCAGCCAGGTCATCCTCCTAGAGGAGGGGACTTCAGTCACGCAGTGGTCCATCCCCTGGGGATGCTCTTATAGACCAAGGGAGGCCAGGACTGTCTCCTGTGGGTTGGGAACCTTGGCCCTTAGGACTGGCCTCCTGTGTTTGCCCAGAAAACCAGGAACTCTTCAAGGACAAAGCCACGCGCGTGCTCTGCCCTGGTCCCATAGCAGAGCCACCAACCTGGACTCAGTCCTAGTGGTTCAGGAACTGACCCAGAGAGAGCAGCCAGCCTGTCTGAGGCAAACAAACACCTGCATATCCAGCCCTATGCAGCAGCAATAGGGGCTGAGGACAAACAAGAAGAGAAGCTGTCCTGGAGAACAGGACAGCTCCCAACAGCTGGGGACACTTTGGGGGGAGTGCAGGGCCATTGCCACCCTGCCCTACCTCCTCCATCTCACCACTCTACCCCTGGGGGAAGAGTCACGTCCTACCCAGAAGCAGGCTCTGCTGTGGAGGCTGCAGAGAGCTGAGCCGAGCTGCATGGCAGCCAGGGATGGCCATCTACAGCCCCACAGCTCTTGGGGCCTTGAAGGCAACAGATAGTATTTTCCAGTGAGTCTGAAATGTTTCAGAACTTTAGCAACTGCTACGGCTGTTCTAACACAGCCCAACTGAATGTTAGCTTATCACCACCTGAACGATCATCGGTTCCATCGCTAACATCACCATCACCACAGCATTAAATACCATTGTCCTCCGGGTGTGGATGGCTCATGCCTGTAATCCTACCTACTCAGGAAGCTAAGATCTGAGGATGGAAGTTGGACACCAGCCCAAGCAGGAAAAAAATCCATGAGACTCTTATTTTCAATTAGTCAGCCAAAACTGGAAGTGGAGGCATGATTCAAGTGGTAGAGTGCCAGCCTTGAGCAAAAAAGCCAAGCAAGAAGAGTGCAAAGCCCTTTCCAGGCCCTGGTGGTCCATGCCTAGAATCCTACCTATTCAGGAGGCTGAGCTCTAGGATCATGGTTCGAAGACAGTCCAGGCAGGAAAGTCTGTGTGACTTTTATCTCTAATTAACCACCAGAAAACTGGAAGTGGAGTTGTGGCTCTCACCCTGAGCACAAAACCTCAGGGACAGCACTCAGGCCCCACAAATACCACCACCCCCCAACAACAAAAAAGTACTAGGCTCTGAGTTCAAGTCCCAGTACCAGCACACACACGTGGGAAAACAAAACAAAACAAACTATGGTCATTATTGACATGCCATCATTATCACCACCTCTACCAGAACCAGAACCAGAACCACCATGGCTTCAAACACATGGGTCCTGTCCTCAGAAGGAGTTACAACATACATACTTGGAAAGCCCTGTCTAAACAACTGACTCTCCTTTTGAGCTTACTCGACAGCTCAGAACAATACTGCAAGTAGGTCCTGAAGTGTGCCTGTGGTGCCAGGCACAGTCACTGTGGGTATAGGGACGCTTCCAGTGAGGATTCGGGAGATTCTTCCAAGTCCTCACTCCTATCATTTTACCTCCTCCTCTCACGTGCCATGAGGTATACATGGTGTTGAATCTGAACACCTAGCTGCCCTCACACACACACACAGTAGCACTCAGCCTGCGTGTGGAAATCAGGGGCCCACGGAGCAAGCGTGCACAGCAAGCTTTGCCTGGCTCACCTTCTCACACCTGTACTCCCCAAACTTGACTCCACGCACCACCTGCTGGTAGATGAGGTTGGTGGCCACGTTATCATCTGATGGGTTGTGCCAGGGGGTGAAGACCTCTTTGCGGAAGAAGAGCCTCCACGGGGCATTGCGCTCCTGGGCACCCTGCTCCTTGGCATACTGCTCACACTGGGAGATGGCATCCATGACATGGTCACTGCCGCTGCCCAGGGAGGACACCTGTGAGCACAGGAGAGAGGGCCCGGTGGGAGGGTGGGCAGACCACAGGGCCAACGAAGAACTTCGAGAGGCCATCAACTGGGTCACTGTCCTAGTCCAGATGGAAACCTGAGGCACAGAGAGAGGCAGGAAGTTGTCCTAGGGCCCCACCAGGCAGCCCCTAATGGGGCCCAACTGCTATCTTCCTAGCCTCAATAATGGGTAGAGTTCTGTGGGCCTTCCCATTTTCTAAGTTGAAAAGTCCTTTGTGAAACTTTGGACAGGCCATCACTGACAGCACAGGAGGTGTGTCTTTTGGTAATCAAAATCCAGGTAAACTATGCCCAACCCACGAGGATCTTGTCTCCAAACCTGCAAGCCAGAGAAAGCCTCAATGCCCCAGATCCAGCTCAGTGGATAAAGCTGGCAATTCCCCAGCAGGGGGCGCTCACACACCAGCTGGCACAGGACAGACAATGAGCCCAAGCCACACAGGTCATGTTCCTATGTGCACTGAAGGGAACTCTTCCCCATGCTAATGAGTCGCCCCTGGCACAAGTGACTCGTGCAAAGTCCTCTGAGCCAGTAGGAGGCAGCACCCCTGGGATGGGCTAGGAGTTAGCGCTGCTCTGCCGGTGCCATACCTTATCAAACAGGGCGATATAGAGGGAGAAGCCAAAGCGGTCCTTGAGTGAGATCTTGTCGGCTAGCGCATTGCACAGCTCCTTGGCTGTGGTTGCTGAGTCTGTCAGTAGGGTCTTGGTGGTGCCATCCATGAATGTCACGGGCAACATGATGGGCTTCTTAGACTTGGTAGCCTGCACGTGATCAAGGTTTGTGGGCTTCCTGCATTCCAGACCTGCTCACTGTCTCTGGGATCTGGCTGCCCACTCCCTGGGCTGAGGCTGGCCCTGCACCCCAGCTCCCCAGCATCCCAGCCCAACGCTGCCTGGTCCTGTGAGATGAGCACAATCGCCCCACATGGCTGGTGGAACACAGGGACCAGGGGGAAATCCCCTCACCCATGCCACTTTAGCATGAGGTCAGTAAATGGGACCAGTGATCCTTCGGGCTTTCCTTTCCCCGGGGAATCCCAGAACCTCATGATGGGGTGATGAACCACAGACTCCCGCAGCAGGGAACAGCTCTGGGCACTAGGGCACTGGGAAGGCACAGGAGTTGGGGTGGACCTGCAGCTCCAGCCAGCTGGGCGGTTGTGTCCGTGTCCCGTTGACGAAGGTCCTCCTCAGACGCTCCTCACAGTACGGGGCATAGCCAGGCGGCCCCCCGTGGATGAAGTTCCGTAGGTACTGCCCACAAGGGACCCAATGAGGTGGCCCTGGCCTTGCCGGGCCTCCACCGCCTAGACCTTACAGAAGCCCAGACTGCACATCCACACTCAAGATGTGCTCCTCCACCATCCACATCCCTCCTCCTTAGACATCTCCACTGGCCTGGGGGCCAAGGCCACGTACCGTGGCTTTGTGGCAAAGGCACACAATGCAGCCCTATTCTCAGCCACATCTTCTGCCTCCCAGTTCTTTCTCTCTCTCTAGAGCAACTGCTTTCCTTTCTCTAGGCTCAGCCTACCATTTCCTCCACCCTCATAGCCCCAACCCGGGCTGAGGCCCAGGACATACTCCTGTCATTTCACCTCAACAGAATGGAACTGAAGGGGAAACAGAGTCAAGCACTGACTTCCTGGGTAGAAGGAGGGGTGTTAAGAGGCGGGAGCTGGACAGGATGTAGCCAAGCCTGAGAGGACATGGATAGGGGCTCTTCCTCTGATGTCTCCCCTAAACGCTGCGACAGAACCCACTTATCACCCATTCCCACCCTAGGCATCTCTCCTACCTTAACAAACTTCTCTGAGGGGGCAAAACAGCCCACACAGAGAGACACAAGGATCCAGCCCCGGGCATAGCTGCTCTTGGAGGGGTTGTGGGTGAGTTGCTTGCTGATCTGGCAGTAGATCTCATCCCTGGACAAGAGAGGCAATCATCTCAGAGGGTCAACCTGACCCACCCCCTCCCAGGAGCAGATGGCGCATGTGTTTTCCTGCCCACTCTGCTGGAGGTGAATTAGGAGAAGACTGAGCACATGGCACCTGGAACCATTGACAGGGGGTCTCCCTTTAGAGACAGGATCATCCGGCCTGGGGTGTGTTTCTTACTCCACAGAGGTGGCATGAATCCTGCTCGGGGCATGATGGCCCACGGTGGGCACACTGATGTAAGGCACTGGTCCATCACTCCTTTGCCCTGGTGCACCAGGTGCCCGAGGAAGTGAACTCACTTCTCTATCTGCCCACCACCAGGGCAAGCAGGGACCATTTTGACCAATGGCAGCTGGTAGGGAATGTATTGAGGGCTCTAACCTCCCATGTCTCCAAAATGTCTGTGGCTTGTATAACTTTAATAGTGAGATGAAAATAAAGGACGGAGATTTTTTGCTTAAGGAGAGCCTATAGGATTGGGGGGGGGGGCATAAAAATGATCCAAGACTCCTCACAGGCTTGGCACAGCAAGCCTCCACAGCAGGAGGCTGTCTTGGTCATGGATGCACGGCATCCTGTAAGCTGCTATCTATGAAGGCAGTCTGCCTGCTTGGAGTCCAAAAGGGAATGCTTGGTAGCCTGGTGACCACCAGGGGGCACTCATCACTTTCCCCCTCCACTCCTCCTCTCCCCCCCCCACCCCCCCACCCCCCACATCCAGGGAAGCACAGAGAAGGAGGCCCGTTCATTTGATTTGGTGCCTCCCTCTTCCAATTTGCAGCGGTCATGAGCCAATGTACATGCACACATGCCTGGCTCATGACCCCAATACTTTCATAAAACAAAAGCCATTTTACATATTCAGAGGGTAGGAAAGGCAAAATCTCAGAACAAATTTGTATCCTCTATGTGAAACAAGTATAACACTAGCTCCCAACTCATCCTGAGTTAGACTGACCCAACCCTACTCACTGCGGCCCTCAGGCAGCCCATGCCTAGCCTGCTGACTCTGGGTCCTGGGCTCCTATTACTCTTTCTGGAACAGTCAGCTTCCCTTGCGACCGGAAGACTATATTGTGCCTATCTTCCCTTCCCAGCAGGGGGGGGGGCCCTAGATGGCCTCTGGAGAGGCAGTATCTAGCCTCAGGGAAGAATGAAGGAAGGGGTGTGGGGAGGAGGAGTCTGGAAAGCCATAGGTCCCTTGGGCAAGCCTCTTCCCTATTCTGGACCCGTTCCTCCCTCCAGAAGATGGAGATTATTAACTCATGGGCCATCCTCCCAGCAGCAAACACAAAGTCCTCCACAGAGAAGCCCTACCCCTTGCCCAACCACCCAGGGGTGGTGATTCTTTAATTGCTCCTGGTGACTCCTGGGTCTTCACACCCATTCCCTAGTACCAAGAGGTCTTGGGGCAGGTGGGGAAGGGAGGGGAGAAAGACACTGGCAGGATCCCCAGGAACCTTGCCCGCAGTGATGCTGGCCAGGATGACAGGCTGCAGGAAGGTGAAGTGTAACAGTGTCTGTGTTACAGCTACCCTTTACTGAGGGCTGCAATGTTCCATGTCTTTCATTACACACCCCTCATCTGCTTCCCTTCCCACAAGCCTCAGAGGAGGTGGTACAGTACTCCTCTTACTCCTCCCTTATGGAGAAGGACACTGAGGCTTGAGAAAAACAAATTAAAGGGTTAGGCTCACACAGCTAGCCAGCAGGGAGGCTAAACACAGGCCCTTCGGCTTAATCTGTTGCTGAGGTAATGGTGCCTGCGCCCTCCAGGCCCTCCCAGCAGAGGCAAATGGCCTGGCGAGGCTCTGCGCACGCCCTGACACTGACCGCAGCGCTGGCCTCAGGATGCCGTTGCCAATGATGAAGTGTAGCTTCTCCAAGTTTGAGGTGGGCCGGTCCTCCAACATGCTGTTGCCCTGGACTGTGGACTCCCCGTCGTGCAGTCTCTTAGTCACCTGGAACGAAGGAGCAGGCTTGACTAGGGCAGGTGAAGCGAGGGCTGCTGCCCCAGGCTGCCAGGGTATCTCTCCCCAGAGTACAGAATCCAAGAAGCAGGCAGGAGAGCTCCTGCTCCCCGCCCCGTACCTGCTATTGTCAGCACCCTGATCCGCAGAACTGGCCCACACAGCTGGGAGCTGCCTGGTGCTACTGTATCGAGAAATAAGGCTCCTCTGCACCCAGGCCAATACCTGCAAGGCCCTTTCAACCTGCTCTGCCTGATTCTGAGCAGATATCCATCTCTCTGGGGCAGACCCCTTACACATCTATGCCACTAGAATATACCCTGGGTTCTAACTGCCTGTTCACCAAGACCCCTGATTCCCTGACACTGGCTAGTCTCTGACCTGGATCTCCAGGTGTTCCTCTCTGGCCACTGCAGTGGCTCTGTGTCCTGTTGGGGCCAGTGAGGGAGAAGTACACATGGCAGACACAGAGAGCTATGGAAGACCCTGGCATCAGCTGGGCACCCCAGCTGCCGCCTCACCATTCCAGGGAGTGGGTGTTTTCTTGCCTGGCCCCTTGGACACCCAGCACTGGGCTAGGATCCAAACCCAAGCCCACAGGACTGCAAGACTAGACTTGTGTCTCAGCTGGGGACTGGACGAGGGCAAAAGCAAGGCAGGAGTCTCTGACTGCAGTTGCTGGGGGGGGGGGGGAGGGGGGGGACTTCCTGTTGGAGGAGTAAAACAGGCATGGAAGGTGAAGGAGAAATCTCAGGTGTGTACAAGCATATGGCTGTGGGGGAGGGGCTGGCCCCTGACCCTTTCCCCCTTCTAGCTTAGACAGCCCCAGGACACAGGGGCAGGACAGCTCAGAAGGCAGATGACTGATGAAAAAGCTCAAAGCAGTCATAGGCTGAGATGGAGTCTCACAAACGTCTCTCCCTCAGGCTGGCCTTAAATTGTAATGCTCTGGTCTCTGCCTCTCCAAAAGTTAGAATTATAGGCTTGAGCCACTGCACCAGCTGGCATCTCCAATTTTAAGTCTACATTAAGGCAACAGCTGCCTATTCATTTTTTTTCCTTCCCTTCCTTCCTTTCCTTTCCCTTCCCTTCCCTCCCTCCCCCTCTCTTTCTCTCTCTCCTTCCTTTCTTTCTTTCTTTTTCTTTCTTTCTTCCTTTCCTTTCCTTTTGCCAAGGGCTTGAACTCAGGGCCTGGGCACTGTCCTTGAGCCTCTCTGTACTCAAGGCTAGCACTCTACCACATGAGCCACAGTGCTACTTCTAGCTTTTTCTGTATATGTGGTACTGAGGACTTGAACCCCAGGCTTCATGCATGCTAGGCAAGCACTCTACCACTAAGCCACATGCCCAGCCCCTGCTGATTCGTTTTCTTTGTCTGAAGATATGAAGCTGGTCTGAGCTGGTCAGTCATTAATTCAGCAAGTAAGTGCCAGTCACGTGCCTAGTATTTGTATACCAAGTCACACAGCAGGGATAAGATACCACAGAGCCTGTCTCTAAAGAGCGTCTCACTATCTTCTGGGGAGAGTGACATATAAATACATGACACGTTTACTAGGCTTTTAAAAGAGAGGCTCAGGGGCTGAGAAGGTGGCTCAGTGGTAGAGTGCTTGCCTTGCATGCATGAGGCCCTGGGTTCGATTCCTCAGCACAAAATAAACAAAAAGAAAAATGCCGGAAGTGGCGCTGTGGCTCAAGTGGTAGAGTGCTAGCCTTGAGCTGAAGAGCTGAGGGACAGTGCCCAGGCCCAGAGTTCAGGCCCCACGACTGGACTAAAAAAATAAATAAAATAAAAGAGAGGCTCAAAGTTCACCCTTAGCTACGCTTACTACTCATTATAAATATGCGTCCAAATTAGGTACATTGTTAATTTTACAGGATGTTAGTTTTTTGTCCTAGAGGGATCAAATTCTTTGTATATGTGTTCTCACTTGGCATTCTCACTCAAGGCTGAGGCTCTGCCACTTGAGCCAGGTTTCTCTATCTGACAGTTTGCTGATTAACTGGAGAGAAGAATCTTAGATTTGTCTGCCTAGACTGGCTTTGAATCTTGATCCTCAGATCTCAGCCTCCTGAGTAGCTAGGGTTATTAGGCATGAGCCCCTATCCTCCAGCCTCGATCAAATTCTTAACATGTATTTGGACAAAGCTGCCATGAAAGTCTGAACAGTCCTTGGACCAAACACCATCATGCAGACCTTTTTACCACAAGCTGCTCAGGCCCCTTTGGGGCTGGTTCCCTGCCCTGGGAAGCCCCCCAGCCTGGCCCAGCTTCCTGTCTTCCCAGGCACCCCCTTCCTGTCCTGCAGGTAGCAGGGACAGGTAGCAGCCACTCCTGCTCCGGAGTCCCTAGCTCCACCATGCTTGAGTCTGGCCACCCGAGGCCCCACTGAGAGCTGCCAGGCCCCTGTACGCTCTCACCTCCTCTGTGAGCTTGGACTTTTTCTTCAAGGTCAAGTGCACCAGCTTGTGCCTTATGCTGCTCTTCTTCTGCCCCTCAGGAAGCTGGGTCTGCAGGACCAACAGGGCCAAGGAAAGCGAGTGAGTAAGAAAGCAGCGCAAGACTACCAGATGGCAGAGCTGTGCCCTGCGATCACCTCACCTCCACACGAAGGCTTCCAGGCACGCGCCACACTGCCACCCCCACCCCTTGCCCCTCATTCCACCTGATGGGAAAAAGAGACAGGAAATCCTAGTGATCTGCCCTTGGGCCCCTGGTACATGGCTGCAGGAGATGATGCCAGGGACATCTCTGCTCTGGGGTCTGCTCTGGGGTGGTCAGCTATGGTCAGAACTTTCACACATTTGTTTCCATGAGTGGGCAGAGAAGGGTCGGGTGCAGGATATGGGACAGAGTAGTCATGGGGTGCTCTTGTGGCTGAGGACCCCAAGGCTCCATATGCCATACAGCCTTCCCCACTGACCTCAGATGAGGGGACATGGGACCCTCACCTCGCCCTCCCCCTGCAGGGCCTGCAGCTCCCTCTTGTATGTCTTCTTGCCCAGGGTCTCATAAATCTTGGTCATCACAGGGATCTTCTCGCTGCCATCGCTCATGGCTGTGTGGTACTTGGGCTCCGGGAGGTCCCCCATGAAGCGGAGGATGGTAATCCAGACTGCCAGTGCCGCCTGGGGGTGGGGTGCACACAGCAGAAAGCCAATGAACGTGGCCAGGGGCTGGCAGCTCACTCCTGGAATCCTAGCTACTCAGGAGGCCGAGATAGGAGGATCACAGCTTGAGGCCAGCTCAGGGAAAGTGTGTGGGTGATACTTTTAAACACCAATTAACTGACAAAAAGCTGGAAATAAAGGTGTAGCTCAAGTAGTAGAGCGCTAGCTTTGAATGGAAAAGCTAAGAGACAGTGCCTAGGCCCTGAATTCAAAGCCCCAGTAATGACATAAGGAAGGAAGGAAGGAAGGAAGGAAGGAAGGAAGGAAGGAAGGAAAAGGAAGGGAGGGAGGGAAGGAGGGAGGGAGGGAAAGGGAAGAGAAAAGAAAAGGGTAGAAAGAAAGAGTGGGGGAGAAGGGGAGAAGGGGAGAAAGAGGAAAAGAAAGGAAAGAAAGAAAAAGAAAGGAAGGAAGGAAGGAAGGAAAGGAAGGAAAGAAAGGAAGAAAGGAAGGAAGGAAGGAAGAAAGGAAGGAAGGAAAGAAAGGAAGGAAGAAGGAAAGAAAGGAAGAAAGGAAGGAAAGAAAGGAAGGAAGGAAGGAAAAAGGAAAGAAAGAAAGAAAGAAAGAGAAAGAAAGAAAGAAAGCCAGCCAGAGTAGAGGGCATTGCTAAGCCATAGGATTAGGCTGGGAGGTCTGGCCCTCAGCTGGGGGCTGGCTGAAGACTATAGTTAGACTCGGTTCCTGTCCACCAGGGCCACCACCCAAGACAGCACTTGCAGCCCCAGCATGCCCCTGCTAGCAGTGACCCAGAATCAGGCATGCCCACCAGCTGGTCGCCCTCGTCATCATGGAAGAGCAGTGGCTGTTTGAGGGGCCGCCGGGTGTAGGAGTGTGTGGTTGTCCCCTGGAAGTAGGTGGCTGCGAACTTTGCGAATTTGTACTCAGAGAGGTCCTCTTCGTCCTCGTCTGGCAGGGGCAGGGCCGCGTCCACATCCTCCTCTACCATCTCCCTCCGCCCTCGCTCCAGGTCCTGAGGGACACAGATGGATTCCTTGACAACCCACCCTGTCCTGTCCTTGCCAGTGGCAAGTCCAAGGCCACGTGGCAGGCAGGGACTGGCGAGGGGCCGGAACCTACAGGTGGTGACCCACTCATTATGGCTGCCCTCTGCTCATGGTGGCTGCTGAGCTTCGATGTGGGGAGGGACTATCACACAGGAAAAGAGGGGAACCTTTCCTGGAACCTCTGCCCCCCAATTTGGTACCTCAAAGCCGCTGGGAGCCTGGCCCTCTTGGCCTGGTAGGCCACCTGAAGTCCCCAGGAAGCCAAACATTTTGTCCACCATGTCCGAGTGGTTGATAGGCTCATGCCGAGCCCGCTCCATCTGTTCTAGAAGCTCCTTCTTCCGCCGAGCCTCTTCCTTCTCCTTTAGCTCCCGCTCTGCATCCTCTCGGGCCAACTGAGCCAGGCGCTCCTGAAGTTGGGGTGATGCAGAGGAGATGGGGTTGGAACAACTCTCCTTGCGCTTCCTCAGCTGGGCCCCCCCGCTTAGCCCAGTCATCACTGACCACTGGGCCACAGGAGGGCCCTGGACAAGCCCAGACAATCACCCTGCCCGTCCTCCAGGGCTCAGCCGGGAATACCTCCCCCCAGACTACCTGCTCTGTACCCCAAGTCCCACCACAAGGGGCCGAGGCTTTCATACCACTGCTGCCCAACAGAAATGGAACGTGAGCCACATGTGCGAAAGCCACATTTGTGAAAGAAGTGAAATCAATGATGTTGTTAACTCGTATTTCCCAACTATTATCCTGCCATGTAACCGGTATTATAAATCAAAATAACCCTGAGGGATCTTAATATCCTTTCTTTCCCAGTGTGTTCAGAGTGTTCTGCTGTGTGCTTCATGCAGCCATCACTAAGATGTGCCACGCTGCCCTGCTCCACAGCATTTACAGGTGCTGGCCCCACACTGGTCGTGGGCTCTCTTCCCACCAGGTGGTACTGGGGTCTCACACTTGCTAGGCAGGTGATTTACTGCTTGAGTCGCATCCCTGGCCCTTTCTGGCTTTAGATATTTTTTTTCAGGTAAGGTCTTGTACTTTATTTTGCCCTGGCCAGTCTAGGACCTTGATCCTCCTTTCTATGGTCTCCTGAGTAGCTGGGATGAAAGGTGCACATCACCACTCCTGGCCTCCCGTCAGTCTTTGGTTCTGGGTGTCATCTCCAGCGAGGAAGGTGCTGTGGAGCACAGGCCCTCTTTGGAGTCGCCGCCTCTGTCCCTTTGCCTAGCTGAGGGAGAGCTTAGCTGACGTGGCTGAGGAAGCCAAGAAAAGGGACACCTCCTGCTCCTAGTTGAAGGGAAGAAGCTTGCAGCAAGTGGTGCGGGAGCAGCTTGGGTTCTTGGCTCACTTGATGCTTGCGCTCTGCCTCCTCCTTGGCCTTCTTGGCACTCATCTCCTTCCGGAGCTTCTCTTCCTCTGCCAGCCGCATCTTCTCCGCCTCCAGGCGCCGCCGGTACTGAGGATGGGGCAGCCGGATGGACATGGGCACATTTGTCACCAGGAGTCCCACAGTTCTACCCTCACCCCCACTTTGCCAGGAAACAGGCAGCAGAACTGTTCTCCAGGTCACATGCAGGTAGAGGTAGTATGGATCCCAAAGCCAGGCCAGGTGTGCCTCTCTTCCCAAAGATCCAGAGGGTTCCTGGGACCCCAGCCCTGCCCGTGGCTGGGAGGGTAGAAACTGAGGTCTGGTCCCAGTTGTGTGTGTTTTTCACAGAGAAGGCACAGCCAAAGGTCCCCCCTAGGCCTTGGCACTCTCAGCCAGCCCCTGAGGGTGCCAAGGAATCCACTGTCCTGAAGCAGCACACACATCAGAAAGCAGCCTTCCTTCCCAGGGCTCAGGGGCCCTCACCTCAGCCCGGAGGCGCCGGTGCAGCCTGCGGGCGATCATGCCTCTGGCATAGGCCTGCACCGTGATCACAGCCCAGAGGCGGTGGCGGAAGGCCTTGCGGACCAGGTAGGCTCGGCAGCGGGCCTGGAACTCGATGATGCGCCGGCGAGCCAGGCGATACTGCAGGTGCAGCTTCCGGGAGCGCTGCAGGGCCTGCAGCCTCAGGAACCCCATCCGCATCTGCAAGGACATCCCCCCCCCCCCAGAACACATGTCCAGCCCATGCCTGGTGTGCATCCTCCACTCCCAGACGAGACCCTCCCCACCAACGTATGCCCCTGTGTCCACTCAGATGCACATCCCTGTAGTCAAGTTGGCCTGTCCTTGGGGGAAGTTTCCTACGGGGAGACCTGGAGATGGGGCCCGAGCCTTAAATCCTTCCTGTGCACCTGCTGGGCCCAAGTCCAGGCTGCAGCCAGGGGCTCTGTAAATTGGCCATGCCCAATCCCACCTACATCTCTAAGAGCCCCCATGTGCTCACAACTACCCTCCCAAAAAAATTGCAGAAGAGCAACACACACTGACCACTTGGGAAGAGTCACCAGGGCTAGACCTGGACTTTGGTTGGTTAGGACGGCTGCCCAGGGCAGCCAAGTCCTGTTACTAAGGCAACTCTGTGGGGTTCAAAGGCCTGGCAGAGCAGCCAGGGGAGACTCACCAGCTCACAGTTCCTCCTGCAGTGGTGGCCCCGCCAGTACCTCTGGATCAACGTGGCGGCATTCTTCAGCTTCAGGAAGTTGGACCTGAAACGGCAGCAGCGATGGTGGCTTCCAGAGCAGAGAGCCGGAGCCCACAGCCAGCCGGGGCATGAGGCAGGAAGCCTGCCCGAATCAGGACAGCATGCTGAGCCCCAGTTCTGTGACCTCCTGGCTGTGTGACCCCAGGGCAAGACAGAGGCCTGTCTTTGTCTCAACATCTCCATCTGGGAAATGAGTAGAAAAGGAGGGGGGGGGGGGGCGTGTGAACTGCAAAAGGGGCAGGTAGTGGACTTTTGTGGAGCCGGAATCATGTTCTAGAATTGGCCTTGCCCCTTGTGAATGGCTACAAGCCACACAAGTCCTTTAGGCCAAATCTAAGACACAGTTGTAATTTATAAAAGCTCAGGCTTCATCTCTGGGGAATTCCGTCAGCATCTGAGCTGAGGGTGTCGCATGTGCACAGGGGGCCGTGTACGGTGTACTTGCCGGGGCTGTATCAACCACATATGTGACTCTTGTTTGCATCATCACCTGTGCTTGGCAGGCTTACATGCTTGTTTCTCGGCGTGCATCCCAAGTGCAAGTTTCCTTCTGGTGGTCACATGGGAACAGGGAAGTGAGCTGTGTGTGCATGCATGTACACACCTACCTGTCTTTGAACCCCCGGATGACCTTTTGGAGGAGGATGACTCTGTCGGTGATGGCCTTGTCCCGCTCCACCTCCAACAGCATGTCATGGTGATCCTGAAAGGCAGAGTTCTTAAGCGGCACCCAGCATCTCCAGGCTCACTGGCTCAGCCTCTCTCCCTTTCCTCAGAGCCCAGGACTAGGGCTCATCGGGGGCCCCCATTGGCTCCCGGCTCTGCTCAGGGCCATGCAGTGGCTTTCCACAACCACCAGGACTTGTGAGTATTTTCCAGAGGCCCAGATGGGACCAGTGGAGCCAGGAGTACCTCATTTAACTGGATGGAGTGAACAGCACACGCACACACACACACGCGCGAACACACATACACACGTACACACACTTCCCTGATTGCTATCTCTGCCCAGGCCCCTGCACTGTGAGACATCCTTGGGACCCCAGCCAGCCACTCTCATTTCTCTCTGGAATCATGGCAGCAGATTCCTCGCCAGGCGTCTCCTGGCATCTGTCACTCCCTCTCGGATCCTCCTCACATGTAGATGGATCCTCCAAAACATGGATGTGACCAGGCCCCTTGGGCGACGTTGCCCCGGTCCTCTATGATCCAGTCCTGTTAGCACCTCCAGCCTTTTCTCTTCCTCATCCTGGACCCACCTCACTCTAATAGAATGATATCTTATTTATTCATTTGGTAAAACTGAGTGTGCTGGCACTGTGCTAGGTGCTGGGATAGTGCCCCATGGACCAGGCAGGCATGGCCCTGCCTTTCAGTCGGTGAGTCTCATAGGGGTTCAACACATCCTTCAACTAGTCACAGACACACTGCACGTGGCAAAGAGGAACTGCCCAGCCAAGACATTCGCAATGGATGACTGAATGTATGAACAGATAAATGCTGGTGGGACCTGCCATTTCTGAAGAGCCCAGAGGGGTAAAAATGGGGACAACTGATGTCCCCCTAAGCCCACTGGCAATTCTTTCCAGGTCCCTCTGCCCACATAGACTAGGCATTTTGTTCATCACAGGCCAAAAGGCTCCCCTCCCTGCTTCCCAGCTGCCTGGCCTTGGTCACTTGCTTTTTCTCTATGAAACAGGCACACGACTTCCTACTCCCTGGGCGTGCTGGGAGGACTCCGTGCCATCATGGAGAAAGGGCCCCTCTGGATCTGGCACACAGAACATGCCCCTCAGGCTATAGCCATGGGATTCACGGGAGGTGGGGGGGAGCGGTCAAGATACTTGTCCAGTGAGGAAATGAGTACTCCGAGGTTATGGGGAATGATGCAATGCCCAAGAGGAATTAGACTAGACTAGAGCCTAGAGTCCCTCTGGTTGAAAGCCGGTTCCTCCCTTCCTTTCCCCAGCTGTCCTGTCCCCAGACCCCACCTCCAGACAGAATCAGGGCCTGGCCTGTCACCCAGGACAGCCAGGAACCTAGCCCAGCAGAAATGGAAGTAGGGAAGCACAAGCTGTCTCTGCTGCGGCTCTCCAGGGCTGTGACTCTCCAGGGCCCAGCTTTCTGCCCCCTCCTGCTGTCCCTGCCCCCTCAGCTGCAGTGCTCAGGGTTGCTCCAACTGAGTCACAGAGGTGGGTGACACACTGGTGACCACAGCCAGGGTGAACCCTTCTGGGCAGGAAATCCTAAGAAATGACCTATGACACACTCTAGGCCACCCTGGGCCTGTCCTGTTTCATGAGCAGAAAGAAGAGGCAGAAACGGTCAGTGACTTGCTCAAAGTCCCAACCAGAGAGTGAGGATTGGAGCCAGGCCTCCTGCTATGGCAGGGAGCCCAGCCCTGGCCTTCCACTTCTAAACTCAGGTCAGAGCTCTGATCTGGTGGTCTCAAATGCCAGCTTCCCATCTCCTCCCACACAGGCAGCCCTAGCCCAGCCCTGTCGCCCTTGGTAGGACATCTTTAGACCATGATGGAGGCCACAGCCCCACAGGCAGCTGTGGCCGTGCTCACCTTCAAAAAGATCTTGGTTTTGCCAATCTGCCAGTCATCGTGTGTGCCCAGCACGGCCTCGGCCATGCGCTGGCACGTTCCTCGGAGATCATCCTGGGGACAGACAAGGAAATGAAGGCATCCTCACCAGTAGGAAGGCTCTTCCCAGGCCTGGAAGTCAGGGCTGTCCTCCTAGCTCTACCATTGGCTTGCTGTGTGACTCCTGTGGGGTCCTGCCTCCTGGAAACCTATTTCCTCCTTAGCTGATAGAATGATAGCCACACCACAGCAGCAAAGCCCTCTGATGTGTCCCGCTGCTCTGCCATCTCTCCACCCAGCTGGGCTGAAGCGGCCAAGAGCATGTCACATAGAAACCACTGTGCCAATGGGAAGCCACGCCCCCTCCTCCACCGCCTGTCCACCTGAGGCCTTGTACCTGCTTGTAGGCTGGCTTCACACCGGGCAGCAGCACGCGGTAACGCTCCACGAATTCCACAAAGCTGTAGCGGATGGGATAACCAGCCCGGCGGATCCGGATGGTCTCCATCATGCCTGAGTACCGCAGCTGGCGCACGCACAGGTGCCGGTCAAACAGCTGCCAGGTGCAAAGGGGGCGAAGGCATCAAGGCGTGGCTCCTGCTCAGGGGCCGCCCCTCCACGGCACTTGACCAACCCCAGGTTGAGGTCCAGAAAGGCCAAGGCCATGTGGTCCATGGGGAGCAACTCCAGGGAGCAGCCCGGGTCTGCAAATCAAACCCACTCAGCCGCACAGAGCAAGAACCTTGAATTGGGGTTGCCATGTGCTATGGGAGCACAGGGAGATGTGGGTCTGTGTTCTTTGGGAAACCCAGAGGGGCCTTTGGGGAGGAGGTGGTCACTAACAGAGGGTATTGTAAGGCTGGGGGTGGTGACCACGTACAAGAGCATGGAAGCTTGAAAGCACAATGCCTACCAGGGACTGGAAGGGACAAGGAAAGGCTAGTCAAGGCCACGGTTCTGCTGTGGGGGTAGTGGTGTTCTGCCTAGCCCCAGGACTGTGCTGGACATGGCAGCATTGCAGGGTGGTGGTTATACAAAAGAGTGCCTTAGGGAAGAGGATGGTTTGTTTGTTTTTAATTTTGTATCAGGCTGCAGGGCAAGGCCAGTGTCAGGATTCAGAGAGAGAAAGAGAGAGAGAGAGAGAGAGAGAAGATAGGTACTGTGGTGGGACTTGGAGGCCCAGGCTAGGAGTCGGAGCCTCATCCTGGGAATGATAGAATCAGGAACTGGGGGAAACTGGATCAGCTTTGCGTTGAGAATCAAAGCAATAGATCACTGCAGCGGGAGGGGGGCGGGGGAGGCAGAAGATGGGGGAGGATGAGGAGGCTGCTAACATGATCCAGACCACAAACACAGAGGGCTGGACTGCAAGAAGATTCTTCCGGGGGGGGGGGGGGGTGGTGGTATTTTAGGGTGAGGCATCAGGGACAGAGGTCCTGGCCTCTGTCCTGAGCCCTTTACCTCACAAACCCCTGAAGACCTGAGTCCCAAAGGGGTCAGGGCTCACCCACACTGGGAAATGACTTCCTGGCAGGGACAGTGTGTGCCGACACTTGACTTCCGCAGCCTGTTTCCTCTTTCACTGGGCCACTTTCTCTGGCCTTCCTTCCTTCCCTCCCTCCCCAGATCCGAAGGCCCAGCTTCCCCTGAGCAGAGCTCTCCCCTCCTCTGGGTAAACAATACCTCCGGGATTTGTGCTATAAAAATAAAAGGGGGCTGCCAGCGAGCAGCCTGCAGATTTGGGCCCTTCATTCTCTTGAGGACCCTCATTCAAACCTGGACAATGCTACAGATTATTTGCAGAAGCTAGACAAGATTGTGCTGGGCACACAAACAGGGCCCAAGGAATGTTATTTGCAAGAGTCCAAAGTAGAAAGTCTGAGAGGAATCCAGGAGGCTTCCTGGAGGAGGTAGAATAGACATGAGGAAAGGAACGGGGTTGTTAAAGGAGCAAGAGCCACAAGGCCATTTGCTGATGTCCACAGATTGCAGAGAGTGTGCCCAGAATATGGGCATGGTGATCCCCTTCCCATTTAAGAGTAAACTAAGTCACGTAATAAGCTACTCTAACAGGTGCCCAGCTTGGAAGTAGCAGAGTCAGGAATGAACTCCATCCCCTCCCTTCCCCCCACCCCCCACCTACTCTGATGCACCTGTGCCCCTGGCCTTGTTGCTGCCAATCCTCCACAAAATTTAACATGACCCTCCCAGCCCATCTTGACCAGCCTCCCCCACCCCCCAAAACACTCACCATGGGCTTCTTGAACTCATTGGGTTTGATGCAGCGCACGAAGAAGGGCTGGCAGGCACCCAGTGTCCGCATCAGCAGCTCCAGTGACCGCTTAAACTGGCTGCTGAGTGTGGGCGATCGCTTCCTGGTCTCGGCGCCCTGGGGGGACGGACAGACTGCAATGGGAGGGGCTGTGCCTGCCCTTCCACCCTCCAGAAGTGGCTGGGAGGGAAGGAAGGACAGCACCAGGGAGGCTCAGCAGGATGGGGGCCTGAGGACCGCAAGCCCTCCTCCCACAGCATCCGGACTGGCGCTCAGACCACAGGTGGCCCCCTCGCAGTACCTCTGAAGGCTCACTGTCTCTCCCTGTAGCTCATCCTCTTTTGATCGCCTCGGGACCAGAATTCTACAATCCTAAATTCAAACCTTGGCCCACACTGCCTGGCTATGTGGCCTCAGGCAGGTCACTAAGTAGATCACTAAATAGCAAGGAGCCTCAGTTTCCTTAAGTGACAGTAATGGTACCTACTGGGGTGGTGAAGAGGGTCAGAGATCAGGATGTTTCAATAAACTGCAAGTATGATCAAAGTATATTACATGCATATATGAAAACATCACAGTAAAGAGCCCTAGTCTGTATAATATATGCCTTTTATTTTGATGCCCATCCTGGGGCTTGAACTCGGGGCCTGGGTACTGCCCCTGAAGTTTTTTGCTCAAGGCTAGCACTCTACCACTTGAACCACAGCTCCATGTTTGGCTTTTTTGTAGTTATGTGGCTATAAGAGTCCCATGGGCTTTCTTGCCTGGGCTGGCTTTGAACCCAGATCCTCAGATGTCAGCCTCCTGAGTAGCTGGGATTATAGCCACTTGCTGGCCTAATTTTTTTTTTAAGCCAGCACCTACCCTCTGAATGGTCAGACAGGTGGAGAGGGACCCCAGCCGGTCACCAACCCTACTTGTGGGATTAGTGGGTCTGAGGAATCCTGAGAAGGCCCACAATAAGTTCCCCCAAAACCCTGGAGCTCAAAGGTTCTCTTCTTTCATTCACACCCAGATGAGCCAATTAGCAACACCTCTGCAACTCCCTGTCCGGTTAGGGCCCCCCAGAATGCTGTGAAATGAGAGCAGGGGAGCTGGGGAAGTCCTGAGAGCAAACAAACAGGAAATGAACCTTCTGGCTGGGAGCCAGGGAGCCCTGCGTGGCTAGTCCACAGGGCTTTCCCATTTTTGTTTTCCTGGCGCTTTCCATTTGAATGAGAATTTCTCACTAGCGAATTTGATTATTGTTGTAGGCTTGTTAAGTTTCAGCATCATAATTTCACCTTGTATCGGGTAACAGTCAAAGCAGGGGTGCTGATGCAGATGTGTGAGGATTTGGAGGGGCACACTAAACTCAGATCACACACTGTGAGCCCCACTGCACAAGAGGAAATGCTTGCAATTCTGAGAATGGTCTAAGATTTTGCCCAGCGTAGCTGGGGTTAGACCTAGATGGGCCAGCAAGAGCACTGATTGGCCTCTCCCTTGGAGAGAGCGCTGTCCAGGTAGGGCAGCTTCAAAGCCCAGCCTGCTTCAAAGCCCTGCTATGAATGCACACACGTGCATGCGCGTACACACACATTCCATATACTCAGCATGTATATGCTACACACACATACCACACCGACACACCAGCATACATACCCTTCATTGGTTCTGATCACCTTGGAACTGTCCTATCTGAGCGTCCTCTCCCTACCAGGCTGAGCGCCCCAGGAGGACTGACAGGATCTGCCTCGCTTACCACTGTGCCACCGGGTAAGGGCACCCCAGCCACCAACACCTTACTCAACTGAATTGTTGTTGTGCTGCTTCCTAGTGGCCCATACAGGCTTGCACAAACTCCCCATTTTCCAATCATTGAAGCCAAGAACCCAAGTGCTATCCCCAGTGCCTTAGCTCTCAGGGAAGCTGGTCCTTTCCAGAGCCTGACCCCTCTCGCTGCTTCCTTCCCAGTCAGCCTGGCCCAACTCCAAACTGACTTCTCTGTCTCTGACAGTCTCTGTTTCTGTCTCTCTCTACTGCAGCAATCTCTAAACTGTCACCTACACTCCACCAACTTATATTCTTCCATCCACTCAGTGGTGGGTGAGGCTGGAAAAACAAATCTGTTGGTGGGAGGAGGGAAAGCAGGAGAAAATAAGGGAGCCGGTAACAATGTCTGACAAAAATTGTCTTCATTTCCTTACTTGTGTAACTGTAACTCCTCTGTACATTACCTTTTACAAAGAAGAAGAAGAGGAGGAGGAGGAGGAAGAGGAAGAGGAAGAGGAGGAGGAGGAGGAGGAAGAAGAGGAGGAGGAGGAAGAAGAGGAAGAAGAAGAGGAGGAGGAAGAGGAGGAAGAGGAAAAAATCTGGTCATATCTCTTGCATAGTGGTTCCAGATCCCCTTCAGGGAAAGACAAGGTCCTTAAAGGATACACAATGCCCCACAGAATTTGTCCCCAGGGTCTCTCGTTTTACCTTCTTCTAGCCATGCTAGACTGCTGGCCATGCCAGGCCTAGATATAAGGGTACCTCAGCCTCCGCACACACCATCCATTTCCCTGCAGAACTCTTCTTTCAGATGCACGAGTCTTGCTTCCTATCACTTCTCAATAAAGCTTCTCCTAATCCCTACTCAAAATCACATTGCCCACTCCTGAATCTCTCCCTCATCTTTCCCATCTCTTACACCATCCATCATGCCACATGTTGTACTTATTTATAGGCTTATTAAAACCCACCCTTCTGCTAGAACATTTGTCCCATGAGAGCAGGAATTTCTCAGTTCTATTTTATTTACTACTAGAACAATGTCTGGCATATAATGGGCACACAATGTAGGAGAGATGGACAGATGAATGAATGAGTGAGTGAATGAATGAATGACAGCTATAAGGTTGCAGGGTCTTCCCTCACATCTGTAGTGATCTAGGTTGCTAACTTGCTTTCATCTCATTGAGGGGAAGGCTGTCTTTCCTGGTATTGATTTTCTGAGTGAATGTTCCAATGTTCCAAGGGAGAACATTGAAGAGATCAAAAGCCACGCAAAATGGCGTGGTGGAGGGGAAGTGAGGGGAGACACCTGAGCATGAGGCTGGATGACAAGGGCAGGTGAGTCTCCAGCAGGCTGCCTGCATAAGGAATGAGCGTATGTCCTGTGGACAAGAGCTCCTAGGACGTGTGACTGGGATTAGACTTTAATCAGGACATGCTCCAAGGCCAGTGATCTACCTTCCCTGAGGCTCAACAATAGCTGGGGAGTGTGGGCAGGGGTGGTAGGCAGACATGAGTCTAAGGAGGGGAAAGCAGGGTTGGGGACCTGCGCACAATGGGCAGAGTTCAGGTCACTGGGGGGGAGGGGAGAATGGGGGGGATGGGTAGAGGGTGTTGATTCCTGAGAACAGCTGGGACACTGTCTCCACCTAGTGGTGATGTTCCACATGAACCAAGCGGATCTCCTGGGTAATCCTGTTCCTGTCACAGCCAAGGCATGTTACTGTCCTAGATAGGAGCTCACAGGCCAGCAAGGCCTTGGAAGCCCGGGTGTGTGTGCTCCCTTGTATGCGACTCTGTACTGTGCTGAGACAGAACTGGATTTCGGTCTGTGTTGCGTCTCAAGTTGTCTGACCTTGGCCTCACTGGGCCCTGGGGTTTGTGCTTGGAAAGCTGGGATAATAGTAATTACTCACAGCGCTGAGTGAGGGTCACTGAGGTAGCTAATGTCAGGGATTAGCGCCTAGCCTGGGCCAGAGGAAGTGCAGGAGAGAGAACCAGTTCCAAATCTGGTCTCTGTTGTATTTTCTTCTTGCTAGTCCTGGGGTTTGAACTCAGGATCTGGGGGCTGTTCTGAGCCTGAGTCAAGTGGGAGGCTAGTGCTCTACCATTTGAGTCACAGCACCACTTCTGGCTTTTTCTGAGTAGTTTATTGGAGATTAGAGTATCATGGACTTTACTGTCCAGGCTGGCTTTGAACCATAACCCTTAGATCTCAGCCTTCTGAGTAGCTAGGATTACAGGGGTGAGCCACCAATGCCTGGCCACTGCTATATTTTAACTCTGTTGCTGAAACCCCTCAGGAGTGGGGTGCTGGTTCTGGAGAATCCAGGGTCCTGAGAGACCCTCATACTGGCCTCAGGGGAAGGAGACTCAGAACAGAGAGTTTCCAGAGGCCCTGGGTACTTCTGGGAGCTTTGGAAAGACGAAAAGAGAAGGAGAGGGAGGGAGGGAGGAAAGGAGGAGAGAGGAGAGAGAGAGAGAAAAGGGAGGGAGAGAGAGGAGGGAGAGAGGAGAGAGGGAAGAGAGAGGAAGGAGAGGGGAGAGAGAGGAGGGAGGAAGGGAAGGAGAGGGGAGAGAGGGGAGAGGGGAGAGAGAGGAGAGAGAAGCAGGCTGGGAAAGGAAGACGCAGCTACCAGAAATAGGCCAGGGACCACAGGAATTGGGGTCAGAGTGGTGGGGCTGGGTAGAGGAGGAAGGGTAGGGGAGGAGGAGGAGGAGGAGGAGGAGGAGGAGGAGGAGGAGGAGGAGGAGGAGGAGGAGGAGGAGGAGGAGGAGGAGGAGGAGGAGGAGGAGGAGGAGGAGGAGGAGGAGGAGGAGGAGGAGGAGGAGGAGGAGGAGGAGGAGGAGGAGGAGGAGGAGGAGGAGGAGGAGGAGGAGGAGGAGGAGGAGGAGGAGGAGGAGGAGGAGGAGGAGGAGGAGGAGGAGGAGGAGGAGGAGGAGGAGGAGGAGGAGGAGGAGGAGGAGGAGGAGGAGGAGGAGGAGGAGGAGGAGGAGGAGGAGGAGGAGGAGGAGGAGGAGGAGGAGGAGGAGGAGGAGGAGGAGGAGGAGGAGGAGGAGGAGGAGGAGGAGGAGGAGGAGGAGGAGGAGGAGGAGGAGGAGGAGGAGGAGGAGGAGGAGGAGGAGGAGGAGGAGGAGGAGGAGGAGGAGGAGGAGGAGGAGGAGGAGGAGGAGGAGGAGGAGGAGGAGGAGGAGGAGGAGGAGGAGGAGGAGGAGGAGGAGGAGGAGGAGGAGGAGGAGGAGGAGGAGGAGGAGGAGGAGGAGGAGGAGGAGGAGGAGGAGGAGGAGGAGGAGGAGGAGGAGGAGGAGGAGGAGGAGGAGGAGGAGGAGGAGGAGGAGGAGGAGGAGGAGGAGGAGGAGGAGGAGGAGGAGGAGGAGGAGGAGGAGGAGGAGGAGGAGGAGGAGGAGGAGGAGGAGGAGGAGGAGGAGGAAAAGGGTTATGTATCTGGGTGCCCGTGGCTCAAGCCTGTAATCCTAGCAACTCAGGAGGCTAAGATCTGAGAATCGAGGTTCAAAGCCAGCCCAGGCAGGAAAGTCCGTGAGACTCCTATCTCCAATAAATCACTAGAAAACTGGAAGTGGCGCTGTGGCTCAAGCAATAGAGCACGCACCTTGAGCTGAAGAGCACAGGGATAGTGCCCAAGCCCAGAGTTCAAGCCCCACAACCGACCAAAAAAAAGAAAAGGGTCAGAGCCCCGAATGATATCTGTCTCTCCAGTGTGACCTACATGTGGAACTTGGGAGGGGACCTGCTGGATTCTGGGCTTTCCAGTGCCTAGGTATCCTCTCTCTGAGGTCAGTTGCTGTGTGTATGAGGGTGAGGAACAGAGTGGTCCAGGGACAGAGAAAGGGGACCCCATTTAGAGAGATGTGGCACCCCATTCTGCAGCCAGAGCTCGTGAGCTGCTCCAGAGCTCTGCGGGGCACTGGCAGAAGAGGGGCCATCAGGAGGCTAAATGTGGGGGGGCAGGGGAGCTGGGGAGGGGCTGAGGAGCAGGGAGGGGAGAGGCATACTATGCGTTGCCAAGGGACACCGGCTCCCTTGGGACCTGTAGGCCCTTGGAGCCACAACCAGAGATGGAGAATTGGGGCACAGGCCCGTGGTGACTTCAGGTTTTAGCACCTCACGGGAACACTGCCACTGAGCCTCTTCCTAACCCCTCTCTGACCTCAGTCCCTTGATTACAAAATGCAGAGGTCACAGGTGCTTTGTGCGGCACAGGTCATCAAAGGGCCCCCAAAGTTGGTGGGAGCAGCAGAGGCTCAGCAGGGTAGGTGGCAGAGCAGTCAAAAGACCAGAGTTTGAGACCTCACCCCACCCCTGGCTCACACAACGCCCTGAGCAAGTTCTGCTCCTCTTTTAGGTCTGTTTCCCTCTTTAAGAAACCGAGATGCCTGCAGCGTACACACACACAAAACTCAAAACCCCAAACCAAAACCACTCCAGAAACCACTCCACAAAACACACACACACACACACTCAAGAAATAAAAAAGTAAAGGCTAGCCCTCTCCCCAGGCTCTGGCTCCATGGGGCTGTCCCTCCATTCTGCATCCCAGGCTGGGGCTTGTTACCTTCGCAGAGGTGGTTGTCTGGCGGAGAGTGCCGGATGAATAACCACAGAGAAACTACAAGGGGAATCACAGGCAGGTAAGACAGGAGGAAAACCATGAGTGGGAGGATCAGAAAGCAGGGGCAGAGGCCTCTGAGGAGGGAGGGAGGCCTGTGGGCAGAAACCTGGGCTCCCACCCAGGCACTGAGGGGGTGAGGGCTCTCCCTTCCAGCTGGCTCCTCCATACTCAGGAGGACAACAGGGGACAAAGGGGCACACATGCCTGCAGGAGGAAAGTCCACTGGACACCAGCCTAGAGCCTCAGAATAGGGGTCCAGAAGTCCTGTTTGGGGGCAATGGGGAGGGAGGAGGGGGGAACAGCACACCCTGTTGGGCAGTGACTGCATGCCACACTGTTCTGTGTCTCCCTTTATGGTAGAGGTCCAGTGGGCACACCCCCGTGGCAAACCAAGACCCCTCCAAGCACCATGATCTCTCTTTTGTGGCCCTTCTCTGGGCCTGGCTCCCCAGTAGCACCCCACCCAATCAGTACGAGGACCATGCAGGAGCCTCCTGGAGGCCTTTCCTGGAACTACAACCAAATCCTGTCCCCATTCCATGTGGGGCTCCCCTGACCCACCAGGAGCAAGCCCAGACTTCTGGAAATGCCTTTCTGGTTCAGTGGAGTGCTTCCTTCCCATCCTCCCCCCCCTCCCACCCCCATGCATCCTCACCATGGCGACATCAGCCTGGAAGATCTGCTTGATGAACTTGTTCCGGGAGGAGTGGACCAGCTGGATGATGTCCCCATGCAGGGTGTCCCGGTTCTTCTCCAGGAAGCCTGAACATCAGCAAAAAAACCCACAAAAACCAGTCATAACGGCACCTGGCCATTATGGGCAGGCAGCCCCAAGCCAGACCCAGGCCCCCTCCAAGTCTGCAATACCTGAGCCACGAAGACCTTCCATGTTCACCTTATCTGTGTCCCAGTGTGGGATACTGGGGCTAGGAGAAGATAGTATCTTTCCCAAGGGCCCAGAAACAAGGAGGGGCTTTCTTGCCAGCCACACAGGCCTCTGCCAGGCCTGTCCAAGGCGGGGACAGGGAGGGGGAGGAGGGGGAGGTGGGCTTCTCAGTCTCCAGACTGTGAACTGGAATGTCTGAACCATCCCAAGCCACCAGAGGTGGCTTTGAACTAAGACATCAAAGCTCAGGCTAAGCAAGCATGTCCCCTGGAGAGAACACACCTTGGCCTGGCATAGGCCAGCAGTAAGGAACAACTTCACCACCACCTCCAGGCTGGACAGGACATCATGATTTACACAGCACCCTCAGCCCCCTGTAGGGGAGTGGGCAGGGGTTCTTTCCTATTCCATGATGGAAACATGTTCAGAGAAGCTAGGAGAGTGGCCCCATGCCACACAACAGACATGGCTAGACTAAGCCCCAAGCCCAGGACCCTGATGCCAGTCCAGGATGGCTCCCTGCACCACACAACCTCGTTACAGCTGCCATTCCAAGGACTAGAGACCCAAATTAGTTAACAAGCTTCTATTAGGGTTGGCCCAGGAGAAGGATGACCTCAGGCTAGAGATGTCCAAGGGGCCATAGTGCTGTGGGGGGGCAGGGCTTGGCTGCCATTGATAGATGACCATGCCTGAGACATGCCTGATGAGGGAAAGGGCGCGAGCCTCATAGAACTGCTTTGGGATGGTGACAGAGTGACAGGGCTCTCATTAGAGCCGTGGGCCAGCCTCACTACATGAGCCTAGGACAGTCCTCTTTCTGGGGCTCAGTGTCCTCGTCTGTGAGAGAGGAACAATGACACCCAGCACAGTAACAGTGCTTCCTGACACACTTCTGACTCCCGGGACAATTCACAAGGAGTTTCAGCCCTGGTGGCTCCTAGCTTTCCTGTTATGAATGACATTGGCCTTAACCCTGAGTAGCAACCTGGAGTCTGATCAGCAGCAGCTCAATGGATTATATCTGCACAGATGCTCACTTGAGGCCATCCCTTCATCCCAGGGTCAGGGAGAATCAACAAGGCCTTCTGTAGGCTGTGAGAATTCCAAGTGGGACAGGTATAATGATACACAACCTGTAATCCAAGCTCTCAGGAAGAAGAGGCAGAAGGATCACAAGACCAAAGGGCTCCTGCGTTATATACAGACTCTGTCTCAAGGAAGAAGGAAGGAAGGGGAAGGAATCTTCACCACTTTTACTTGGCCTTGCTCATTGCTGGAGAGCCAGGTGGGTAACAGAGCTGTTTCCAGGATCAGCCTTGCATCTAAGTTGTGTCAAGTTGTGTAAGAACACGAACCTGTTTCCTCATATGTACACGGAGCATTGAGCCCCTCAAAAGGACAGAAAGCAGAACTCCTACAGATTCTAGCCACTCTTCACAGTAGCACTCGTCACATTGAACAAAGGGGGCAAACAGCCCAACTGTCACTAACAGCACATAAACCATGGCAGAGTATTATTCCGCTCTGAAAATGAAGGCAGTTTGCCCACAGTATGACATGGATGAGCCTTGAAGACACAATGCAAAGTGAAATGGAACACAAAAGGACACACACCATTGGATCCCACTTAGAGGAGGTACCTAGAACGAGCACACTCACAGAGACAAAGCAGGATAGAGCTGACAGGCTGAGGCTGAGGGAGGGTGAGAGTTATTGATGACCTTGCAGATCTCCTATCTCCTATGACAAAAGGCTCTGGAGGAGGTGGTGATCATTGACCAAACCTGTAAATGTACTTAGGGCCACTCAAGGTTACACTTAAAATGTAAAATGTCATACAGGTATGATTTACCACAGTGAAAAACGTATTCTTTAAGCTCAAGTAGTAGAACACTTGCTCTCAAATATGACTGATTCACACACACACACACACACACACACACACACACACACACACACACACACACACACACACACGCTCACGTGCGCACATACACACACATCCTCCCTGGTTCACGCCTGTAATCCTAACTAATCAAGAGGTTGAGATCTGAAGGTTGTGACCCAAAGACAGCTTGGGGAGAAAAGTCCATGACGCTTTTATCCGTAACCACCAAAAAGCTGGAAGTGCAGCTGTGGCCCAAGTGACTGAGTGCTAGGCTTGAAGACAAAAGCTCAGGGACAATGTTCAGGCCCTGAGTTCAAGCCCCAGGACCAGTGTGCATGTGTGCACACACACACACACACACACACACGCACGCACGCACACACGCACGCATGCACCTCTATGTAAAAGCAATGGAGAGCATGAGCCCCACATTTCCCCAGTCCCCTGTGCCTCCCGCCCTGTCCCCAGGCCCTGTGGTGTTTTCTGGGCCGGAGGGCAGGGAAGGATGGGACACATTGGACAGCCACCCGTTGGCCTGCCAGTACCTTGGGTCTCATAGTAGACAATGCCTGCAAAATGGTTGATGCCAAACTGGGTCTCGTGGCTGTTCTTGGGGGGCACATAGTTGGGGTTGAGTTTGTGCTGAGAGTTCAGTTTATTCAGCATGGTGGTGTCAGTGCCCTGCAGGAGCAGAGGGGCTGCTGTTGACTGCCCTCCCTCTCCCAGCCCTGCTGCCCCTCTGCCCAGGTCTTCACACCCCTCCTTGACCTTTCTCAAGAGCCTCCCGCCTGCCCCCCCCATCACCCCTTCCACAGGAGCTGGGTCCTCAGTTTCCCATTTGCTAAATGGATAAAGTGGACTTGCACAGTCTGGAGGACACATTCCAGTCTAGAGCATCTCTCTTTCATGATCAAAGTCCCAAGAATAGCCAGGCATGATGACACATGCCTGTAGTTCCAGCTATTTGGAAGGCTAAGGCAGGAGGAGTTCAAGGCCAACCTGGGCAACACAGGAAGACCTCATCACAAGATTACCAGTGCTATCTCTCGCTCCCCAATTCCACTCTAGGATATTCTGTTTCTTGAGCATATACTCTGCACCACACTGTGGGCTTAGATGGGCATTGGGTACAGGACCCCATGGACTGTAGGTGATCTCATGTGCCCCATGAGTATCCTAGAGCTGGCCCAGAGCACCCTGAAAGATGTGTGCCATCATTCCTACTCTTGGGGTGGGGGCGGGAGGGGAAGCTGAGGCTCTGAGTAGGGAAGGGACCCAGCATGCTGCTCAGTGCCTGCCCCCTTTGTGTCCACCTTGGGGAACTTGCTCTCCTCGTCGATGAGGGAGATGATGTTCATGGGCCTGTTGGCAATCATGTCCAGGGCATCCTGGTTGTCGGTGAACTCAATGTGCAGCCAGTCGATGCTCTCCAGGTCGTACTCCTCCTGCTCCAGCTTGAACACGTGTCGCACAAAGAACTGCTGCAGGTGCTCATTGGCAAAGTTGATGCAGAGCTGCTCAAAGCTGGGGGGGTGGGAGGCAGGGAATCGCAGGGTGTGGGGCCGGGGAGAGGTGGTTCATTCAGACCCCTGCCCCACTGAGCATGCCTGGCCTGGCCTCCATCTGCAATCTGCAGTGTGACTTTGGCCAGGGGGAATCTCATCACAGCTCTGCAGCTGGGTAGGACTGTCAAGTCCAGTCCTTCTAATGGGGCTGGATGTAGAGCCCTAGTCAAGGGAAACTCACCCAAGAAGTCAGAGGAAGGGTGGGCTAGAAGCCAGGGCTCAGGCCCCACGGGGAGGACCAGGGGCACTAGGGAAGGGAGGAGTCAAGACACTGAGGAGGTGAACCAGAGAGAGATACCAGTGTGTTGCTGAAGGACAGGGCTGACGTGACGTGGCCAGCAGAGATATAGACGTAGCCTTGAATTTCAGTGTAGGATGGTTTGGTGGAGGTAGGGGGGGTGTCCTATGTCATCCACAGATTAAAGAACTGCTATGATTTGCCTGGAGTCAGTTAGTGGACCAGACATGGCTGGGCTCTATCATATGGCCCCCAAAGATTGGAGGTGGGGGTGGTGGGGAAGGGGAGAGGAGGGCCCAGGAATTAGCACTTGAGATCAATCCAGGCCTCTACTGTTTCAAGGTGCCCTGTAGCTTGGGAACATTGGGCACAGCAACTGTGGCCACAGAACCTAGACACCAGAGGTACTCCCCAAGGGTCCCAGATGGTATGAAGGCTTCCACATGCATGCGCACATGCACGTGTGTACACATGCACACACACACACACACACACACACCCCTGAGCAGGTTTCAGCTGACCCTGGTGAGAGGGAAGGACATAGATGGGGACCTCCAGGATGTCTAAAGCCAACATTGGCATCAGCCAGACAGAGTGAATGTGCTTGGAGCCAGATCCATGTGGCTTAAAAGGTGAGAGGTGACATTTCCACCAAGCAGTGCCCACATGGTACCTGTTCACAGCAAAATTCTCAAACCCAAAGATGTCCAGAAGGCCGATGGACCGGCGGGAGTTCTTCACTTCCTGGGAGGGAGGCTTGTAAATTGCCGCATTGATCTTGTCCACGATCCACACAAAGAGCCGTCCGTAGATGCCCTGAAAGGTGACTGATCAGCCATGGGGCCTTCGGGGACAGACTGGGCTCTGACAGCCTTCATGCTGGCTCCTACCCATCTAAGGGACACCACGCTACAGAACACACGCTTTCCCACTGCCTGCTCCTGCTCAAACAATTCCTGTCTACTTCAAAGCGAAATCAACAACACATGTGCAAAACCTAGCCGGGGATTAAGAAAACATCAACAGGGCTGGGAAGGTGGCTCAGTGGTAGAGCGCTTGCCTTGCATGCCTGAGGCCCTGGGTTCGATTCCTCAGCACCACATAAGCAAAAAGAAAAAAAGCCGGAAGTGGCGCTGTGGCTCAAGTGGTAAAGCGCTAGCCTTGAGCTGAAGAGCTGAGGGACAGTGCCCAGGCCTAGAGTTCAGGCCCCATGACCGGACCCCCCCCCCCCAAAAAAAGAAAACATCAACATCGGAACCTCGCTCTCCTCTTGTGGGAGGAGAGGGAAGGAAAAGGGACAGAAGTGGGTTTTATCTGCCTGTCCTACGGCCTTCTCCCATTCATTATTCTTTCGGTAGTATGTCATAACAAAGCTGTTTGCATCTGTTTTACCTTGATCAAACACGAAAATGCCTGCTAGTCATGATCTATCATTTGTATGCTTACCTTGTTCACTTTTAAAAATATATATATATAAAAGGAACCAGTCAATGGTGACTCAGATCTGGAATCCCAGCTAAAATCTTTGGGATCATGGTTCAAAGCCAGCCTGAGCAGAAGCCCACAAGACCCCTGCTCAATGAACAGCTAGATGTGGCTGTGGGCAGATGCTATCCTAGCTCTCAGGAGGCCCAACACAGGTGTATCACCTTCAGGCACACCTCAAGCAGGAAGCAAGACCCTATCGATCACAAAAATAACCAGCAGAAAGTAAGGCTGGAGATGTAGCTCAGTGGTTAGAGGCCTTGCTAGTGAGAGAATGAGTCCTAACCTTAGTACCACTGACAAAATTAATAATACTATCTCCATTTTTGGCATGCTCAATAAAGATGTCAAAATCTATATAAATAAATAAGACCCCTGCTCAGGCATTAGCCGGTCTGAGAGTCTTCGCTGGTGCTACAGATGAGGAAGAAACAACCTTTGGGCTCCCTCCTCAGGCTCTGTCTTCCCAGCAGCTCTGAAGAGTTCCACAGCCTGGAATCCAGCACAGGCTGATACAGGGGGTGGTGAGTAGCACAGGGACAGAAAGAGGGCGCTGGACTCCTGCCCACGCTGGCCCCCTCTTCTGCAGAGAGACCCAAAAGGGTCCTTGGCTGGGGACAGAGGAACACTAAGTAGGCCAAGTTGAGAGCTGGGGGAACAGAGCAGGGCGGGGCCCTGAGGAACTCAGTACTGGCCCTGAGGAACTCAGTACTGGCCCTGAGGAACTCAGTACTGGCCCTGAGGAACTCAGTACTGGCCCTGAGGAACTCAGTACTGGCCCTGAGGAACTCAGTACTGGCCCTTGCGGGTTAGGTGCATACACAGGGCTCTGAGGAGGGCAGATGGAGCCCAGATCACAGAGACAGCTAGGTGAAGCTGCCGCACTCCAGTCCAATGCAGGCTGGTATAAGGCCCAGCTCTGGGATCACCCAACTCCCAAAGGCAGAGAGCAGGCAGCCACTTTACATCATCCTACCTTGACGAAGGCATCGCGCACGTCCAGCGCCTGCTCCCGGCTGAGCGGAGTGGACACTGTCTCCCCACGGGTGATGAGGGTGCGGCTAGTCAGGCAGCTCATTAGGTCCGGAGGATTCACCTGGTACAGATACTCTGGTAGGTAGTTTGCCCACTCCAACCCTGCCTGGCTTGGGGCACATCCTCCAGCTCCACTGAAAATACCATCCTCCCCCAGCCCAACGCCCCGCAATGTCAGAAGCCCCTGGGGTGAGGGGGGGCGGGGCTGCCTGGGACAAGCATTTTTCCAGACAACCCTCCTGGTTCTACCAGCACCATACCAGGACTGGCCCCAACTTCTCTCCAACCTTGGTTATAGCCCAGTGGGCATTTGCGAAGAGACTGATAGACTCGTGACCTGACCCATGGACATTGTGCCCTCTATCAATCAGATGTGTAGACAGGCTATGAGGGCAAGAATAACTCACCCAAGGCCCCAAGCCCAGCCCAGGCCGCCCCAGGCACCACTAGACAACCAAGGCCAGTGGGCCCCAGCCTCACCCTTGGGGTTTTGCTTGTATGGAACAGCGCTGAGCCCACATGTAATCCTCTCTCCCAGGGGGCTCCCAGTAGCCTGGTCCCCTCATGCCAGAACCATCTTTGAGGGACAGATGCAGGGGTAAGGACAGAAAGCCAGCACTGACCTCAAGCAGGGACGCGGCGGTGGCTAGCGATGGGGAGAAGAGGACCTCGCAGGCATCTAGGTTTTCAAATGTACGGGCTGCCGGCAGCAAGGATGAGAGGTCAGGGGAGAGGTGAGGGAGGGAGCCCAGGCAGTCATGGGAGGACCAGGTCACCTGCCCACCTTCACTGAAGGTGGGGCACGGCCACTGACTTTCCACATCAACAGATGTCTACTTCATGTTCTCATGAGAGCCTATGGGACTCTTATGCCAGTGCCTGAGGCCATGTCTGTAGTCTAAAGCTGCACACACTCCCTGGCAGCTGCCCCTGTCCCTCACTCTTTGCCTCAGACTCCCAGAGCTCTTGGCTGCAGCCCTTGCTCCTCTGAGATGGGCTTTGTGAGCTGGTCTTCCCCAGATGTACCTCACTCTCTCGGGGCCTAGGGACTTTTGTGCAACCTCCTTCTTCTGTCCAGGGCATCCTGAAGTCTTTTAAGATGGTGCTTTCTTGAGTGCTGGGATCTCTTATTGAGAGAATTTCCCAAATATCCTTCTCCTACCTAGGACCTTATTTTGGGGCTCAAAGGAGGTAGAAGCCAGTGCTGGCCTCAGAGGACTGCCCCTCATCCTGGTGGATGGTAATGTCACACAAGTAAGCATAGTCCCTTTCTTGACCTGTTTCCTTTCAGATGGCTATGTGGCCACTCACACCTTAGGATGAATTACTTCAAAGAATTGCCCTCTTTTTAAGACAGGTGATCTTAGAAGAGGTGGGTCTTATAGGGCCCCATGCAACTCCCAATACACCTCATCTCTCACCCTCATACTGCAAGTTGCCCATGTGCAGGATGGCTGCCAGGAGCTTCGAGATCTCCCAGTTCTCCGTGTCCGTGAACATGAGCACCTTCATGGCCGAGCGGATACTGGCATACTCCTGGCTGTCCACCCGGCCCTCACAGGTTATGCAGTTCCCCTGGGAGGCAGGACAGAAGAGCGGGGACTGGGAGGTCATCAAGGAGACAAGGGTAGCCCAAGAGATGGCACCTGAGCCACAGGTGCCATCTCTTGGGCTACCCTTGAGCTCAAGGCTAGAGGTATCTAAAAATCTCTTGCTTCCCATACCCGGGGCCTACATACCCTTTTTCCTGCATGTGAGAAGAGGATCTGGGCCATCAATGCCATCAATGCCAGGCCTCCCCCGCCACCCACCTGGCAATCACAGCACCAAGGCTGCACCCTGCTCCTGCACCCTGGGGGCTGCCCACTCTCAAGGCATTGACCTTTTGCCAGGCACAGCTTCATGTGCATGGAGGAGGGGATGGCAGACGAGGGTTTGGCTCACACTGTGTAAAGGTCTAAGCATGCCAGCCAGTAAGGGAGTATCCAGGAAGGCCTGTCACCCACACCACCCCCCTGAAGAGCTGAGGGATAGCACCATCAGTGGCACTGTGGCTCAAGTGGTAGAGTGCCAGCCTTGAGCTGAAGAGCTGAGGGACAGCACCCAGGCCCAGAGTTCAAGCCCCATAACTGATGAAAGAAAGAAAGAGAGAGAGAGAGAAAGAGAGGAAGGAAGAAAGGAAGGAAGGAGGAAGGAAAAAGAAAAAGAAAGAAAGAGAGAAAGAGAGGAAGGAAGGAGGAAAGAAAAAGAAAGAAAGAAAGAAAGAAAGAAAGAAAGAAAGAAAGAAAGAAAGAAAGAAAGAGAGAGAGAAAGAGAGAAAGAGAGAAAGAAAGAGAGAAAGAAAGAAAGGGAAAAGAAAACGTTTCTGTAGCTAGGAACCCAGTGGCTCATGCCTAGTTCCTCAGAAGGTTGAGAATGGAAGATCTCCCTTCAAAGCCAGCCCAGGGAGGAAAGTTCAAGAGTCTGCAATTAATTAGCAAAAAATATAAATGGAGCTGTAGCTCAAATGGGAGGGCCTGAATTCAAGTCCCAGGACAAGCATGGGGAAAAAAAGAAATCTCTGTGCTGAGAATTCACTAGCGGTAAGGGAGCATGTGTGCCTGGTGGAGTCAGGCCTCTGGCTGGGCTGGACAGGGCAGGGGCCAGGGAAAGGTGTGTGGGAATGTTCTCACCCACCAAGCTCAAGTGGAGCAGGCCATGTTGGAGAGGCTTGGAGCTGCAGGACTGCACAGAGCTGGATGACCCCTACCCCATCCCAAGCCTCACCATGGCCAAGTAGTTGTAGTCAGCAGCCTGGCCCAGGCCCAACTTCTTCTTCTGCTCCTCGCTCATGCCCTCCAGCATGCAGTAAAACACATGGTAGTTCCTCTCATCGGGGGCCTGAAGGGAGGCAAGGTGTGGGCCAGAGCACAAGTCCAGGAGGAGGACACGGTAGGCCCTCACAAAGAGGTGAGGGCTGCGTGGGCCAAATAGACAGCAAGACCAAACCCAAGGTGTGGTCTTCCCTGCGTGTGCCCCCACCCCAAAACCAAGACTCACACCTACCTGACGACAGACTCGAGACTTCTCCAGCAGGTATTGCTGGATCTTGGCTCCTTCAATGGCACCCCGCTTGTTGAAGTGGATGTCAATGTATTTCCCGAAGCGGCTGGAATTGTCGTTGCGGATGGTCTTAGCATTGCCGAATGCTGCAGGGGTTAGGGGGATAGAGGTCATGGCGAAGGCCAGCCCAGGCCCAATGCCAGCCTGTCCTCAGAACCTGACCCTACCTTCCAGGATTGGGGTGGCCTCCAGGACCTGCTGTTCGATCCATGAGTGCTGCCCACTGATGGCCGCCAGGAACTGCAGGATCAGCTTTGTGCTCTCCGTCTTCCCCGCTCCTGACTCTCCGCTGTGGATAGACAGAGGATGGGGCTCAGCCCACGCTGTCCCATCAACTCCTTGTCTGCAATATGGTCTGCATCCTCAGGAGCTCAGGGCTCTGCCATACCCACAGGTAATTTTGCGCACATACACACACACGCACGCACGCGCGCACACACACACACACACACACACACTCATCTAAACTTACCATAGAGCGTGGTACGTATTAGATGTGCAATCAAAGCTTTTGGCCTCTTACCCTCTGCCCAAGACAAAACAGGAACCTGAGATTTCAATCGACCAGCACTTAATGGGAGGCTTCAGTAAACAAGGCCAGCCTCAAAAGCCAGCACAAGCTTTGGCAGTATTAAGAGAGATATAAGAGATGGGAAAGGGGAGGTGATTCTCTATGTTACCACACAGAGCAGGGTTGCTGGGAGCTCCATGGCACTTCGTACAGTGGAGCCATGTCTAGTGGTACTGGCAGGTGCCAGGCCCCCCCCACCTGATGATACAGCACTGGTCCCGGTTGTTGCGCTTCATGTTGAAGTAGCAGTTGTCAGCGATGGCAAAGATGTGGGGGGGCATCTCCCCGATCTTCTTGTTGGTATACTGGCGGATATGCTCTGACGAGTAGATGGAAAGCAGCTGGTACGGGTTCACAGCAACTAGGATGGAGCCCGTGTATGTCTGTGGGTACCAAAGACAAGGGCCTCACTACGTTCATGTGCATAGGATGCCACGCCCACTCTGCGGGAGGCCCCACCCATGCAATGGGAGGTCACGCCCACTCCATGGCTCAGAGCAGGGAATGCAGTTACAGGAGTTACTCTTCCTTCCTCCTTCCAGCTTGCAAAGGTCAGGCAGGCCTAGCCTGCCATCGGTGATGCGTGTATTGACATTTGAGGTCTGAAGAGACCAAAGATAGATGTGGCCACACAGGGAGGTGACGGTCTTGCCTGTCCTCATTCCTCATCCCAGGGCTCCCCACCCCTAACCCCCAGCTGCTGCCACCATGCAGAGCAACTCAGCCCAGAGTGGCCATGCAGGGGAAGGGAGACTGGGTACCACATGCCAGGAAAAGGCCCGAACCAGAGGCAAAGCAGCTTCGGGCAGAGACAAGAGACTCAGCACTAGGGCCAAGAGGCAGTAGCAAGCCTAGCTCAGTTTTGGACACCCTGAGGCAGGTAGACACCCTTGTGGGGCCCAAGATGCTCCCTTCCCAATAAGCAGCCTCCTCCATTGTGAGCCTCCGCAGGGAGAGAAAGGAAGGAGGCTGAGGGGAGCAGCCAGGCCAAGCCAATAGCCTAGAAGCCTCACTCACCCGCCCTCCACAGTTGGTCTGAGGATACAAAGTGCCAGAGCAGAGAAAAAGGAGCTGGTCAGTGGGAAATTGGGTGATCAGGGTCCCCGTGAGCAATACCACCCATCTGGCCGAGGGTTGGGATAATTAACTCAGGACCCCCTTAGCCACTGTCCTCAGTTTTGAAAGTTATCTGTCTTGTAGCTGGGAGCCCCAGCACACGAGCCTTTTATTGCTTTAGCTATTTGGTTTGTCAGTCATGGGGCTTGAACTCTGGGCCTTGGCACTGTCCCTGAGCTCAAAGTGAGCACTCTACCACTTGAGCCACAGCATCACTTCTGCTTTTCTGGTGGTTAATTGGATATTAGAGTCTCACGCATGTGAGCCACCAGTGCCCGGCTTGCTTTAGCTATTCTTCAAATACAGTCTCCCTTTTTGCCTGAGCCACAATCCTCCAGTGTATACCTCCCCCATAGCTGTGATGACAGATGAGAACCACTATGCGCAGCTCTATTGGTTGAGATAGACTCTTGCACATTTTTGCCTAGCCTCCAACTTCAGTCCTAATTTCAACCTCCTAAGTAACTAAGATGACAGGTGTGAGCCACTGCACCAGGCTCTTCGCTTCTTCCCTCCCTCCCTCCCTCCCTCCCTTTCTCCCTCCCTCCCCCCCTTCCTTCTTTCCTTTCTTCTTTTTTCTTATCAGTCTGGGCGCTGTCCCTGAGCACTTTTTGCTCAAGGCTAGTGCTGTACCACTATGAGCCACATAGCCACTTCCAGTTTTCTGGTGGTTTATTGGAGATCAGAGTCTTATGGACTTTCCTGCCCAGGTTGGCTTCAAACCTCCATCCTCATCTCTCAGCATCCTGAGTAGCTAGGATTGTAGACATGAGTCATGGGCGTCTGGCTGTTCCATTCTTTTCAACACTTGTCTAAGATGGTGATACTCATCTCTAACCTAGCAACGCCACAGGGCAACAGGCTGCCTGCACACTGTTTATTCACCAGCCTTTTTAGGGAGCCCCATGGGGAGGTGGCCCCCGGGAGCTCAGACAGACCGCAGATGCCCCAAGAGGGGGAGGTGGTGAGCTGAGGGGTCTCCAGTGGGCATGGATGCATGAAAGGACATGACATTTGGGAGGCCTGATGGAGAAAGGTCACATAGACAGCGTGGAGGACAAATGACAGTCATCATCTCAGACTAATGAGCCAGACAGACAGTGACCCTGAGAGACTCAGTGACCAAGTTCAGGGCAGGGACAGCGGTAGGAAGGGACTTGAACCCGCTGAGAACCTTAAGTAGTCTTCCAGGGTGGGGCTGAACATCCACTCGTGATTCTCCTCTACCCACAGCAACTCGGGCTTGACCTTGCAGAGCACTGGTGGCTCATGCCTGTAATCTTAGCTGCTCAGAAGGCTGAGATCTGAGGATCAAGGCTTGTAGCCAGCCTGAGCAGGAAAGTTTGTGACACTTTTGCCTCTAATTTACGAGAAAAAAAACAAAACAAAACCAGAACTGAAGGTGTGGCTCAAATATAGAACACCAGCCTTGAGTAAAAAAAAAAAATCCAAGCAAGTAGCTAGGTACTGGTGGCTCATGCCTGTAATCATAGCTACTCAGGAGGCTGAGACCTGAAGATCACAGTTTGAAGATAGCCTGGGCAGGGAAGTCCATGAGTCTCTTATCTTCAATTAAACACCAAAAAGCCAGAAGTAGAGAGGGAAAATGGGAGAGATCAAGGGATGGGGTGACATTATCCAAAAAGAAATGTACTCATTACCTCACCTCATCACCTTTATAATAACATTAAAAAAAAAACTCAAAGCCAGAAGTAGGGCTGTGGCTCAAGTGGCAGAGCACCAGCTTTGAGCACCAAAAGCTCAGGGACAGCACCTAGACATTGAGTTCAAGCCCCAGCACCGGCACACATACACATAAAAAGCCAACCAAAAGTTCATGGCCATGAATTCAAGCCCCAATACTGGCAAAAGAAAAAAGTCTTGACCATATTGCCCTCTATCAGAAACCAGCCTTCAGTGTCCCACAACTTTAGGACAAAGTGTATATCATGTCCCCAAGCCTGGCCCCTGCTACCCCCCACCCCAGAGCCAGGGGGTTCTTTCACATTAAACCTCCAGCGCAGAGCCCCACGCCTCCTCCGCCATGTCAGACAGTGCACGTGCGGCTTGCGTCCCTTCACCCAGCGAATTCCTTCTCACCCATCTTCAGAGCCTTGCTGGGATGGCTCCTCCAGGAAGTGGGAACATCCTGTGGGACCCAGAACATCCCACCTAGGCCCTCCAGGCCATTTCCTGACTCCCGCATGGTTCTGCTTCAAGACCTCTATCCTCCAGCACACAGGATGCTGAGCAGTGTTTGTTGAGTGACTGATCGACTATATTAAAGGGCTGAGGGGACAGCATTAACTGCAGTCCTGAGAAACTAGTGGGGAAGGAAGCCAGAACCGCTGCCGGTGCCCTGAAGCAACACCAGCCACCATGCCACAGAAGTCTGGCCAGGATGTGGGAGTAGAAAGGCACCCAAGAGTGTAACAACGATGCGACCATCTGTGTACAAGGGAAAGTGTGGGTGCAGAATCCCTCTGAAGTTCCACAGCAGTGGTTTTTCTCCTGGTCAGAACAACTTTCTAACTGTATAATGCACACTTGCTTAAAAATATTTCTTTTTTTTTGGGGGGGGGGGGGTCCAGTCATGGGGCCTGAACTCTGGGTCGGGGCGCTGTCCCTCAGCTCTTCCGCTCAAGGCTAGCGCTCTACCACTTGAGCCACAGCGCCACTTCCGGCTTTTTTCTTTTTGCTTATGTGGTGCTGAGGAATCGAACCCAGGGCAAGCGCTCTACCACTGAGCCACCTTCCCAGACCTAAAAATATTTCTTAAAAAAGAGAACTGTTGCAAGGCACCAGTGGCTCACGCCTATAATACAGCTACCGAAGAGGCTGAGATCTAAGGATTGCAGTTCAAAGCTAGCGCAGGCAGGAACGTCTGTGAGAGTCTTATCTCCAATTAACCACAAAAACAAACAAACAAAACAAAAAAAAGTGAAACTGTGGCTCAAGTTACTCCTAGGGCTAGCCTTGAATAAGAAAGTTCAAGGACAGCACCCACGCTAAGTTCAAGCATGTATGCATGTGTGCATGTATGTGTACGCCCACATACACAAGACCTCTGTCCTCTGAGAGGACCCTTCCCAGCAATGGGGATGACCAGGAAGACCCCATGGACAAGACTCCACATGCAGCTCCTCTCTGTGGACCAAAATCCTCAGAAAATCCCTGAAAGCAGGGTCATGCTCCTCCTGGCCCGATGGGAGTGCTGAGCCACCCAGTCCTGGCCAAGGAACTCATTAGATAACTGGGCGTGGGCTGAGGAGGGGCCTTGGCACCACAGCCTCAGTGCTGGTGTGTCTCCACCTGGGCTCCCCAAGCCCCAGGAATGCACCTCCAGATGGCAACTGGAGACTGGAAGGAGAACAGGAGGCCTGGCCTCTAACAGCAGACTCAGACTCTCTGGGCCTCCAGGCCCATTGGTCCTCTGCAGTCTTGGAATAGCCCTGAGCCCATCCAGGGCCACAAAGGGCTAATGCCCACTTGCCCAGCAGAGCCCTCCTCTCACATCTCCAGCCACGAAACCTGCTCTGTGGGAGCCTAGGACATGACACACGTGGTGGTGCCTGAGGCAGGGATCTGGGCTTCCGTAAGGCCAGAGGGCTGTGATGAGAATCAATGCTATCTGTGGCTCCCCTCCCCCAGGAAGCCCCAGGCTGGCCACCCCAAGGACTCTTCCCTTGGAGGCTGGCAGGCTGTGGAGACCAAGAATGTGCCCTGGGTCACAGCCCTGTCACAGGCTGCCCTCCCTACACAGGCACCCATTGTGCCCATGGCAAGCCAAGTCAAGAATGGACCACAAACATCTGCAAAGGGCTCCAGGCTCTTCTCAACACTGAGAATCCTAGGTCCCCACTGTCTGGCCCTGGGTCACCTGGCAAAGGCTTACTGGGGTCTTCTTAGGACCCTCCACATTCCAGGGTGTCAGGGCTGATATGGAGCCACGGAGTGGATCTGTAAGGTGCTCTCCCCACCTCTGGGGACAGGCCAGCTCAGAGTAGGCGGCTCCTGGGACCGTCAGGGACAGTGTCCAGTCAGCTCAAGGCTAGAAGCCATAGAGGTAACCGGAGGAAATCTGGGGTGATGGGGCTGAGCTCAGGTAACTCAATCCTGAAGTGGATGTTGCCCTGGTTAGGGACAGGTGTGGTTTTCTGGACAAGACGACGGCCCTGGATATTTTGCCAAAGTCTTGCTCTAATCCTTACCCACCAAGTCACAAGAACCTGGGACTCCGCGAAACAGACCCCAGACCTCCACAGACACATGGACTCCATGAGTCTCAGGCCCAGGGACATCTGGTTTGATCTCTTCCAGGGGCCATGGCTTGAATTCCTGGCCTGCAGCCCCCAACAGGAAGGGGCTCAGGCCCTCAGGTCAGCTCCTCCTCTTCCTTCCACAGGGCCCACCCCCACCCACAAGAAGATGTCAGGACAAGTGGGAACACACCTACACAAACAGGGTGAGTCTGAGAGTCTATAAACTTAGCCTGTGTCAGGGACCTGATCCAGGCTGATCTCTAACAAAGCCACTTACTGTCCCCTACTTCCCTCAGTAAAGCACAACTTGCTGAGCTACACAGCCTTACGCCCCCCCCCCCATCTCATGTGTCCTGACCACAGCTGCCTTGCTTTAGCCACTGCCCAACACTCCTTCACATCAAAGAGCCGGCCACCTACCACATCCCTATACCACACACAACAGGCCTCAGTTTCCAAGACATGGATCTTTGGGTCTCTGATAGGGGCATCCCTGTCTTCCCCAGCTCCTCCCTGGGGTCAGGCCTCAGCCCAGGGACAATGAGGGAGTGTGTGGCAGCTCCACCAGCAGCTCTAACAGGCTCCTTCAGCAGTACAACCTGTCACACTGTTCAGGCTTGGATGATGGCCACACTGCTCCCCATGACCCAACTGTGGCCACTCCCCCCACCCCCAGGGAGAGGAGGAAGAAGAGTGCTTCCAAGAACAAGAAGCTGACACTAAGGGGTTCTTCTAGAGGACGGTGAGGTCCCCTGCCCTGGCCTAGAGATCTAGTCCCACTTCCTGGCTGAGGGGTGCTAGTCATGTCTACAGATGCACCCTCAAGTCCTGCCCCTTCTGAGTAATGGGGAGTTCTGAGCAAGGGACAAAGAAAGAGTTTGTGGGTGCTGAGGGCTCCCTGCAAAGCTCCAAGGGGACCCAGCTGGTGGCTCAGGAGGCCCCACCTGCTCCCCACATTCATGGATCCTTCCCCCTGAGCTCCTGAGTGGGGTGAGCCAGAACTACACAGTGTATGTGCACTGTGTGCATAGTATACACACCTTTGGGCCTGAAAAAACCTAGTGGGAGCCTCAGTTTCCCGGTCTGCAAAATGAGAACCAGTAGTCTAAGTGATTGGTCTCCAGGGCTCGTGTTCTGTTCTCCTCAGAGCCCATCCTCGGTATCATCTCTGCTGGGCAAAATAGGCTTTGTCTTCTGCATCTCCCCATGAAGGAAAGGGTTAACTGCTCTAACAGTGAGATTCAAGAAGTTCCTCCATCTTTTTCCTAAACATGCCCATTTCCTTAGGCAGCCTCCCTTAAGCCCAGCAGAGAGCGGCTCCTGACCTGACAGGTTCAGAGAGGCATCAAACACCCACTGCCATATCCCAGCCCAGAGAGACCCTCAGCATGGCAGCTCTGAAAGCCCTCTCTGGTGTGGCTGCAGAGCCAGCCAAGTCCCAGGGGGCAGGCAGAGTGGCAGTGGGCAGTACTCACATAGATGAGGTGGTCCCGGTAGCGAATGAGCAGATTACGCAGGATGCCGGCCTCGTTGAGGTCCCCCAGGCGGATCATGTCCTCCACGCCGTGGACCGAGGTGGGGTGCATGGGCTTGATGTGCATGGCATTCTGTGGGGAGATCCAGTGCTCCTGCGGAGGCAGAGCCCATAATGTCAACATGTGCCTCTCAGCCAGCCTGCATGCAGCACAGCAAGGGGTCTCAGAGGAGGAGCTGGGGGAGGTAGCTGTGCTATCTGCCTGGGTCAAACATCAGAGGTGGGTGGGACAGGACCTTGAGGGTTGTCATTTGGGGATCAGGTTCCCTCTTGGTCACTCTGCAGGATGGATGGGCTTGGCTTCAAATCCAGACTCTGGTAAACTCTGGTAACTTTGGGCCAGATGCCAGCGGTTCCAGTTACTCAGGAGGATGAGATCTAAGGATCTTGGTTCAAAGCCAGCCCATGCAGGAAAATTCCTTGAGATTCTTATCTCCAATTAGCTACCCAAAAAGCCAGAAGTAGAGCTGTGGCTCAAGTGGTAGAGTGCTATTCTTGAGCAAGAGAAGCTCAGAGATAGCACCTAGGCCCCGAGCTCAAGTCCCAGGACCAGCAAAATAATAACAACAACAACATTGGCTAATGCCACGAGCAAATCAACAGGTGTGTGTGGTGGAGAAACTGAGCCCCCAATCAGCACCCTTTGGAGGAGGCAGCATTTGGGCTGAAGTATGAATGGAAAAAAAGAGAGCGACCTGTGTAAAATGTGAGGGAGAGAAAATCACCTCCAAGGACTGTGGAAACAGCGCCTTCAAGACTGGTGTAGTGTGTCATGATCGAAGGAATGGAACAGTAGTGTTGGCGATGGGACTGACTAAATATGGTATATTTCACAATGCTTCCTGGAGAAATGCATGAAAAATGGGCACGAGCTGGAAATAGGTTTCAGCCTGCCTTACTAGCAACCTCATTCTCCCCTGCAATATTCCCTGTGGCCGCCAGGTGGCAGATGGCCACACCTGTGTGCTGCAGCAGCTGATTCCCTCAGTTTACAAGCTTGGGCTTCCTGAGGGGCTGGGCATCTAGGAGCAGCCCTCCTCCCCCCTCTCTCCCAGGATCTCCAGCACCTTCTCACTTTTCCAAAAGGAAGAGTCTGACCTGTGCTCCCAGGTGTGACCACAGCCTGAGTGGAGCCCCATAGCCCTCCCATTCCCAAATGGCAAGGTCCAGGAGCCTGGAATCAGGCAGGTGGCTGACTTTGGGGGGAATAGGTAAGCTCACTGCTACCTCCTAGTTCAAGCCTACATGCTGAGGCACTTTGCCTCCCCACACCAGGGCCTCCTCCAGCTCAGCTCTGCAATCACCAGGTTTAAGAGACTAGCAGGGATCGGGCATCAATCCCATCCCCCACCCCACCCTCACAGAACCCCTAGCCCATCTGGTCACCCAGTCCTGCCTATCCAATCCTCTACAGGGCTAAAGAGTGGTAGATGGGCACCCTGTGGTTCAGACTCCCATCTGTCCCTGGCCTAGCCCCTGGCTCTTAGGGCAGGGTGGCCCATGCAGATGCTCCAAGGGACCAGGACAGGACAGCAGAGACCCCAATTCCAGTCCCCTCCCCACTGCCTCTCACAGCAATGCCTGTCAGGAGCCTAGAATGCAGGCCACATCCTCCCTGAGGCACAAGGTGGCCCACCCATGAGGTCAAGGAACCTGACTTTCCAGTGCCATGTGGAACATTCCTCCTTCCATCTGGAAAATTCCCTCTGCCTGCCCCCACTCTCAGACTGAGTCCCAGACCCAGGAAACAGCTGGGCAGGCTGTCTGCCTTCCCTGCTCACCCCTACCCCTGCCTCCTGGGCTCCTCCCCGGAGACAGTTCAGCTCAGCCTCTACAGGGCCTGGGATTCTGCCCTGTTACGTTATCTTCCTGAGTCTCCAAGACAAACAAGACAAATGGTACCCCTCCTACTGGAAGTACAGGGACAGTACCGGAGGGAGTGGTTAGGAGGGAACAGTATCCAGGAATACCACCCATTGTGGCTGGCCTGCTCTGCCCTGTCTGTACAGTGCTGAGGCCTAGAAAGTACTCAGCTAGAGCTGGGGATCCATACTCAATGTGTGTTCTTGTTTGCTCCTAACACTCCACAGCAGAGAACTTCAGACCCCATTTCAGACTGATGAGTCACACTCAGAAGTAAAATGACTGGTGGGGTGTGGAGGCAGCACTCCTGAGTCTCATACAGTCAATACATTTGTACACCGGTGTTTACAGCAGCGCTGCTCACAACAGCCAAGCTAGGAAATGTGCCAGGTGCCTGGGAGCCAACGAATGGATTAAAAAAAATAGCGGTACATATATATGATGGAGTATTAGTCAGCCATACAGAAGAATGAAAAATTTAATCCTAGCTACTCAGGAGACTGAAATCTGAGGACTGTGGTCCAAAGCCAGCCTAGACCGCAAAGTCTGTGAGACTCTTATCTCCAATTAAACACCAAAAAGCTGGAAGTTGAGCTGTGGTTGAAGTGATAGAGTGTCAGCCTTGAATGAAAAAACTCAGGGACGTGCCTTGGCCCTGAGTTAAGTCCCAGAACACACATGCACCCAAACAGACAGACACACAAATGAAATCATGCTATTTGCATGAAAATAGATGGAACTAGAAATCATGTTAAGTGAAATAAACTGGACTGAGAAAGATAAGTATCACATGTTATCATATGCAGAATCTAGTTGGTTTTTTTACTGATAGAAATGAAAAATGGAATGTTTGGGGAGTAGCAGGAAAAGGTGAAGGCAGAGCATGAAGTGGGGTAGAGAATATGATTGAACTGCTTTATACACATGTACAAAAACAGAACAATGAAGCCTGTCAAAACTTGCTTAAGGGCTGGGAACGTAGCTTAGTGGTAGAGTGTTTGCTTAACACGTATGAAGTCCTGCATTCTATTCCTCAGTACCACATAAACACAAAAAGCCAGAAGTGGCACTGTGGCTCAAGTGGTAGAGTGCTAGCCTGGGACAGTCCCCAGGCCCCGAGTTCAAGCTCCAGGACTGGGAAAAAAAAAAATTGTTTAAAAGGTGGGGTAAGAACAACTAAATGGATGAATTTGACCAAAGTCGATCATACACATGGAAATATCACAATAAAATCCCTTTATACAATTAATATATGCAAATTTAAAAAGAGGCAGAGGCTGGGTACCAGTGGATCATAACTATCATCTTAGCTACTCAGAGGCCTGAAATCTGAGGGTCTCAGCTCAAGGCCAGCCTGGGCAGGAAGGTCGATGAGTGTATTATCTCTAATTAACCACCAAAATGTTTAAAGTGGAGTGTGGCTCAAGCAGTAAGCCTGGTAAGCGCTTTGAGTGAAAAAAAAATCTAAGGGATAGCACCTAGGCCCTGAGTTCAAGCCCCAATAGTGGCTTGGGAGGGAGGGAGAAATGAAAGAGAAAAGAAAGTCCTGAAAGGACTCCCAGGGAGCCCACAGGCCAAGGTCCACACATGCTCAGGGCCTCCAGCAAGGGACAAAGTGTAGCCCAGGAGAGGAAAGGAAGTGGGGGCTAGGAGGGGAATGCTGACAATCCAGGGACGGGGACTGTGTAGGACTGGGCTGGCCTGAGGTGGGACTTGGAGCAGGAAGGGCAAGAGGCTCCACCCGCAGTGGGACTGGCTTGGAAACGGTGGGACCCTGGCCCCATTTCTCACTGGGACCATTCATGCAGGGTTTTCCTGGGAGCTCTGTGGAAGCCACATGTGACTTTCCACGTGACCTTCCTGGTCCCCAATCTCAAGTTGCTAGAAGTCTGTGGGAGGGCAAAGATAGAGTAGGCTGAAGGAGGAGACAGGAAAGAAGGGGCCGGAAGCCCCAGGGCTCAATGCCACTGAGGAAAACTGCAGCCTCCCTACCGGCTCCAACTATCCAGCTACCCATGACCCTCCCCCTCCCGCAGCCCCCACTCTCAGGGTGCGAGGGGACCTAGAGGATCCAGTGACACAGAGTTACGGGACACCATCTGACATGCAATATGACCCAGGTGAAACTCAAGCCTGCAGGCTCCAGTCCCTGGTCCTCAGGGCTCCTGGAGGATCATGGGCTGTCTGTGCTGCCAGCCCAGCCTAGGGGCTCACTCTGTGGCCCTCTAGTCTCCACACCGGGTGGTGTGTGTGTGTGTGTGGAGAACCAGCATGGGTAACAGAGCCTGAATCCCACAGTTACCACGGGGCTGCTGAAAGGGAAACTCACGCCCAGAGACTGAGGTTCAAATCCCACCACGTCACTTACTAGCTGTGTGACTAGCTGGGTGGCTCATCTCCATGCCTGTTTCCCCAGGGGGTAACAAATGTGGTCCACCCTGCCTTTCACAGATGCAATAAGTATCCAAAGACAAAGCTGAGGTTGCAGGCGGTGCCAGTGCTGAGGGCTGGCCTCTGAGGACTGGATATCTTGTCCTTGGCCTCGGGACTCCTGCCTTCTTCCCCCTCCCCTAGCCAGGCCCACTGCATTCTTATTCCAGACTCTCCCTTAGAGGCCTGTCCTGGTCGCCTCTTGGCTCACCTGTCCCAAGACCCCAGGCAGGGCAATGGAGGAGGGGCTACTCACGTTGTCTTCATCGTCCACCACTTGGATCTGCCCAGAGTCACACAGCTTCACCATGGCCCCGATGGGCACATCGAACTCCTGTCCTGACTTTAGGTCCAGCCATACGTAGTCTCCCTGTGGGTGAGAAGCCCAGGGGTAGATAAGCAGGAAGAGGCCAAGCACCCTCCCTCCCCACCCCTGCCCAGGCGCCAGCAAAGACATGATGCAGCAGCAGCAGCAGCAGCAATGTGCAACAGGAAGCGAAAGAGAAGGGAGACAGGCACTTGCAAGGGGTCTCCTGGTGCCAGACCTGTAGGGGACGGAGGCCATGCCATGAGCTCCTCCTCCAGAGAGCCACAATCAACCCCGCTGTATACACAGTGAGCAGCATGGTGGAGCTGGCCACGCAAGGGCGCCTCCCACCCAGGCCTGCCCACAGCCTACTTCCCGAGGTGCCAGGCTGCACATGTGCACCCCAGATTGACTCCTTCGGGTTTTGCTAAAACTTAGGAAACCGCGTTCTCTCTGCTCTAAGGCGAGGACACAGGGACCCCAGACTCATGAACACTGCTCACTCCCTAGCGCCAGGAGCGACCCTCCTCCTGCTAGTAATGGTTCTTCTGGAGACATTGCACTGTGCTGGGCTTGGGTAAGAGAAGCTGAACTGTGTCTTGGCTTATGGAGAGAACCCCAATACTAGGGGGGCGGGGAACTGTCACTTGTGACTCAGTAATCAATGAAGCGACTCTGTGGAGGCCATCTCCGAGCTGAAATCAGCAGGATAAGCAGCAGCCAGCCAAAGAAAGTGTAAGGGAAGATACAGGGAGCAGTGGGGGGAGTGGGGGAGTGGCATATACAAAGGCCCTGAGGCCAGAGAGAAAGCAGTAGGGGTTACTATGCGATAAGAGAAAGGAGGTCAGAAGTGGGCAGGGTCCAGGACACAAAGGTTCTTATTGGTCTTGGGGTAGAAGATTAGATTTTATTCTAATCTGAACAAAAAGTATTCTTTCAGAGGGAAGGTCTCAAACTCCCAGGAGGATGGCAAAACTTAAGACATCTTAATAAAAAAAAAATGTAACTTAACATCAAGTAGCAGTTAGAAACATCTTAGTTGATTTTAAAAAACAAAAAATCAAAACTGATTCTCCATGAGCCTGTGAGCGTGGCTCAGTGGCAGAAAACTCTGGACTGAGTCTGGAGACTGGGGTCCCAGGTCTTGCTCACTGACCCCTGAGCCTACTTCCCCATCATCCTTTGGTGAGGGAGGGATACAGTGAGTCACTGACCAACTCAAGACTCTGTCAGCTTCCTCCTCACATCAGCAAACACCCTGGACCCTTGCTTCATGTGAATGGCAGTTAATGCGTTGGAGAGCCAGGCTTGTCCCCAAATGAAGCTTTATCCCACGCCTCCCTCCCATGCCTCCCCCGGCAAAAGTGAGAACAATGTGGGACTCCACACTGCTATCCCACAACCCACCCATCCATCCTCACATCTGCTTGACGCCCCCAGGACTAAGCTGAACTTCCAGCTCCCAGCCCCCCTCCCACCCAACCTCACAGCGGCAGCTCTCCCAGGCCCTCCCCACCCCAGCCAGGTTATATTTACTCCTCTCCTGCAGTAGTCAGGCTGTTCAGCCTCTGGGGATGCAGCAGGAACAGAGGGAGGGAGACTGTCCAGGGCAGGGAACAGTCCGGGCTGCAGCGAGCGGAGCTGAGGACACAGAGTTCTATAAGCCACCGGCAGGAGTTGCATTTTCTCTTAAGGCTGACAAGAAGCCACTGGGAAATGCAAGATGGATTTGCGCCTTGGAAAAACTCCAAAGTGGTTGCTGGGTGGAGGTACAAGTTACATCCTACAGGCTCTGCGGAGCTGCCTTCCCATCGTGAGCACCAGGCTGCCCAGGCCTGGGCCCAGCTGAGCCTCCTCCTTGTGACTCCCCAGAGCAGAGTGCAGAGTGGGCTTCAGTGAGAGAAGGGGTTGTGTGTGAACACGCAACTGGGTGAGAAAGGATATGGAGAAGAGGGCTGTGACAGTGAACTTGCCTAGCACATGCACAGGTACAAGGCCCTGGGCTCCATCCCCAGCGCTGAGAAGGGAGATAGAAAGAGAAAGGGGCAGGGAGGGAGGGAAGGAGGAAAACATCCCCTTGGCCAGGCTGTGAATTAGCTAAGTCTTGTACCAGAGCACTGCTACGTGGAACCCATAATGCCCCTTTATGTGCTGGTAGCAAGTTAGATGGTTCCCTGAAGTTAACAATCTCATTGACCTTCACAGTGACACTCATGTCAAAGGTTCTGTGGCATCTCCTTCAAGAAGTCAAGAAATATGCCCCAGAGTTGGTCACACAGCTGTTTTCAGGATAGAGCAGGATGGAAGCCTAGATCTGAGAAACTCCAACTCCTGTGCTCTTTCCTATCATTCCCTGGGCCCAAACCTGAGCAAACCAGGAAGCTGTGAGTTCCCCAAAGACCATCTGGGCTCTGGGCAGAGGAAGAGCAGAGTCTCCCAGTCACCTGGATCCCCTGGCCCAGCCCAGGGCTCATTGCATAGAAAATACTTGTTCCCATTGAAAGAACATACAAGAGCCAAAATGAAATACCTCCTGAAAGCAGGAAATGGAAGTTTGGGGCGGGGGATGGGAGGGAATCAAGGAGGTACTCAGGGCTGCACAGCAAGCTGAACTGACTAAACTCTTAACCCCAGGCTGGAGCCAGGAGAACAGAGATAATCATTAGGGCACCCACTGATCAGGACTGTCAAAGGCACTGAAGAAGCTTTAGGGAGAAGCTTTAGGGAGAATTGAGGCCAGCCCACCTGTGGGGGGGGGGGGGGGAGGGGAGAGGAGCATTCCTGTGGCTCTTGGGAAGGCTCTGTATCTGAAAGTAGCCAGAGTAGCCAGGAAGTGAGAGTGGGGCCTCATTGTACAGATGAGGAAACTGAGGTCCAAAGAGAAACAAATAGGAACCTGGCAGTCACTCAGCCAATCCACAACTGAGGAGCCACTGGCAGCCACACAGCCCAACACAGAGTGTGCCACACAGCCTCTGGCAGGAAGGAAGGAGGAAGACCTGAGGGCAGGCGACAAGGAAGGACCAGCTTCCAGCTCTAACCCTTGCATGTTCTCCCATCCTTATGTCTAGTGCTCAGGCTGCTGTGACCGCATCGGACCCCTTCAGCCCCATGATGGTTTTGCATGCTACACTATAAGGCGAGCCCCCATAAGGACCTCATCTTGAACTAAAGGTCCCATTTGTGACATGGCACATGCCTCTGTGTGGGTGAGCAGCATGGGGTAAGTCCTCACTTTCTGGTTGTCCAAGATGTTGGCTGAAGGTCTCCCTGGCAAGGCTCCTAGCCACAGAGTGGTCATTTCCTAGATTGAATCTGTCTACATATTCTCAAAGGTACCTTAAAACTGCCTTCCAGGAAAGCTGGCACATAGCCACAGTGAACACATAAGTCAAAAAGACCTGGGTTCTAGTCCTCATTCTGCTGCATGACTTCGGAAAACGTATTCAGTCTCTCTGGGCCTCCCTGAACACCAGCCTCAATGTGGGAGGAAGGGAGAAGCTGTTCATGCCGTCTGCCCTCTTCCTCCAAGTCTGGTGTGCCTGAGCCCCTTCTGACTCTCCCCTCCTCGGGGGGAGGGGGAGACTGGGGCTCCATCCGTTTGTGGGATCACGGGGGGGGGGGGGGGGGGGGGCAGTTTCAGGTCACCCTGACCCTTCACCTCACTTCATAAGCACTCTGGGCCATGGTTTTGTCACCCCTATTTCTCAGGTCGGGGAAGGTGAACAATGTCTCTCCACAGCAGGAAAAGGTCTAGTTGTGAATCTGTGATGATAAAGGGGACGGGTCAGTCAACAAACTGGCTGAAGGGCCTCTGTGCATCTGGGGTCCCTTCCCTAAACCGGATGCCTGCCAGCCAGAGGTGGGAACTGTCTCAGACCTGACCCACCACAACCCGCCACCCTCAACCCCACACACAAAACCTCCTTGTCCAGGCCTGGGGAGCAGCCAGAAGAATCTGGAGACCCCAAGTTCATGCAGGGATCTCACACACACACACTCCCAGGACTGCATCCTTCCTTGCATTCCTAGCTCCTACAGCTTGCCCAGCCTTTTCTTTTGGAGTAGGGAGGGGGGGGAGGGGAGGCTGGTTCTGGGGACTTCAACTCAGGGCCTGGATGCTGTCTCTGAGCCTTTTTGCTCAAGGTAAAGCACTCTATCACTTGTGCTACAGCTCCACTTTTGGCTTTTTGGTGTTTAACTGGACATAGGAGACTCATGGGCTTTCCTGATCCTGCTGGCTTTAAATCCAGATCTCCAGATCTCAGTCTCCTGAGTAGCTAGGATTACAGGCATGAGCTATCGTGGCCCAACCCACCTATAGGTGACCAACTCAGTGGCGCTCAGCTTTTGGACTTCTGGACAGTGGGGAAACTGAGGCCCAGGTGGCAGGATCTCACCCCCACCCCGCCCCCCCACCCCGGATCTCACCGGCATAACCGCGAAGGTCTTGAAAGCCTGATTCAGGCTGCGCAGTAGTGCCCACTTGCCAGACTGCTGGGCGTGTGCCTGGCTGGGGTCGGTGGGGCTCCTGGGGGACTCCATGACCAGAGGCTCTGATGCCTGGCGTAGCCCACAGGCTCTCTCATTCACCTAATCCTGCGCGAGCTGGGCCCAGGAACCCTAAACCCAGCCATCTGCCAACAGGCGGGTGGCAACAGCGGCTTAGGTGACGCCCTGCAGGGCGGCAGGCAGGGAGGGGACAAGGCAGATGGCCACACCCTCCCCTACCCACAGCCAGAGCCCAGCCTGGGGGTGTCAGGGCAGGGGGGGGGGACGCGGGGGGGGGGGGGTCCCTGGAACTCCCCGATGGACTGCAATTTTGAAGGAAAGAAAAGTACACAAAAAAGAACACCATAAATACCAAGGGTTTTAGGATTAAAGACACAGAGACTCTGTCTGGCTACCTCTAAGGAAACAGCAGTAGATAATCTCTTTTGGGGGGGTGAGGGGGGGGAGGGGAGACACTTTTAGAGGAGAGGCCCTAAGAGCCTGTGTGGTTCTTCTCAATCCAGCCCCCCTCCCCCCAGCTGAGCTGTGGACAAAGTCCGGCCCCAGAAAGA